CCCTACAATCCATCCCCGGAATCCCAATTTTGCACTATAATATCTGCCCATATACCTTCCTACAGAGTACCTCTACCACCTCAGGTCCTACTCTCAGTTATATTTCACTTACAGCTTGTGTTATTCCCCTCTCCTTCTCCTCCCCCCCAAAAAGTGAAAATGTGCACTGAAAGTTCTCCTCTCCTGCACTTCATGGCATTCTGATACATATGCAACATTGTTCCATAGCTAGTAAGAGTCTGTTCAGATTGCATATTACAGATAGATATAGAAATATAATATCGCTTAGCATCTTGGCTTGATGGGTGGCATGATGGTGGGTGTCAACATTCCCACCGCCCCTAACTGCAATCTGTCATGCCCGATGCATTGTTCCCTCAGCACGCCTCATCCAATGTTTGAGACAAGGCAACAGCATCTAATTTTAGAGGCATCATGCATCGCGCATGCCATCGGCATCTCCTAGCCAAAAAGGGGTGAAACTGGTGTTAAAATAGGTGTTTCCGTGTCACCTACTCAGGTGGGAACAGGCCGTCACTCACAAGGCTTCAATCCTATTCTCCATTACTTAAATACAAAACATATAGAGTACTTATACTTATGGCGATTGCATGTAGAGCCAAGAAAGGGAAGACTAATTACCTGGCACCTGCATTTCCGCGGTGACAGCACACTGCTCCTGTCATGCGCTCGGCACCTTATAGGATGCAAAACTCCAAAAAGGAGAAAAATCAAATAGGTGTGTGAGCACAGATTTTAATGCCAATTCTATATGTTTACAACATCGTTTGTGTGTGGAGAAGCTGCTAGCACTGGGGAATAGTTGCGTGATATAGGTGTGACATTGTACTTGGATTGCGTTGCTGCCCATCAAGCCAAGACACTAAGCGATATTATATTTCTATATCTATCTGTAATATGCGATCCGAACAGACTCTAAGGTACTCACATGTGTGACGATGCCCTGAAATATTGAAATCTGCAATTGCAGGACATGTATTCCTGTTTCCCTTGGTTCCCTCTTGATGTTTCCTCTGTCCTGGCCTCAATTCTGGTCTGATTCTCATGAAAACATGTTCCCCATACTCAGGAAGAAAGGCCTTTCAAATATAGATACCCCCAAAAATGCATTCCAGACCACTTAGATAACAGCAAAATCACACTGATTGGCCATTTCAGAAAGATCAGAGACATAATTATTTAATTGGACAGTGTCTGCAGATGTGCCTTAAAATTCCTCAAAAGGTTTGAGGATGATAGAGTGAATGTGGAAAGCAGGACACTCAAAAATGCGCCAGGGAGAGACCATTGATCAACATTCTGGATGAAGCTAATAATAGAGGCTTTGCACAAAGCCAGCTGGAGCCAGTGGTGGCTCAAATGCGTTGTGCTGAGACCTTTAGCCAGCAGAACCTGAATATCAGCCCGATGAATGCCATATATTAATATTACTTACATCTCTCTATAACCTTGTATTTCCCGGAGAGCTCCACGCGATATCAGTCTGTGGGGGTGGTTGATCAATGGTTGATCACAGTTGATATTTTCTGCTGGCTCAGTTTCCATATATAGGTTAGTTTCTGGAGATTGTCATAGCTGCATGGATGAATACTTGTGGGTGCCAAAAGTAACTGTGATTATGTAATCACATGCTCCAATCAAAGGCGGGGCATCCCAAAGATGTGAAGCACACTTCAATTCAGGTGCTTGAATCACCCCGAGAAAAGGCATAGTAGATTAGTCCTGTTCAGTATCTATGTATTCTACACATTAAAATGGTATGTGGCTGCCCCGCGCTTCCAGGAGAGCCGCTACTCGGTCAGGCATCTCAGAAATGTGTTTATTGACGCACTCGATCGGTATCTGCTCCCAGGCTTCGATAACAGCCAAACGGAGTTCTTCTACGGATGTGGGATGATGTGGCCTTCTTCGTATAATTTGCTTGAGTTCGTGCCAAATAGGCTCAATTGGGGAGAGGTCCGGAGAGTTGGGAGGGTGATAGAGCTGTGTGATGCCATGATGAGTGAGCCATCGTTTCGTTAGTTTGCTGGTATGTGCTGGTGCATTGTCCTGCTGGAAAATTACCTGGCCTCTCTCGGTCCTCATCTCTCTATAGAAGCCCCTCAGAGCCCCCTCCAGCACTTGCTCGCAATACCGGGCAGTGTTCATTCCTCCACTTTTGCCTCCTGGGTACTCCAACACAACAAGCGGCCCTTTTTGACCCTCCATTACGCAACCCCACACCATTACTCTCACTGGCGACTGCTTGAAGGTCGCAACAAGGCATTCATCGAGGTATTTTTCATCTGCGCGCCGTGTGATGTAAACGCGTCCATGATTGTCGCCGAGATAAATATAGCATTCGTCGGTCCACATGATCTTCCTCCAATGGCGGGGCGTGAAGTCACAATAGAGGTGAGCCCATGTGAGTCGTGCACGCTTATGAACCTTCTTCAGGTAGGGAACCTTGCGCGCTACCCGGCGGAAGTATCCTGCGTTGCGCAGAACCCTTCGAACAGTTGACCCCGAGACTGGTGATGGGAGTTGGTTTCCGATGTTGGTAAAAGGTGTTCTCCGCTCCCTTCGGGCAATGCGTATGATATGACGCTCCGCAGTATCGTCAAGCTTGTGTGGACGTCCCGACCGGGGGAGATTCTCTGTCGAACCCGTTGTCTTGTACTTTTTCCAGATGTACCGTGCTGCGCTGTCATGGATGTAGAAAACCCGGGCCGCTTTGGCGACTGTTGTACCCGTGAGCACGGCTCCGATGAACTTGTCTTTTATGGACGATGGATACTGGTGTCGTTCTGTCTTTGGTTCAGGCATGATGAGGGAAGAGCGATGAGGACCGCGGAGGAGGGACGTTCAACAAATGATCGGGTCAGATCACATGGGTCGTGTTTATTATATAATCGTAGTTACTTTTGTCACACGTGAGTACAATGAAATACTTGCATTGTCATTGAACTCCCCTGGCATCCAGACATACATGGTACTACATAAGACTAAGTTAAAAGCATAGTCACTAATTGGCCGCTACTGGCTACACGACACAGCGCAACGTTTTTGAGCCAGCACTGGCTCCAGCTGGCTTTGTGCAAAGCCTCTAATGTCTCTTAACCATGTCCTTGGGTACCCCATCTGATAGATCCTCTATACCTGTGGGGGACTATAGTATTTCAAAACTATCATATATTCCCTGTCTAAAACACATTTTATCATGATTTTAGAAGGAGTAGATGGACCTGAATTCAAGGGGGAGTGTCTGTGTTCCCAAAATTGGCTGGCACAAGGACAATTTTGGTCATACAATATTCATTTCTTAGTGTACATTGTTAAAACTTTTTCAGCACACTAACTAGCTTTATGGCAACATATCCCAGGTGCTAACATAAGGATAGGCAAGGTACAGACCATGCCAGTGCGATGCCATTGTCCCCATCAATAAATCCGGAAATTTCCAAAAATAGGGAAAGCGGACCTGTTCTAGAGGCATTGGTGCCCGCCTTGCTGGAATAGAAGGCTGATAAGTGGGATGGGAGATTGAACTGACCACTAGAGAAGTCAGGTGTGTAATTATTAGGCCAGAGCAGTGGGATAATGGTCAGAATACTGCTCTGATAGATGTCAGGAGGGAAGGACTGATTAATTTCGTGTCCCATGTGGAAAATGAGCAAATTACACTGGATAATAAGAGCTGATAGTACTGGGTACTGCCAATATATGGTTATAGCAACATGTGATGGCAATTGAATCATCCAGGGAGGAATTCCAGGGCGAGTTTTCGTGTTTTTGAACGAAAATCAGTAATTGAAGCGTACAGCCATGAATAATGCACGCGGGGCCATACAAATATATCCCCGAGAATCCTTACATATCCCCTATCTAACCGCTAAGGTGTCCCGGTGGTTCGGTCCCTGCAAGGGGTAGAGATTTGAGTGTGCATTCTGGCTATTTTTAGCGAATTGCATTGTTTAGGCTATTATGCGAGCATTTCTGCATGTATCGCAGATATTCTGTGGTAGATATGATTCTATTATATGCCTATTCATAAAAGACCACCTGTTTCCATCAGGGGATGCATGGGAGGGGGCCCAGTGAGGCCGCATTTTCGCATTTTCGAGGTGTAGAGCATTAATTTCGCTGTGCAGCCACCAAATATGGTCAGAATCTCACGTGTGAGGTATCTACGGAAAGCTACGATTATTCTACGATTTATGGTATTTTTTAATTCAAGAGAATCGGCCCGGAAATGACCGAAATACGCCAGCAATACTGCCAGCCAAGCCCTTATGTGATGTGCTTTCCTAATGGGGAATACGCATCAAACCGAGAAGCAGCACCACGAAATGAGAAGAATACCATGATATGAGAAGGGCAGTGGGTGATGAGAAGGGTGCAGGGCAATGAGAAGTGTGGATGAGAATGAAAAATGCGCCATGATATGAGAAGTTGGCAAGATTGAAAAATGTGCTGCAATGAGAAGTGTGGGAATGAAAAATGCGTTGAGATATGAGAAGTGCACTGTGTGATATGATAACTCTTAAGATATGAGAAGGGGCACAGTAATGAAAAGTGAACCAAAGAATGAAAAGACTTACAAGCCATGGCTTGGAATGAGAAGTTATATCAATAATGAGAAATGCAAACTCCTCATTAATTACCCCGGCACTGTGTCAGAAGCAGTGCAGGCAAGTACCTGTATCTTATGATAAGTATGGCAGACACCAGTCCTACCATTGGACAGCATGCAGACTGTCATATTATGGCAGACGCAATTTCGGAAGTTCGGAAGAGAGAATCCGTCATGCAGCTTTCTGGATTCTCACCTGCGAGGCGGAGAGTCGAGCGCCTGTCAAGACTCGTGGCATTGTATCCAACGATTAGTCGAAACTTGATGGATTTCACGAGTGCTAAACAAATACGGTGGGGCATAAGTCGCCCAATATGATCCAAAACGTGCAAGTATTACTTCTTATTATCATCCCTGCATCGCCTCACTACATCTTCCTGACACTGAAATTCCAGCCGAGTCCTTGCGCGACTCTTCCTGACCCACATCTTGCCTCTTGCCAATTTCCCCCTCTGTCGAGCCATTCTACTTTCATACCCTCCACGTTTTCCAGATAGCTCATGTCAGGCAAGGTGCTGCACTTGCACGGCGTGAGATCAAGAACCTGTATAGGACACCCGTCTTCCTGCCGCTGCCGAAAGAACAGCTCGGCTGCTTCCCGTCCAGGATCGTCGTGCTCACCCGTCTCATCGTACTCCCGAATCAGAAACATGTCGTACAGAGTTAGCGCTTTCAGTTTGGGAAATGGAGTTGGGTTACCAGCGTCTCGTGGAAACCTCGTGAGCTCAGAAATAACTTCCATTGAGGTGGCGAGTGCTTGAACCTCGGGCAAAACGTGCACGAAATGAGCTATAACATCCCGAAGGCGAGAAATGGCTGTGGGTGCCGTGTTCGGGGAGAAAGTGAGGTGTATGGAGAGCATTGTGATGTGGCTGAAGTTACATTGTGAGAATATGTTGATGTAGGGAAGAAGTTCTAGAAATTCGACCCCGTTGTCACCGACGTCGATGGAGGTTTCAAATACTGTCGGAACCGAACTTCCTTTGCTGTAAAGGTCCAAGGCATTTTGTTCGAATTGCACAATGCCGCAGCTTTGCCACATGACGTTCAAGTCCAGAGTGAGGTTCGTCCATTTGGTGTTTGCAGAGAACCAGCATTTGCTGTACTTGGATAGCACGTCAATGATCAGATGGTCCTTGGAAAAAAACTCTAGGGTGGTGGATATTCCGGACATGACGATATGCATCCTGCATTTCGGAAGGGTTTTAATATGATTCAAAAACAACGCGGTGGAGTAGATGTCCTGCATTACTTGAAGTTTGGTGAGATTGGGTAATTGGATGACTGGGAGTAGCATTGGGTCCCCGGAATGATCCTCGTAAATCAATAAAGAACCACATTCAGTAGCATTGGGTCCTCGAGGACGGACTGGAATGCAGAATATAAGCGAAGAGTTCGGAGGAGGGGCATATCGCCGAGTTTCTCCAACCACACCAGAAGAGTCGGACGAGGCGTCAGAGTCGCACCTGACACTTCGAGGTGGCGGAGTTGGGACAACCACGATGAGGACATGTAGAGATTCGCCTGGAAGGGAGCGGTCAATTCCAAATCGCACAGATTGGGCGCATCGTTGCCGAATAATGTTTGGCTAGATTGAATTGGCTTCTCTAGGGCCCCAAGAGCTACTCGAAAGGTTCTTAACACCTTCGACGGCCGCGCTATGGGAGACCAAAGGTCGCCCTTGTAACTGTTCTCGAAATATGCGGAGACATGAAGGATTTCGATCCGCGCCCAATGTACATCGAGGACGTAGGCGAGGAACGGAAGAAAGGCGGGATTGTTGCTGGTGTGGTCGCCTTTGACGTGTAACAGGGATGTTCCCGTGCGGCGTATGATCTCCCGTTTCCACTCTTCCTTCAGCAGAATGAGATAGTCGAGGTCAATGAGCCTTCCCCACAACGACGGCGAAGAGAGCATCGCTTGGCGCCAGAAGCGACAGACGTGAGACACGTTGAGGGTAACCGTGAGTGCTCGTGGTCCCCAATGCTGGATGGATTTTCTGTCCTCGGGGGGATCTTCGTCCATGTTCGCGTTGATCATAAAGATATTGAGCAGGAGATCTTCGTCGAGGTTGTGGATCGGAGACAATCTTGCCTCAACCCTGGAAGCTGCCTCCATCGGGGACACGGCAATGGTTGGTTTCTGTAGCGAGTGTGAGTGTATCTACGAGCGGAAGGAATATAATATGCACCATTGACTGTCGTTAGCCCGAGATTGTGCACCTTGAAATTGTATACTTGGTGGAGGCTGTATAGAAACCTCGAGTGACTCACCGATCCAGACGCTCGTGACCGTGTCAATGGTAATTCTAATTGGGCACATACGACATGTACTTGGGGACGTTGTGGCGTCGTACAAAGTTTCGCGAATACATCAGACAATAATAACACACTTTCCAAGCAAGGAAGTGCTCCACTTCAAGCTCCAGGGCTCTGATAGCAATCTCACATTGACGTCTTCCTTCTTCCACTGCTATCGCAAAGCGTTGCACCATGCATCTCTACCTCACCTCCAACTCCCCCTGGGACACAACATACTGCACCGAGTCCGGGCAGGTGATCTACAAAGCAGAATCGCGCGGGTTACTCGGCCCACGACATATAACCATCTCCAAAGTCCAGCCTGCACGAACCATTGAACTCGACGCCGATGGTAAAGTTCCCGAGGAGGCGCTGAAGGATGCTTTTGTGGAGATTGGGAAGGTCGAATGGCATGCCATTTGGTCCGCCAAAATCAGAGTGGGCGATGGGGAGGAGGTGTCTGTGAAAGATTTCTTCAGGAAGAAAGGATGGGGACTCTATGGAAGGTGCGCTTTTGGGGTGGATCTGTGGAAGTCAACAGGCGCTTAAAGATAGGGGTCTGCACTGCTTCGATGCAGAGGGCGGGTATTCACTGGCCCGGAGGGTAAAGAATATGTCTGGAAGATGGATTCCATCAAGCCAAAGGCAAGTCCTCTTTTGGGGTTGTTACAGCACTAATTTCTCTTCACCCGTCAGCTGTACACATTCGCCAAGAAAGGCGAAAACGAGAGCGCTGGCCTTGTCGCAAATTTCCACCAGCGACACTTTGGGTATAATCGGCAAAGCGAGACCAGCGTCTCTCGAAATCGAACCAGAATTCAACCACATGGTCGACCTTATCGTGATAACACTCATCTACATCGAGAAATTGCGGAGGGAGAAAGAAAAACAGAGCCACTTGAAGCTGAAACAGCTGCTTGGCTCGGTACTACTTCAGTCGCAAGTATACTTCGGTTGTTCACTCATATGAAATCTCCGCGGTCTTTCGGCGTCCTTCGGCCATATTTGTCTTGAGCCTAGCAAGCTTTCCGCACTTGATCAGTGTTGAAGACTCCAGACCATGATTCAGTGGTGTTTTTGTATGAAGGTAGTGCTTGTAGCGAATGATAATTTTCGACTTCGTACTCTAGACCATGACTTAATTAGACCATAAGGTTACGAAATTCGAAAACCGAAGTCTCGTCTGGCCAAATTGTTTACAAGGCCGCGTCACAGCCGGACCCAGCGGGCAGCCCATTGTGAATAGCGATCTCGCGTACTGAGCCGCGCTCGGAGGTCGTTGGGGAGATCAAGTACGAGTACCCCGACGCTCCCAGGTCCAACGTCCGGTACCCTTCTCCAGGAGTGTGGGTGTCTACGAACGAGTTTTTCAGGAAACGCGGGTGGGGTCTACTTGGAAGGTAGGGGTAAGTCGCAGGTCGAAAAGACTGAGGGGGTACTTACAACATTGTTTTTAAATGTCGATAGTTCCAGGGGACAAGTCTTCACGGGACCTGATGGCATGGAGTATGTCTGGAAAATGAAGAAGGAAGAACGGAAGGGTAATTCATGCCCGAATTTCTGATTTTCAACGCACCGTAGCTATATCAGAGATCTCGCCCGAGGTCGCGTCCATGGCAGATGTCAAATGGAGAAGGGAGAATAGTTAGAGTCCTTAGCTATACCGGAGGAGCTTAGGACACGATGTTCCAGTACTTGGCCAGGCTTTCTGATTGTTTCGAAGTCGACAGTCCATCTTGGAGTTGGCAAGAGGAGATAACCAATGACCACTGGGTCCCACAAGGCTTATCAGATGTTCGTTTTAGACTCGAAGACTCGACGATATTCGAATTCAGACTCCCGTATATATCGCTGCGTTACCCCTCGCATCAGTCGGCCGCTGACCTCTAGGGGTTGTCCGTGAAAGTAGGGATCCATGCTACATGGCAAGTGGAGTCCGATCCAGGTACCATCCTGCTTCGTCGTATCTATTGTCGCGTGGGCCGGCTAGAAAGCGTAAATGGGCTTCGAGAAAGGCTCGCGTCATCATTTTGGGATGCGGGGTTAGGCGGGGTTCGGTCACTTGAATAATCAATGGTCTGCAAAGATTCGACTGAGAACTCGAATTAGGCATGGCCCATGGACGCACAGGAGTTTCTGAGTCGCCAAGGTATAAGCGCGGACCATGGGGCTTCGCTAGTATTTCGAGGATGGCTGCCTTTGTTCCGTCGGCGGCGTCGCCACGATAAAAATATGGGCTTCATGCCCATCCAGGATATCAGTGCCAGTAATTATACAGGTGGGGTGGCTACACCGAAACGGGCGTCGTCCGTATAAGCGTCGAGGACACATGAAATTCGTGATGCGCCGCTGCGTCTCTGCGTCTTCTATGACCTTGTGATCAACGAGCATATGCCAATCCACGTCATCTTTCGGACATACGGACAGAAGGCATAAGAACGGTCAAGAGAGGTCCAACCACTGGATCCCCGGGACGAGAAGACGAGTCGAATATTCGAGGAGGACTGTTAGAGGGAAGATGAATTATGGACATCGTAAGTCCAAGTCAGGAAGTAACTAGTCAATTCAACCCATCAATTCGGGACTTCAGGGTAGGCGCACGTTTCAGCCACGCGAATCTCACGAGTGTGCTTCCTCAATTCTTCTTTTCGCTTCTTTTTCTGCAACTTCGGCCATGTCCATTTGGAATCGATTTCGTTCACGGTATATAAGCCGAGACTCGAGACTTGGGCGCAATTTGAGGGCTCCATCGAAATGAGGGGACCCGCCAGCCCGTCAGGGAAGATTTCCTTCCTCAAAACCCTCGTCGTCGTCGCGCTCGCCCAGTCTGCTGTCGCGGCCGTCGTTGACCCAGCTGTCCTGGATGCGTGCCCAGGATATAGTGCTACGAATGTAACGACCAGCCGCAATGGTTTGACAGCACAACTCGTCCTGCGTGGGCCTGCGTGCAATGTCTTTGGGAATGACACGGAGAGGCTGTCTCTCAGTGTTGTTTATGAAACAAGTATGTTTCTTATTCTATTCCCAAACATCGTTCTGAAGTTTCTGCAGGGAACAGAATCCACCTCAAAATCACGGACGCCTCGCAAGCTCGCTACGAAGTCCCTGAATCCGTCTTTCCTCGCCCTCAAGCTCAATCAGTGCCTTCGAGGTCGTCCAACATCCAATTCAACTACACCGCATCTCCTTTCTCCTTCTCAATCTACCGTACATCTACCCGCGAAGTCCTGTTCTCCACGTCTTCGCATCCGATCATTTTCGAGCCCCAGTACCTACGTGTCAAGACCCGGCTTCCAGCCAACGCGAACGTCTACGGGCTCGGCGAGCACACGAACCCATTCCACCTGCCGACGGACAACACGACCTTGACGCTGTGGTCGCGAGACGCGTACGGGATCCCCACCAGCACGAATTTGTACGGCAATCACCCTGTCTACTTCGAACATCGCACCACCGGCACTCATGGCGTGCTCTTACTCAACTCGAACGGCATGGACGTGAAGCTTAGCAGTGGTGAACCGGGCGGGCCAGCTTTGGAGTACAACGTTATCGGAGGCGTTCTCGACTTCTACTTCTTCGCTGGGAGCGAGAACGACCCGACCCAGGTGGCGAGACAGTACGCTGAAGTAGCCGGTCTGCCGGCGGAGGTTCCTTACTGGGGCTTTGGCTTTCACCAGTGCCGATTCGGGTACAAAGGTATGTGCTCGTTGTTCAACATCGTCGAGGGTCGAGGGATAGATGTGCTGAATGACAACCTTACAGATTTCGTCGACGTAGCAAGCGTCGTTTCCAGATACGCGGCCGCTGGTATTCCACTGGAGACGATGTGGACGGATATCGGTGAGTGTCGGTCCTCTATTTTTGGACGTAGGTTCACGACGTGCAGATTACATGGATCGACGGAGGATCTTCACCCTCGATCCCGACTACTTCCCACTTCCGAGGATGCGCGAAATCGTTCAATACCTGCACAATCATGACCAGAAATACAGTATGCCTCCCCATGTTGTATATATGAGCGTGTCTGACTGCTTTCGACAGTCGTCATGACTGACCCGGCGGTGCCGTACCTGCCCGACGAAGGCTACACGCCCTACGACCACGGCAAAGAGCTGGATATTTGGTTGAAGGCTGCGAACGGTAGCGAAAGTTTAGGAGTGGTCTGGCCTGGTGTTACTGTCTTTCCTGGTCAGTTCCATTCTCATGGTCGTTTCGTTTTATCGCTCATTCGAGAACCTTTACAGATTGGTTCCACCCTAATATCCAACAGTACGATACATTGTTGCCCTGGCCTCAGCCCATCCTGACCCCTTTCGTAGATACTGGACCGACGAGTTTCTCTCGTTCTACAGCCCAGAGACAGGAATCGACATCGACGGTGTTTGGATAGACATGAATGAGCCAGCCAACGTATATTTCATTTTTTTTTCTGTTTACAGACGTGTTCTTATGCTACATCAGTTCTGCAACCTGCCCTGCGACAATCCGTTCGAACAAGCCATCGAGCAGAACATGCCGCCTCCTCGTACTACGCTCCCGCCGGACCCGAATGCGCCGATTTTCGTCAACGCGACCTCCTCGAGCTCGAGTGAGCTGAAGAAACGAGAGGATCTGTTGAACCCTCCGTACGCGATCAACAACGCCGCTGGGCCGATCTCGAGCAAGACAGCCTTCGTACGTGCATTTACTCTCTCATCTCCTAACAGCAATCCCAATCATCTTTTTTGCAGACGGATATCATCCACGCGAACGGCCTCTCCGAATACAACACGCACAACCTCTACGGCACCATGATGTCCGTCGCCACCCGGGACGCGATGCTCGCGCGCCGGCCAGGCAAACGCACGCTTGTCATCACCCGCTCGACGTTCGCTGGGGCCGGGGCCCACGTCGGCAAGTGGTTAGGCGATAATTTGAGCCTGTGGGATCATTATCGATTCTCGATTGCGGGTATGCTGGCGTTTGCGAGTATCTATCAGGTTCCGATGGTTGGCAGTGATATTTGTGGTTTTGGTATGTCTCGTGCTTTTTCGTTTATTCAAGTACTCATGGATGTTGTAGGTGGAGACACGACAGAAAATATTTGTGCACGATGGGCCTCACTCGGCGCTTTCTATCCGTTCATGCGTAACGTACGTTCATCTGATTGTCCTTGTGTCCATCTCGTCCTGAGCTATCACTTCTGCAGCACAACCAAGATAATGCCATCAGCCAGGAGTTCTACCTCTGGCCATCGGTCGAACAGGCAGCCAAGAACGCGATAGACATTCGGTACGTGGTTTTCATTCTAACCCACTCTAGGTTGCTCATCCCGCCCTCCAGCTACCGTCTCCTGGACTATATCTACACCGCCTTCCACCAGGCCCACATCGACGGCACGCCGATCCTCCATCCCGTGTGGTTCAAATACCCAAAAGACGCCAACACGTTCGCGATCGAGCACCAGTTCTTCTACGGCGACTCCATCCTCGTCTCGCCTGTCACCGACGAGGGTGCGACCTCTGTGTCTATCTACCTCCCGCGCGATATCTTCTACGATTTCACCACGCTCGCGCCAATCCAAGGCACTGGTTCCTCCGTCACACTCACCGATGTGGACTTTACAAAGATCCCTGTGCACATCAAGGGGGGTGCTGTGCTGCCTCTGCGCGTGAGCTCGGCGATGACGACTAAGCTCCTCCGGCAAACGGACTTCGAATTCGTCATTGCCCCCGATGCACGGGGCACAGCGTCTGGAAGCCTGTACATCGATGACGGCGAGAATCTCGTGCAGCGCGGGACGACGGAGGTGGGGATGACGTTCCGTGGTGGACGGTTGACGGTGTCTGTGCGGTTTGGATATGCAACTGGCGTCAAGGTTGCGAGGGTTAGGTTCTTAGGCGTTGCCAGGAGCCCAAGGAGGGTGCTTGTGGATGGGAGGGCTGTGGAACGTTCAGCGGTGGTGTATGATCAGGGCACGAAGGTGCTGGATGTTACGATTGGGGTGCCGTTCAAGAAAGGATTCAGTGTAGAGCTGCAGAATTGAGGAATATTCGGCAACTTAGTACCAGTTATCTGATTTCCGAATGCTAATGCCTTCCAACGACTTCTGGTATCTCAACTCCATTGACCCACACAAAAGCCTCGGAACAATGCCGACTTGGAAGGCAAGCTGCGTTCTTGCTTCAATCGCCTCCCGAATTCTGTCCCGCCTTCTCCCTCCTCAACTTCTCGATATATATGAGCGTTATCACGATTATGTCGGCCATGTGGTTAAATTCAGGTTGGATCTCGAGAGAAGCTGGTCTCGCCTTGCCTACCAGGCCAAAGTGTTGCTGGTGGAAATTGGCGACGAGGGTTTCGTTTTCGCCTTTCTTGGCGAATGCGTACAGCTGACCGGTGAGGGGAAATTAGCGCTAGGACTCCCTCACAAACACATAGAACTTACCTTTGGCTTGGTGGAGTCCATCTTCCAGACATATTCTTTACCGTCTAGGCCAGTGAATACCCGCCCTCTGCCTAATAAGCCATCGACTCCGATTTTGCCGTAAGAGTCCCATCCATCCTTCCGAAAGAAGTCTTTCACCGACACCTCTTCCCCATCACCAACCCGAATCTTGGAATACGTGATAGCGTGCCACTCGACCTTTCCGAGCTCTGTAAACGCGTCCCTTAGCGCCTCCTCGGGAACTTTGCCATCGGCGTCGAGGTCAATGGTGCGTGCAGGCTGGACTTTGGAGATGGTGATATGTCGTGGGCCGAGTAACGCGCGCGACTCTGCTTTGTAGATCACCTGCCCGGACTCGGTGCAGTATGTTGTGTCCCAGGGGGAGTTGGAGGTGAGGTAGAGGTGCATGATGCAACGCCTTGCGATAGTAGTGGGAGAAGAACGCTCGACAGTCCTGTCGACCTCAGAATATATGGCTGGTCTGAGTGCTGCGGAACAGGCAGTGCAGATTGTCGATGTGAGATTGGTATCAGAGCCAGCTTCCTTGCTCGGAACGTGTGTGATTGTCATATTCGAGCAGTATGATATTAGGGTTTAAATCGTAGGCCACTCATATTAAATCCTATTCCCCAGCAGAATTTTCAATTGCGTCGTCAATGAAGTCGTTCTCTTCCAATCGGTCCTGTCTGAACTTTTCGATGTAGATGAAGGTCATGACGACGAGGTCGCACATATACATGACTTCTGAGCGAATTTCGAGTGAGCCTGGGCGGCCTTTCCTGAATAAGCCTGACTTGGGTGGGTGGTACGTAGCGGCGGGCGTTTCTTTGTTCCCTTTCCAGTAAAGCTTATAACATATTAGGCTACTAAGCTTCCCATTTAGAAGATGCAGATTGTGTGCACTAACCACACAATTCTCGTCTTTCATCTTCCAGACATACTCCTGTCCGTCAGGCCCAGTGAAAAGTCTTCCTCTGCGATTGCAAAATTAGGATGCTAGGCCCAAAAATTAGTCGAGTGAGGGGACACCAACCGTCCGTTCCACGACCACCCCTCCTTCCGGAAGAACTTGTCACTTTTCGTCTCCTGACCCCCATACCGTATCTTTGAATTCGATGTATAACGGTAATCAATTTCAGCGATCGTTGTAGGGTGAGGCAGAAGGCGAGTGATGTTCATTTTCCTTGGACCCAGGAAAACGCGGTGCGATTCGGTCTTATAGACGACTTGCCCAGACGCGTCACAGAATGTGGTCTTCCATGGCGTGTCAGAAGTAAGGGTGAAATGAGGCATTGGAGAAGCGTGAACAGGTTTAGGAAACTGTAGAGAGCGCTGATTACTGGAGCCTTATATGAGTACTTGGCTCTCCCAATTGGAATAGACATCGATTTGACGCAGCTGGTGGACGTCGAGCACTGCCTGTGCTTGACGGCATGGCATGGGTAGATAGCACAAGCTGCGGGCGCTCATCCTGAGCACCGCCACCACGCCAAGAATAGTACAAGTACAAGCAAGGATCGACAGGGGAGTCAATAAATATTCCCTGGTAAGAAGTACTGGTGGTCGAAAGATTTTGTCTTGTAACCGTTTTCAGGTGAGTGGGGGTGACTTGCGTCGGGTCGGAATAGTCAGTCTTCACTGCATGAAATGAAGGCGGGAAGCATTGGTCAGAGATCCGTCCTTCAGTGACCGTAAGGATCGGTGTAGGAGGGAAAAGCTGACAGTCATCTTCACTCGAAAAAGAGTACGGAGATAGAAATATCGCCCCTATGAAACAGCCGATGAGATGTCAATATTTGCCTTCACTGCAATCATTATGGAGCAGAGTACGCACCGAAGCTCTCTTCCCCGTTGACCACCAATCTGATACAACGCCTCAGTAGCCTCGCGGTCCGCACCACCCAGTGCGTTCCTCATCAGGTGCGACGCCGCGTTTTCATCGTGTGGAACGGATATGAACCGTTTCTCGACGTTCCACGATTTGTATTTGGTGGTCGTGTCCTCATACCCATCTGGGAAGACAACCGGCAGCTCGGAAGGGAGGAATGTCGTCTGATGGAGCATGCTACACGCGGCGACGAACGCTGTCGGATTTTCTTCACTGGGCGGGAGGATGACCTCCTGCTCGCCAACGCGCTCTCTCGTGCCTCGTTGCTCGAGCCATTGGCCTACGAGCCCGATGGCTTCTTCGCTCCCGAGCGATTCCCAGAACGCTTCGGACGCTAACACGACGAAATCTCCTCTCTGGATACCTGTGAAGTGGGATACAGTGGGCGTGGGCGTGGCGGAAGATCGCTCGGATGGGGCTGGGCCTAGATATTTTTTGTGCGCCAGCTCCTGCGCCACCTTAGGCCACTTTCTTGGGCTGTCGCCAAAGACGCGATCGGCATCCGAGCTCTCTGGCTGGGCGAGGACGTGGACCTCGTATTTGTGCCGCGTAGGATTCATACTGTCGACAACGCGTCTTCCGAGGACGGCACGCCCGCCCCCAGTGCGTGCGACGTAAAAAACGCGGTCATTCTTGAGGTACACGCCAACAAGTGCTGTCGCGCTGGAGTAGGTATCCGCAAAGGCCTGAGCAATCGATCTTTTCGTCTTGAAGCCGGTGTTCTGGCCAGTCGTTGTCGTCGGCAAAACCTCATGGCCCATTACCTCGTGGAGCTGCGTGTAAAGACACTTCGAGTCTCGATACTGGAAAGCTACCTTGATGGCAGCATGGACATTTTCTGGGGTAAAGGGAGGGTATTCATCGTAGCAGACTTGAAGGCTGGCAATTACCTCAGCCAAAAGGGATTTTTCGAGCATCTCAGCGGTGGAAGAGCCTTTGTGTCCCTGGTATATTCCGGTAAGAGATACGGGGAGGGCTTTGTCATTTAGAGTGTATGTGAGAGCATCTGACAAGATCGAGCCTAACGGTCCTCTACTCGGCATGAGTTTGGGGTATGGCGTAAGGGATATAAACTCAACTCACGATTTCAGCGTCAGACGGTCCAGTCGCAACACACCGTGTTTATCGAGTTGCGCAGTTTTGGAAAGCATCCGCGACGCTTCCTCGAAGCTGTCGAAAGGCACGTACTGGGTAATCTGCAAGAGAGCGTTCCGAAGCTCTGCCCTAAGTTCGTCCCCACCTGGCAGCTTTTTCTTAGGCATCACCACGAGCGAAATCAACAAGCCGACGCCGACTCCAAGAAGTATGAGATCAGGATTTCGGCCGTTCGTTAGCTTCATACTGGTCTGTTTTTCGGGAGTCGCGAGAAAGGCGCGTCGGGCGTTCGGTGTGAAATTCGAGTGACCGGGGAGGCGTAGGGTGCATCGTCCTACAACGCGTCGTAGCATTGCAGTCAACAGAGAAGTTCTGAGAAAGCAGGACTTACACTTTGGGGTGGTTATATAGCCTAGTGTTGTGAATCAATGCCACGATGCTAGCCTGCCACTTCAACGCGTCACCAGCGGCCGTTTTGGATGTCCGCCAGAGATTCTTTTACACGCCGTTGGCATTTAGAAGGATCAACATGGTAGGGCACGATTCAATCATAGAGCATGATCCGCTGTGAATGTCCTAATAGGACTGAACCACAACGAGGGGTTGCCTGCCTTCAGGGTTAGAACGAGGAGTTCTAAGAAACTCGAAAGAACAAACAAAACATCAGTCTGCCGCCTTCCCCACTCCTTCTCGTGAAGGCTCTCTGTTGGGACGAGCCACCGCCGAGCTCTTCCTAGGTTGCTGAGAAGCTGTCTGCCGTCGATGACGAGGCCTACGGCACACGGAAATGAACTCGCTGTCTATAATAATAAAGTGCGGAGGAAATGGGAGCAGATTAAGCGCTGGGGAATCAGCATACCTTATATTTTTGTAAGGCCAAAGAAAAGGATTGGCGAAGCTGTTGGTGATATGTTTCAAAAGTAAGCCAATTGGGTCAATTGCAAGCCTTGGTCGGCACCGCGGCAAGACACAGTCACATGACCGTGTTACCTAAGAGTTCGTTTCCGAACCAGGACACTAGACAGAAGACTCACTTCGACGCCATTTCTCCTCCCTTCCTCCGTTCAACTTAGGTGAGTCTCTACTCCAGATTCCAATATATGCCTCAGATGACTGATGGCCATTGTCTAGTAGCGGCACAGGCCGTTACAACTGGGAGACCACTTGAAACTGAACAATCTTGCACGCCGTTGATATGGCTTCAGTTGTCAAACAGCCACGAAGGGTCCAGCCATCTCGCAAGGTCAATGCAAGAGATGGCCGAAGCACCAAAGTTTCAGAGGGTCCGGCTCTGTTCATGACGCAGTTAACAAAGAGACGCGCTGCTCTTTCGAAGGTTAATCGAGAGGAACCTGGATCACCAATCGCATCCGGCAGCCTGGAGGAACGGGAAGAACGCATCCAGAAGCTCCGCGATGCCATTACAGACGCCTACGCGGCCGCCGACGCTGATCCTTCTGATGGGAAGTGGATATTTCTCTGGCGACTTCTTCGAACTGGAGTCACCAGCGGTCGCGACGGACACTGGGCCGGTGCACGGAAGGACGTCAAGATTCCGCAGGAGCTCGATGGTGAGGGTTTAGGCTGGCGTATCGCAGAGACGGAGGCGGAGTGGAAAGAGTGGGAAAAGAGGGTCCTGGAGGAACACCGACTTCGCGACAAGGTCGAAAGCTGGCAACGGAAAGTCGACATCCGAGATGCCACCCTCCCAGATTCACTCCCCCGTGAGGCTGTCGAACTTGCACCTGTCAAAGTAGTTGATGCACCTTCAACGTCTTCGAAGACCTCCCATCCGGCCTCGAACCAGAAAGCTCCCAGTACCACCGCTCCTGCGAAGAAGACTAAAGTTCAGGCCACTATCAAGGCTGCAGCCCCTTTGGACCCTCTCCAGGACTCCTCCCCCTTTGGTTTTGCCGTCGTTAAACGTTCAAGTCAGTTGAGCGGCAGTAGCAAGCCCAAAGATGACAAGGCGAGCCGTGATAACAACGCCGATAAAGCTAAGCCCAGTAACACGAACATCAGAAACATCCCAGATTTTGTGAGTTCATCTACGAGCATCTCTGTCGCTGTCCTTACCAACCCTCTAGCAGTCATTCCTTCCCCCTTCGTTTCCATCCTCACAAATGATGACTTCAACCCCCAAACCCCATGCGAAACCCTCTAAACCCACTCCTATCTCTCATGACGCGTTACCTTCTCCCTCCTCAGCAGCACTATCTTCCATGCAACCCCCACCACCGCCCGTGTCGCCCCGTGTGACGAAGACTTACGGCAGATCAAATTCGAGTCAGAGTCCATCGGGAAGGCTGCTCGAAACATCCGCCTCTCTCCCTGCGATACCCCGTCCCACGACCCCCACCCGACAGACTACGCGCAAATATCACGACAACAACGGTGTTGTAACGAATACAAACAATAAGCGACCCTCGGATGACACCGACGCGGAACGGGCGTTGAAGAAAGCCCGTACATTACCCTCTCCTCTTATGTCTCTCGACTCCCGGCCAAGAACCCCTCCACGTACGCCGACGAGACCGACGGCTGCAGCAGAGGGTAGTGGGAGCACGATTCCCGGCCTGGAGCTTGCGAAAGCTTCTGCAGCACCAGCGGCACCGGTAACACCCCAATCCAAGCAGAAGAAAGTGCTGCCCACTCTCACGGAGCTCTTAGCAAGTGCAAAGAAAGGACGATCGACGAAGAAGCCTTCAAGCAAGGCAAAGGAGGTCGAAGTACCTGTCGTTGAAGAGCAAAGCGGAGAGGACCCAGAAGACATCATCGAGGATGCCCTGGACTTCGGGCTCGGTGCAGACTTGGATATTCCGCGAGATGAGAACCCATTTGACCTTGCCTCGCCGACGAAGTCACTCTCTTCACTCGCTGGGGACTCTGAGGACGAAGAAGACGAGATCGAGGACGACGAGAAAATTAGCGTGAGCGGCTCGTTCAACCCTGTCGCTACATCAACCCAGGTCGGGCGCGGGCCTTTCGTGTCTAAGGCCAACGCCGCCGCCGAGGGACAACCCGCCGCAGGCGATAGCCAACACAACACTGACAGCTGGGCGAGCATATACGCTTCGGGGTCCGGCTCCTCCAAACCTAAACCCAACCCAAGCTCGCACCCCAAGTCCGCATACCCTGCCTCCTCAAATCCCCTCCGTGGCTCCGTCTATCCGCCACCAGCGTCTTCCTTCCCGAATCCCTATGCGTACGCCTCGTACAACTCTCAGTTCGAGTCGGCAGTCGCCGAGCAGGTAGACCGAGTAGATAAGCTGCTGGAGAAGGATGTTGACTATGAGGGTTGGTTGCGTGATCCTTACGCGGATGAACCGCCTGAAGACGAGGAGGAAGCCGCTGGATTTGGGCAGAACTCGCTGGGAGTCCAAGGTTCGTTTGGGGTTGAGGAGAGCCCGTAAGATGGACGTTTCAGCTGACGTTGCTCAGTGGTGATCTTTGGATGTGAATCTGGTTCGCTCATTTGCAATTTACGTACGTATGTGTGACATTCTATCTCCGTTTCTTTGAATTCTGCATGGTTCACTGTAGGTAAATTATTCCCATGTATGTAGGTTGAGTCAATCGATACTTTCACCGGAATTATGACCTAAGCCTCCCTGTCCGCAGAAATCAGGTCCATGCTCATTTCTTGTCTCACTTTCGCAGCGTCGTGTACACTCGCTCCGCCGAGAAAGGTCGGGCGAAGGAAGCAACTGACATAATTCCCGATATTGACGAAACCATCATCTCCCACATCCCACGTTCATGTCTCTGAGTGCTATAACAGAATTCGAAGCCGTAGTCAGAAACCGATGGTTTCGAAACACATCCGTGATACCCCGCCCATTCCCCCGTACTAGGAACAATGAATAACTAGTCAGCGCTATCGCTCGACAATTATATGATTCTCAACACGGCGTACGCTTTCCGCCGTTGCGCGAATATAAAAGGCTTCGTCGAACGACAAGTTCTTCAGAAAGCATCTCTTTCTCTCAAACAATCGATCAACCTAACCGCAGACATGATCTTCAACGCCTCCAAAATTCTGGTGGCATTAACCGCCGCCGCCGCCGCCTCTGCTTCAGCTTTGCCTGAGAAGCGTCAAGTGCCGGAATTGGCGACATGCGACTTCGTCCTCCAACCTGATCGTCCTGTGGATTCCAGCCCTTCCAATTTTTTCGCGGAATTCAACTATGGTCAGTCCATCCTCTGCCGTTGTGAACCTTTATTCCTCATCTCCTCTAATTTACTAGTCATTGGCCGCTCGTTTGCGATTGAAAGGTGGAGGCATCGTTTATGTACGTTGGGATGCTCGATTAAGTCGGGTGTATTGACTTTGTCGCCTCTTTCGTAGGGTGACAGCTCGACCTTCACGGAGAACGCAGACAGCACTTTCAACGTTCACAAAACCGTCGGTGGTGAAGGCAAGACTGCTGCTGAGACGGCCGCCATCATCAACGGATGGGCTGGAGAGACGAAAGTCGGTATCGCCGCCGACTGGCTGGTGGTGTCAGTTACCTGCGCCTGAAGGACGGAAGCAGAAGTCGTGTTGATGTCTCGCGAGTCGCTTGTACTTACAGAAAACGCCTGGAAATCTTGACAAAGTTCGACAAACTACTTTTATAAGAAACTTATTGGCTGAATATCTTTTATTTTCACTGGCGGTTTGTACTCTAATATTCTTCCACCTTAGTAGTTGCGACTCGCGAGCTTGAAGCGCTTGCGGAAGCAGTGCGGAAGCGCCCGGACCCGTTATCGTATCTTATCTGAAAAAACTACGCCCAATCATGGTCTTGGCGCTTCTCAACACCTTTCCTCTTGCCACTTTCAGTTGTAAGGCAAAACACCAGTGCCAGTGGGTGAAATTACCATGGAATCCCCACCGTCTGGCATGCTGAACTATTCCAAGTGCTCTTTCTTTTGCTGTAAAACAATGATCGTTTCAAACGTCGGTCCCCATACCGGGTTGTTTCTCATGATTTTGACAGAAATCACCCTTCATAGTGTGACGTTTTCTTAACCAGAAATTGAAGACCTCCACATAGGTCTATTTCACCCAGAATTTGGGCTGCTGGACACGGTACTTGAGCTGGTCATCGCTCAGCGTTCAGATGCCTGACCTACTTGCGATGTTCGGAAATTTCTCGGATAATTTCCTCCCTTTCCTGCCTCCATAAAAGCTCGATTGTCTACCCCACAAATTTATACCCCCGCGTTTGGTTTATAATCGTACGCTTTCCGAGGCAAGTATCTACCCCTTCATTCTTGAGAATAAACTAGTGGGGTCAGGAAGAGTAAATCCCAAACAACGCTTCCCCATTGAACGTCTCGATTTATCTACGATTGAAGTTGCCGGTGTCGACGTACATCCCAGCAAGAGTACGTTCATCACAAACAAATCCGTCGGCCCTGAAGAACTCCTTCTCCTCCAGTCTTATCTCTTGCTCGAGAATGACGAATGCCGCAAGAATTTGAGCAACAAAACTCTCCACCCCGCCCTTGAAAACGAGAGCGTAGGGCTTCTCTTTCGTTGGCAGTTGGAGCCACACGATAGGGCTCTCCATGTTATGACTAGGACATAGCTTCGGGCAGTAAAATATGAGACACCGTTTGACACATGGCGGTGAAGACTCAAGGGATAGGAACTTACCGCTAACCTCCGGGTAACGTCTTTCCTCCAGGAGAAATTCCCAGCTGAAGATTCGATGTTCCATCTCTTGCTACGAATATTATAGTCGCCAGTAAGTACCCTTTTAAACCCGTCCACCTGTCCCAAAAAAAATACTCACTGTCCATTAGCCATCTTTTCTTCCCTGAGCCATTCCTTTATCTTGACGGCTTTACCGTCAAAAAAGTGCGTGAATTTGACCGTGTCTGAGTGAAAAGTTCGGCGCTTAATCTCCGCCAATAGCTCGCCGGACCGCACGTCCGTGATGGTAGTGCGAGCGGCGTTAGCATCGACCGTGGCCACTTGGTACCGCGCTTTGCCCTTGTATAGCAGTAGCGTGTTGAGCGCACTGTTCTTCGTCAACACGAGTTCCGTTATAGGCTCGGGATTCACGAGAGTGACTTGGGACCTGGAATCGAGGGCTGTGGATATGTTAGACATGGTGAGGATTTGAAAGGGAGAAACGTTGAACTTGAGTTTGAACATTCGAACGCCCACGATTTGGTTTAAATACCGATGAGGGCCAAGTACGATGCTCCCTGCGTCTCCTGAATTCGCTTGATATTGATCTAGAAGATCAACAATGCACAGCCCTATTCCTGTGCAAGTTTATAGACGAGACTTATGTATGATATCGACTACAATAACCCAAATATCACACGTCTGGTCACTTAGACGTCTTATCTTCATCATCTCCTGTGAGCCAAGCGTCGACTTACTTCTCGACCTGTTGGATTCACATAAGCACCCAACGATTTGACGGTCTTGGTAGTAGGTACGAGCCTACTCGACCTGTCATGTGGCGTCAATCCACCGAAATTCCCCCTTATAGATGGCGCCTATCCGGGTAAACCCAGTGAGCTGCCGAAGCGTAGGGAGTCAGAAGACTCTCCATGAAGGCTTAGTAGAGACGCGAAGAAATGAGCTACATTTCGGAACGTGAACTCATCAAGTACACACCGTTAAAGGAACACGACCACGAGACTCACCAATACCCAATCAAACACTATCCCCCCATCATCGCCGATCCGCTCGTTAAGCCCTCTCTAGATTGTCGACGGCGACACAAAGACTTGTTGTTGTGGTCGGGCTTCGCAGTTGCATATCGCAGGCACATTCGTATCGTGACACGTAGACAAACCATGACGGAGAAAAGTGAGCAACAACTTGCACGACACATAGGAGGATTTGAGAAAGCGGCCACAATTTTGTAGGACCAACCCCAGTGACATATTGATTGTTGGAAGATTTTGGATACACGAGGTGTGGACACTATACTGTGTTGACTCTGCCTTGATATTTCAAATACGCAGCGCAGCGCACTTCTAAGGTCTAGCGATTCTCCGGATCCGTAACGCGCCCCCGCGATGTTATCTCTCTCTCTAGAGGATTAGGAGGTGTAACATGAAGCCAGGAAGACGGAAACCGCAGATCCGCAGATGTTTGGTCTCTGCTGCATGAGGGAGACTTCACCGCCCACCTGCCTAACCTACTTCCTGGTTACCGACTTTGACCAGAACTTTGAATGGGAAAGGGGATATAGTCGAAGAGTCAGTGATTGGTGGAACCACTGCCCGACCACGTTCGGAAGAGGTGTAGGAGATCATGGTTTCGATGGCATTCGTGAGTGTCGATGCTAGGTTTGCTTGGAAAGTCTGCCGGTCTGAGGGGAATGAGATGGCGTTTCTGGAGAGGAAAGCCTAGCTCCCACCTCGTTCTGTTTTGGGCTGTCTTAACTCTGCATTGATTACCCTGTGAGCGGCGTTACAAGGCAACGTTTCGATGAGGAAAGAGTCGCGCACCATTGCTCCCATGGAATCTCCTCCTCGCCCATCGAGAACCAATTCTTCTTTGGTTTCCTCTCCGCGATTGTGACGGTGATCTGTAGATCCGTAAGGCTAACCCTTGCAGTATAGCGCGTCTTTACCGACATTTCCTCGTTTGCTCGCACCGCCTTCGATTCCTCTCCAAAATGCATCGACCTTTTCGCTCACTAGTCGTTCTGTATCAGAATCCGATACCCCCGGCTGTCCCGCAAGGTTAGCAAAAGTGGTGCTTCCATAGGACATGGGCGTACCATTGTAACATCTAGAACCTCGAATGTTTGGGGCTTGATAGTCCCAAAAAGACGATGAAATAGAATGGCGTGTAGAACACCATGGAGGACGTCTTTTGCGGTCAGGCGATCAAGGACCTGTCTTGTCAGCTTGACTTGTGGAATGGAAGGTAAAAACTTGAAGTTTACCAGATCAACCGTTATCGTTGGTAGCTCTCCGTTGCTCATGGGTCCTCTTTGGAAAAAGTAGAGCTGGTCCAATGGTGGTGGTTCCGAGTTCACATTCGGATACCCTAATCTAGGGTTTCTTCTGACTACTATATTTGGCGATTAGATGTTGTCAGATGTTCTCCGGATCAGCACTGCACTTTACCGAGTTCCAAGAAAATGTTGGTAGCACCCATGACCCTTGTTATGACTAGATATATAATAATGGGTAAGAACCAGTCCTTTCCTGTCTTCCTGTCTTCGAGGAGCGAAGGAACCTCATCCCTACATTTAAAAGCATTTGATCGACTTTCGCCATCGTCAAGAGCTCCCTGTTATGTCCTCAAAGCCGAGGGTTGTCATTGTAGGGGCTGGGTAAGCTACTTCGGTTCCACTGAGTTGCAGGGGCTCATAGCTGACCGTCCGACGTCGCAGTGCGAGTGGGCTGGCGTGTGCCATCTCGTTGAAGAAGGTCCATGGACTCGACAATTTTACGGTGCGTTGATTCGCATTCACGTTCGTCTGGGCTGCGAGCTCATCGTTGATACAGATATACGAGAAGGGGCCTGACATCGGAGGCACCTGGAGGGTGAGCTAGCTCGATGCTCTGGACTATTCCCATCTCACCTTCCTTGATTCTTCAACGTTTCAACTCCTGCTCATAGGACAACATCTACCCGGTACGCTGCTCGATAGCTATGTTATGTGTTCCGAAATAATCTCAGCCATCTCGGACTATTTTTAGGGCTGTTCATCAGATGTGCCCATGTCATTCTACTCCCTCTCATCAGACCTCCACGACTGGCCGCAGTCTCACGGGTCGAATGAGGACATCCAGGCGTACTGGGTCGGGCTCACGCGCAAGTACGGTCTGTACCCGCACATCGAGTTCAACAAGACTGTCGTGTTGGCCGAATGGAACTCGGAGAAGCAGCTCTACACGGTCACAGTGGAGAACTTGGCCACTGGCGAGCGGAGCGTCTCGACTGCGGCGATTGTCGTCTCGGCCATTGGGGTTTTGGAAGTCCCGAGGTATGCGGGTATACCGGGAAGGGAGACGTTCAAAGGAGAGCTGTTCCATTCTGGGAGGTGGGACACAAGCGTCGATTTGGCGGGGAAGAAGGTCGGAGTCGTTGGTAATGGCGCGTCTGCGTGAGTGCAATTACTTCTTACGCCTTGCATATGTCTAAATACTGTCTTATTTTCAGAACCCAATTTGTTCCTTGCATTACGAAGGACCCTAGCGTTAACGTAGTCAACTTTTGCCGAACGCCAAAGTGGCTGTTACCTCCGGTGCGCGACCATCGTAAACCTCCCTTCAGTTTAGAATTTAACCACCTTGCTTAGACACGGAAAACCTATAGCAACCTTAGGCGTGCCATCCTCAGAAACATCCCATTTGCCTACCGCCTGGTGCGGTGGTCTGTGTTTTTACGAGTAAGTTTACTCGACATTGATGTTCCTTCATTTAGATCATTTGACAGCTCGAGTTCATGTACCTGGCTGTCTTCGGCAATGCATTCCTCAGGAGGGTTGTTACAAAGGTATCGTGGCGCATTATTTCCGTCGCGATTTTGCGGCTGACCAACTATCTCTAGCTGTTAACATCTTATATACGACACACTGCCCCTTCAAGCATGCACGACAAACTAATACCATCGTTCCGTAAGTCCTTTCCTTAGATGAGACCCATGTCCGTCCTAAATCGCGATTCTTCAGCTGTGGGATGCAAACGCGTGATATTTGACACTAACTATTTGAAGGCGCTTCATCGCCCAAACCTCAAAGTTAACTGGGACGGCGTTGAAAGGATTACCGAGGACGGAGTCGTAACAAAGACAGGTTCGTAAAGGACCGATTCTTCCTTAAAATTAGTCCTTGCCAATTGCATTACTCACAGGAGACCACATACCGCTTGACGTCCTCATTTTCGCGACAGGATATGCCGCCGTAAGTCCGATGTCAACGTCGTGCATTGCCTAGAAATGACTCCCATGCGAAGGATGAATACCCTCTGCCTATCGTAGGCAACAGGAAGATGTCCATCCAAGAATCGTTCCGAGCAGGCGGCGGCGGCAAAGCCTACCTTGGAACCATGGTGCCTGGTTTCCCGAACTTCTTCATGATCACAGGCATGCCGGCTGATGACAATCCCCTCGATGGCCTCTGAGATACTTTTGACCATTAGGACCGAATGTCGTGACCGGCCATACGTCTGTAATATATACCACCGAGGTTCAGGTCTGTACTACACCCCACGAAAGCAGCCTTTTCGGCACCGTTGCTGCCAGGCCTGACTTTATCACTCTCCCGCCAGATAAACTACATCATGCAGCTCATTTCCCCTATTCTCGGGCGCAAGATAGAGTCACTAGAGGTAACACAGAGCGCTACCAATGCGTACGACGATAAGATTCAAGCACGGCTCAGCAACTCTGTATTCATGCAGTGCCATTCCTGGTACCGTGTTGGCGGCGAGGGCAAGGTCACGAACAATTTCCCTGCGTGAGTTGCTCGTTGCTACTTCTTCTCTGAAGCTTTAAGGTTTGTACTAACTCTTGACAGCGCGGCCACGGTGTTCTGGCTCTGGCTCCGCAAGCCCGACTGGATCCATTACACAGTCATTGGCGGGGAGAGCTGGTTAGCCAAGCAGCAACTCCGCCAGAGGATTTGGGGTGGTTTTAAGATGTCTGCGTTATTGTGCATCCTTGTGCTAGGTGCTAGCTACTCGCGGAGAGCGATCTTTCGATGAAAGATGTGTTTAAGTACTTAAAGTAGAATGAAGCTCGACGATTTGATCTTTCCAGTGATGTTTATTTATCTTCTACCTACTAAAACCAAGGTTTTGTCCAGAAGTCAACTTTACATAAAATTTGACGGAATGTGAGCACTCGAGCGCTCAACTTGAAACCCGCCAGAAGTCGATCGCCCCCAAGCGAAATTCAAGTAAAATCAAATATAAAATTTGAAGATTCAAATCCACAACCCCCTTGCGGGGCACAGACAAATATCTGGGGAGATGATTAGAGTTTAAGTAAATTTGAATAGAATAAACTATGCAGTACATTTGCTCTGAATATTTGCATGACCCTTAAACTTGCCGGAAGTCGCTCGGCACGACGGAGGGGCGAAGGCCGCGAGCAGCCTTAAAACACTTCAAATCGAAGTAAAATCATGGGCAACCTGGCATGTGTGTACTTATTTATTTTAGGTTCCACTTCCCCTAGTTTATCAGATAAGATAAGATAGCGTCGTGTTATTGGTAGCACTTCCTTTGCCGATCTTCCGAACCTGGTTGAATGACTCAATGTTCGACTTGGCCTCCTTCCTGGTTATTTCTTTCTTCCCGAAATGACTACCGATTCTGAACAGCAACCCTTGCTACAACCTTCAAAACATGAAGAGGTCTATCGCAGATTCACCCCTGCGAAGAAGAGAATGATTGTAGCCATTGCCTCTCTCACCGGTCTTCTTCCTCGTAAGTTTTGGATGATTTTGTATCATGGTTACATCTCATTACTATAGTAAAGTCTTCGTATCGGGAACTTTTGTTCCTTCGATACCTCAAATAGCGAAAGACCTCAACTCAACCGGTGCGGTCGTAAGGTGAGACCTCGGTTGGTTCGCTTCACGAAAGAAAAAAACTAATCCGCGACCTTTAGTCTGGCCGTCAGCCTTTCGGTGTTTGCGGCCTCGTTAGGTGCCCTCCTGGGAGCGTCATATTCTTCATTCTGTAAGTCGATACCTTCCCTTCCATTCAGGATTGTGACGAGTCATCCCATGGTGCTCTACCCACACCCTGACAAAACCGCTCCCGCAACGACGGGTACGGCCTTTAATGGGTTAGTGCAGGCTTTAAAAGGAGCTCAAATAGGCGAGAAACCGTGACGCAGGCAAAAGTTTCGCGTTTCCGATGCAATGCCCGCATCAATTGAGTTGGTCGACAGCGCAGCGAATAGAGGAGGTTGTGTAAGCCCCAATAGCACAATCGTCGAGGCATCAGTGGGGAAACCGCGGGCCAGCTCATTTGAACGTTATGCTCGGCCTTCGCTCGACGTTATCTGATTTGCATATCACTGCGTATTTTACAGATGGCAGAAAGCCCATATACCTTACAGGAACACCTCTACTCTTTCTTGGGTCAATGGGAGTTGCCTCTGCGCAAACAATACCTCAACTCATGACCTGGCGATTCATACAAGCCATTGGCGCGTCACCTGGGTTGGCTGTAGGCTCCGGCGTGATTGGAGATATCTATAAGCTCGAGGAACGCGGGCAAGCTATGGGAATATTCTTCTCGGTGAACATCTGTTCGGACCTCTAGTAAGTATAAATGCTCAAAGTATAACAGGCCGTCTTACTTGGTCCTGCTTTGGCACCGTTGGCTGGAGGTACGCTCACCTTCCTCTATTCCTGTAATCAATGATGCCTGATCATCCTTTTGTTCGCAGGTCTCGCAGCGCATTATTTCTCATGGCGTCTCATGCAACTCTCACTCGGATTCGTCGGTATCGCGGTATTTTTCTGCATTCTGCTCTTCTTCCCGGAGACCTACCATCCCGGCGAACGGGGCATCGACAAAGCGGACCCAGCATCACTCCCAAGCTGGAGACCTGTGCTCATCAACCCCTTGAGACCCCTGTGGCTCCTGAGGAGCCCAAACCTGCTGGCCGTTGTCCGTCTTCTTTATTACTTCAGGAAGCAAGACGCTAAACCTACTCTACTTATGGATAGACCACTGCCGGATTTATGGCACTCATCACTGATTATGGTAAGTAAGATCGAATGCTTCAGATCATTATGTTTAGACCAGGGCGTGTACTGACACGAACGTCTTAGTGCTCTTGATACCACTAGCGTATACGATTGTAGGTCGTTTTGTTGTTCTACTCGATGCGACTAATAAATCTTCTTTCGTCAGGGTGCTCGCTATGGTATAACGAACGAAGCCCTGATCGGCGCCTGCTTCCTCCCCGCCGGTCTTGGAAATATGAGTATGGCCCCTTTCATAGTGCTCATGGTAACTAGCCTGATCATGCGACTCGTCCAGTTGGTGCGCCACTCGCAGGTCGCCTGTCCGATCAGGTTGTCATCCGATATCGAAAAGACCGAGGTGGGATATGGTATCCCGAGGACCGCCTGCGTGCCACAATAGTTGGCGCCTTAGTTTTCGTCCCGTTCTCCGTTCTCTTTTCTGGCCTGCTGACCGAGTACGTGCCTGGGAAGGTCGGCCTCGCGTTGAACCTGATTTGCTTGTTCATTAACGGCGTCGGGGTAAGCACTTGTCGTATCTGTCTGCCCAAGAAGCTCATAACTTCTAATTTTTTCAAGGTCGACTTTGTGCTCAGTCCGTCAGCGGCGTACTTTGTTGACCTGATGCACTCCCGAAGTGCTGAAGCGATGGCTGCGAACAAGTGTGTTTCTTTCTCCTGATATCTCCTCAGCACTTTGCTTACTCCTCCTCAGCGGCTTCCGCTCTATCGTCATGTCCATTGCGATAGCAGCCATCCTGCCCATGATAGAGAAGTATGGCGTCGTGGTGACGAACACCGCTGGCGCCGTATTAGGGTGGATTGGATTTGGGTATTTCTTTCGTCCTACTACCGTCCATCCGGAGACGTGACCCGCTAAAGCACGCTTGTATAGACTCCTCTGGATGGCGATTACATATGGAGACCGCTTTAGAGCGATGGCGGATGTTGGATTCTCGACGGCGGACAACAATTAAAGGTGTAGATCATTATCAAACTTCTAATGTTGGCATGAAATCATGCTTCATTTCGCCGGTTTATTGAAACTTAAGAACTGATTTTCTCTCCGAAAGTGTTGATACTGATATTGGATTCGTCTGGTAAGCTTATTCGGGAACTTTCATTCCTTGCTTTAATCTAATCTAATCGCCCCGAAAGTTTATTAATACACAAATCTACTAAGCGATGGGAAATGACTCGCCATTCCCGTTCTTTTAAACGTCAACCATGTCGATTAGCGATGTTCGTTTCCCCTCGTCCCTTCCCCCTCACCTGTACAGCACCTAGTGCTGGCGTATTCAACCGGTATCGCTGTTGAAAACCTCGTTTTGCTCGGGACATGGCCTCAGAAGAGTCACCTTTGCTTGCGACAGATCGGGATGCGGTTTACCGCCGATTCTCCCCTTTCAGAAAACGGGCTATCGTAGCGATGGTGTCAGGATGTGGGGTGTTACCCAGCAAGTTTACCCTCGCGATTCAGTAATCTTCCGCTCATCTGACATGAAATGACCTGTAGTGTTCGTAACAGGCACCTTTACGCCTTCAATACCACAGATCGCGAAGGATCTTGACTCGTCAGGAGCGGTTGTAAAGTAATCCAGGACAATTACTGCCTTTCTCCATGCTAATCCTGATTTCCAGTTTAGCAGTGAGCTTGTCTGCGTTTGGTACTTGCGTTGGAGGCTTAATTGGCGGATCCTACTCCACGTTTTGTAAGTCAACTTCTCAGTCAACCTGCTTGTAGCCTATAGCTGACTTAATCATTCGCGAAAAGACGGACGCCGAGCTGTGTACATATGGGCACTTCCTTCCCTCGTTTTAGGGTCTTTGGGTGTGGCGACGGCACCGAATATCCCGTCGTTACTATTCTGGCGGTTCTTTCAGTCCGTGGGAGCTGCTCCTGCCCTCGTCATCGGAGCAGGTGTGATCGGGGACATATACAAGCTAGAGGAGCGCGGGAGAGCTATGGGGTTATTCTTCGCAGTAAGTCTCTCCTCGGTATTATATTTTCCGTGTAGTAACAAGAGGCACAGGCGTGTCTTCTGGGACCAGCAATCGCGCCGATAGCTGGAGGCAAGTTAGGCCGAGTTGGAGCGATACGTATTCTGATTTCAGCAAAAGGTTCTGCGGCGTACTACTTCTCCTGGAGAGCTATGCAAGCAGCTCTGGGGGTTATCGGGCTCTTGATGTGGCTCATGATGTATTGGCTCTTTCCCGAAACCAGCCAACCGGGAGCCAGGGGGATTGACCAACTCGATACTGATGATCCTAAGCGACAAAAGCTGGTGTTTATCAACCCCTTGCGCCCTATGTGGCTCCTGCTGAGTCCAAATCTATTCTTAATTGTGAGTCAAAGGGTGGCTCGAATTAGAAGTCTTCCTTTCTGAATGCTATCCAGTCGCTCATCTTATCCGCGTCTCTTATCACTGTTTTCGGTGGGTTTCCTTCTGCTATGCGTCTTCGTCAACTAACATCCCTAGCACAGTGCTGCTTGTCCCACTGGCTTATACTATTGTAATTGACTTTCCTTGTCTTTCTTCCTATGTGACTAAATTGTTTCAGGGCGCCCGTTATCATATTCCCAACGAAGCTATAGTCGGAGCCTGCTTCCTTCCAGCCGGCCTTGGAAACATAAGTTCGTGTTCCTGTCTACTCTATATATACTTCATTTCCCAGAGATTGACTCGTACAATAGCCGGAGCGCAGATTGCGGGGTACATCTCTGATAGGACTGTTATTCAATGGAGGAAAAGACGTGGAGGGGTTTGGTACCCCGAAGATCGCCTTCGAGCGTCCCTAATTCCTTTCGCGGTCGTTGTCCCAACTCCCCTCTTGTTATTTGGCCTCTTCAACCAATACGTGGACGGCACTCCAGGCCTTGTCTTATGCCTCGTATGCCTATTCGTTAATGGCATCGGGGTACGTTTGCATTCCCCTTCAGGTCACTCTAGTTGCTGAATATTCCTAGGTCGAGATGGCTTGGGGACCATGTGCAGCATATATCGTCGATGTGCTTCATTCACGCAGCGCAGAAGCTTTAGCTGCTAACGGGTAATAAATTTACATTATTCCGAGCACAATGAATTCACAAGATTTGTACAGAGGACTGCGCTCTGTCTTAATGGCTGTCGGAATCGCAGCCGTCCTACCCATGATCAACACGTACGGTATTTTCGTGACCAACGCTGTCTGTGCGATCCTCGTTTGGATTGCCTTTGGGTACGTCTTCATCTGCGTGATGAAATACTTTATGCTCAAGTTTATCTTCCTTCACAGGGTCCTTGTGTGTATCATTCGCTACGGGGATCAATTGAGAGCCTACAAAGACGTAGGCTTCTCCACTGCAGAGAACAATTAATATTGAGTACTCCGACGAGAGTCGGATCGAAACCATCCGGCGAGAGTTACGCACGATGTCGGCAGTACATCGCCTCCATATCTCCCCTGTTCTTCGAACTACTTTACGTAGTGGCGCGTCAGAACGATGAGAAAGTTGGACCACCTGAGCTTGTTCGCCCCTCCCAGGCTCTCGGGCTTGATCTCATGGGGCATGGGCCTGCCCGTCGGCAGCGTGCGAGGACATCATGTGCTCCTCGGTTGTCTCCTTTCCACCTTCAGCTGTTCTCAACACTCAATTCCTTGAGGCCCTCTTTCTGTTATCAGCCGAAAGAACCGTTCTTCCGCGTTGTCACACACCACGACATTTCAAGAATTTCAGCCCTTCATGGACGCTCGCCCGGCTCATGATCGCCGTCTCAACACCCGAACGACTGATTCTTTTCTAGTTAAATAGTTCGGGAGTGCCTTGACAATTTAGCCCCAATTCTCACCTCATCGTTGCCCATGGCAGACACAGTACAGATCCCCAAGACCCAACGTGCCGCAGTCCTCGAGGATTTTGCTAAGCCTTACGCCGTCAAGACCGACTACCCTGTGAAGCAGCCTTCCGAACTTGCGCCTAACGAATGTCTTATCAAGCTCGAATATTCGGGCGTCTGCCACTCAGATTTGCATATCCGGAACGCAGATTGGACGAACCAGATAGGCCTTCCGCTCGTTGGTGGGCATGAGGGGATTGGTCGCGTGGTAGCTATTGGTGATCACAGCGGAGACGCTGTCAAGGTGGGAGATCGCGTTGGCGTTAAGTGGATTGGGAAGGTTTGTGGAAGGTATGTCCGTCCTCGCCGATGTATAGATTGTATTATCAAGCTATTTGCAGGTGCGAAATGTGCCGTAGAGGCCATGAATCGAGTCAGTGAAGTTGACCACCCTCCGAGTTGTTCCTTGGGAATTATTCACCTTCGTTGACTGTGCCAGGTTGCCCTGTGAGCTTCCAAGCAAATCATGGCTACAGAGTCGACGGCACCTTCCAGGAATACGTGGTACGCGACGTTATCGGTGTAATGTCGAGGCGTCCTTGGACTTATCTTCTCTTGTGAGGTATCTTTCGCCAATTACGTCACCCCTATTCCCGAAGATATTGATGGCGCCTCTGCCACACCCATCCTCTGCGCTGTCGGTACCTTTACTCTTTATGCTATTCACTATTCTCATACGCACTCAGGGATTGACCGTCTATAAAGCACTCAAGCAGACAAACCTTGGGGTAGGTCAATGGGTTGCAGTTTCAGGTGCTGGAGGTGGTCTTGGGCATCTAGGTAATTCCGTCCAGAGTCCAGAAATTCGTAATGACGTCTGACATCTACCTAGGAATCCAATACGCCGTGGCGATGGGTCTGCGAGTATTGGCGATCGGTGAGTCCGCCTCTATTTCCCCAAGCAGCGCGCTTTTTTGATCGAGGAATTGTCTCTCCGTCTCGATCGCTATTGACGTTTTGAACGCGATCTAGATACCGGAGAAACAAAGAAGAAACTCTGCCTCGAACTCGGAGCTGAGAAATGGGTAGACTTTATGGAGTCTCAGGACCTTGTCAAGGACGTGCAGGCAGCGACAGACGGGTTGGGTCCCGAGGCCGCTGTTATCGCAGCGGGAGATGTGAGTTCGCGCTCGCATTCTCCAGTCCCAATCTTATGTCAAAACGTCGTTGATGGAAACGATACGATGTGTACAGGCCAGGCCATTCAATCAAGCTGTGATGTATCTTCGTCCCAAGGGTACTCTGGTCTGCGTTGGCATGCCCGCGAATAGTGCGCTCTTAAGCATACCCATCGCGCTTTTGATTGCCAAAGTACGTGTCTTGGGCGCTGTGCGGAGATTGTTCACTCATTGTCATGACCGCGTTTCATCCTCGCATTTGTCTACTTCTTAGGCGTTGACGATTGTTGGATCAGCTATTGGGTACGTTCGTCCAATTTTCATCTTTCACATAAGATTTCACTGCCCTTCCTTCGACTCTATCAGGTCTCAGCAGGACACGACTGAGGCCCTCAGAATGGCAGCCCTCGGGAAGGTAAAGTGCCGTCATGAGCTGAGGAAGCTGGAGGATATCAATAGGTACGATATCTTATCATTCAGAGCAGCTACAGTGATTGATGGACACATAGCATATTCGACGACCTGGCAGCTGGCAAAATCGCCGGGAGGATCGTCATTCGCTTTTAGGGTCTTTCAAGTGATGTAAGAGTTGCTACGTCGTCGTTTTGGTTGTACAATTAGGGTTTAAATTTCTAAATAACATGCGAATGTATAGGAAGACGGTGGAGGGAGAAGCGGCCTTCTAGAGGCGCATGAAGTGGAGAAATAAGAAAGCTCGTGATGGCGTGGGGGTATAAATGAAGGGGGGAATCACTGAAGACATTAGGGCCCGCCCGAGTCAGAAAGAGGTCCGTACATCATTCCGTTTTGTCTCCTCTTTTCCTTCATTCGTAGCCGTTGCTCGAGGATGATAAACGAAACAATAACGTCTTCAACCATCTCCTCTGCGCCGCTCTTCATCACAAGGACGATTGCGTCTTGCGGTTGCCTGTTCCTCGAAAAGAAGGCCACAGGAACTTGGTGATCCTCTTCTGCGTAGAGCTGGATAATAGGATTCCTTTAGAATTCACCCATCACCCTTACAATGAACACACCTACCGCCAGTCTATGGGCAGCATCACTCTCCCATACGAAATTTCCGACGTCCGTCACAAGAGATATAGATGGTCTAAAGCTTCCTTAAGCTTCAAGCCGCTTTTGAAGTAGAACACCAACGCACTCGGCATGGTATGGTGAATGCGTTATCGGCCTCAGCCATTTATTGATCGCGACTGAAGTGCCGTTATTTCGCGCCGGGAACTTGATCGTGTCTGCGAACACCTCTCGCCGCTTGATGGTGGCGACAACACTCTGGGTGGCGATGTCGCAGACGTCTGTGCGCGTCCCAGATTTGTTCGTCATGATGGTGTATGATGGCTGGCTGTTGCAATAGAGCGTCGAGTTGATGACGCTGTTGCGGTCGAAGTAATATGATCGCGGTTTCGAGGAGGTCGGTGGCAACTCAAGGAACGACTCCATGGTGAAATGGGACTGGCTCGACATCAGGCTCGTGTGAGAAGGGAGAGCCTCTGGGCGCGGGTGATTCTGATGGTTGTGAGAAGCTCCGGAGGATGTTATCGACAGAGAAGGAAGGGTCTATGAGGAATACGAAATGCAAGCTTTGACGTACTTATACCTGCGACTTATTACTTCAAAGTCGGGGTCTGTGGGCGTTTGACAGGATAGTGACGATCTCAAAATTTCCATTCCAGGGTATGCTGTCGAGTGACCCTGGCTTTATCACCCCGTCTCTGCGACCAATGAGGTATTTCGAGGCCCAATACTCTGGATGGTGGCGGAGAGAAAGCGTCCGCCCGACATGTGTTCTCCGTCTACTTGTGAGCTTGATGATTCCCGAGCGAATGTGGGGTAATTTGAGCCGCCAGGGTCTTCGGGCATTTTTCTGGGGAAGAGGACAGAAGGTGGCGTCGACGTGGTTACTTTACTGTGAAGGAGTCTACATATATTGCCTCCGTTCTCCGCTTTTCCTACACTGTATCCGCCCTGGTTTTCCCCGATATAATATCGAGGTCAATTTGGGGAAGATGAGGCAGGAAGCACCCTCACACACAAAGTAGATCTCCTTGTGAACATGTCAGAATAGAACAACCGGGAGAAGGAGAAGGACTCGCCATTCTGCAACTGAGTTGTGGGAACGGTGGGGTTTCCAGCGCTTATATCTCCATTTAGCGCACTTCAATGATCGCTGAGACGCCACGCTTTCTGATGTTCCCCACACCAGCCACTGTACTTTTGCCCAGTCTGCCCACTGGGTGAGTCCAGACCAAGACACGAAGACTTAGAGAAGACCAAGAATTGCTCAGAATCCTCAACCGTGTTTGCCTTAACCAGTCTTAAGCTGTAATGACGTTGCCGTGTTTGTCTTCCTGCTAACACAGTACGGGCTCGAGCCCAGGTTTTGTCTCGTGATAAGATAAGATCTCGGAGAACAAGGATGCTCGTTTCCTTCGTCGCTGCGTTTACGTACCTCTGGCGAAGAAGGGGCGGAAGATATGCAGGAAGCGGGGAAGATAACCTCCGAGCGATCTTCTCCACGAAGTAGTTGCTAACCTTGCATGGTCGAAGTATCGTGATAATTCGTGTATTCATCGCAGAACGTGCTATAAAAGTGAGGCATAAAGGGTTTAAAGTCACAACCACCCAAGCGTGTAGCTGGAGTTGGGTTGTCTAGCAAAGGCGTTTCTATTACCAGGACGGCGGAAGCAAGAACTCAGGTCTTCACGCACTTACCGTGAAGATCATCGACGGTAGCGCCCGGTGTTCTGAGTTTTATTGGTCTCCAAATCGGAGAGGATGTCTTCTGCACCTTCGTACGTGGACAGCCGCCGACGCGGGGGTTTCGGAGAAGTCAAACTTTCGCGCGGACAAGTATCTACCGCGTCTTCTGCTTCGTCGTCACTCTCGAAAGGCGTATCGACGGGGGTCTGGGTTTGCGAAGTGGACGCGGAGGGTTCTTCAACGTCGTGTTGCGCGTTTGAAGGCTCGCGCTTTCGTTGTGGGTGCTGGTGGTGATGGTCTAGAACTTTGTCTGGGATCTGCCAATAGGGAAAGAGTAGGACTCAGGAGGGAAAGGCAGGACAGATTTCGAGGTGCGTACGGGTAGTCGAACAAGGTAGGCCAGCATCGTCGAACAGGCTGCGAAGAAAAACACCTTTTTTAGGCTCGCCGAATATGAATCCTGCGCCTTCCTGCGGAGCTCGGGCTCAAGACTTCCAACCAGCCGCGCAGACTGCCGGATCCTCTTGATCAACTACACACGCCATTCAAACTAGTCAGTGCGACGAAGCGGGTGAGGAAGGACCGAGATACGAACACTCTCTGCATCGGGAGTATGGATCCTTTTTCGCAGCTCGGCATCGAGATTCGATTGGAAGATTGCTGAGGACACTGCGACGCCGCCGACTTGGCCGACGCCGCGGAAGAGCTGACCAAAGCCGGTGGCGACTGCCATACAATCGTCTGGGTAAAGGAATGAATGTTACTAAGAATTCAATGAGAGTGAAGCGAACATATTTCTACCTGGAACGTGGACTAACAGCGCAACTGAGGTTCGAAAGAAGGATGCAGTTAGGATGTGCATCAAAGTGCAGCGAATAAGAAGACACACTGAGCACTGTTTGCAACACAACCGCGTTACCAAATCCAAGAGGTATAATGCTGAACCAGGATTGGTAGAACCCCGAATCTTCTCCCATGAGGTAGATGAACGAGGCCCCGATGAAAGGGAATGCGCCGAAGATGAGGTTGATTGTCTTATACCGTCCAGTCTTGTGCATCATCCATCCGGCAAAGACTGACCCAATCGACATCGACATGCTGTTCGGCAGCAGATGCAGGCCTACGTCAATTCGTTAATTCCTGCCGTTTGGCACGATCCGAATAACTTAAAGAAGCAGACGCACCTGCCGTGGACGCATTCGTCAACATGACTGTCTGGAACCACATAGGGAAGAAGTACATGACGGAGAAGTTGCACGTCGCGACGAGGAAATTAGACATGCCAACCAGGACTGGTATTTTTTGCCGGATAAGGAAAGGAGCTAGGACTGGCTCTTTCGCGACAAAAAATTCAACAAAGAGGAAGGTAAAAGCAAATACCACAGCGAGTACGAGGGAAGCGATCACTGCTGGGTGGGACCACTGCGACACATGTCAGAGAAAGCTGGTTTGCAGATGGGAAATTCGTACTGGGAGCATTTCGTTGTACCGTACACTGAGGAAGATGAGAGTCGAGCCAACCTAGAGCAGAGGTCAATCTCTGTGGTCGAGCTACCAGGAGCCTGATGCATACCGTCATCATAAGACTGCCGCTGCCCAGATAATCGATTCGCTTGAGAATCTCCCTCGTGCTCTTCCCCGTACCCTTGAAATTTCATTGAGCATGAGGAATTTGTGTATAACTCGGCGAAAGAGGTACTTCGGTTTTATAGTTGAGGTTCCACGACGTCAGGATATAGGAAACCACGAACAGGGGCATCTGTATTAGGAATGCCCATCTCCAGCCCAGCCTGCATTGATGAGAGGATAACGAAGCGCAAATTTAACGCGTCAGACTCACCAATCGGTGATCAGCCCGCCGAAAGGCCCCCCCAATCCAAGTCCGAGCTGTATAAAAGCATATCAGCAAGGAAGCTTTCCACGACTAAGAGCTACAAACCCCGTTAAATACGCTGGCGACTCCTTGTGTGAGACCACGACTCTGCAGGAGAAGCTCCAGTCTGTAGAAAGACCGACCAAGCCATACCGGATACGCACTCGTATGCTATACATATCGCTAACAATTATCCTAAACATAGTTCAGGGGACGATCGAGTAGATGTGAACAGATACGCACGAAGATGTTGTGAACAGTCCTCCTCCCCCGATTCCCGACAACTGACGGGGAGTTCAATACCTCAAATGAGAGACTGATGGGAAGGACGTACGAATCTGGCGATTATTAGCATCTCCATGCTCCTCGACATGCCACACATGAACACCCCAAATCCTGCAAAAAGCAGTGCAGTCTGATAGGCGCGCTTCCGACCCAGAACGTTACACAAACGGCCATACAGCGGCGTAAAGGTACATGTTGCAAGCAGATAGCTGATTGACGAAAAGGTTCTGAGCAATGTATCGTTGTGATGGTCAAGATACATACGATGTCCCTAGCCAGCTGGCTTGATTCGACTTTTTGAAGTCAGAGGATATTGAAGGAAGCACTGTCGGCAAGTCAGATCGACAAATTGAAGGATGCAGAGTCGACGCACTCGTTGGAACTAGGGTCTCTTTAGATAGGATGATGTCAGTCTACACCAAATTGAAGAGTAGGGATGCATTCACGGTTCAAGGACTGCAAGGGTCAATCATAATAGAACAAATGCGAATATGAGAGCGCAGGCTCACTGAAAGAACGGTTCCTGTCCACAGACCAGCTAGAATGCCATAGCGTGTCGAGCGCGATATTTCAAGAGGGCCAGGGAGCGCGTCCTGTTTGTCGTCGTGTTCATTTTGAAGCAATGGATCGCGTTCCGACATTTGGTGCTGCGGGCTCGACGGTCAAGATGTGGGTTGAAGCACACGACCGAGGGAAAGTGGGCCTTTTGTAAGTAAGACGTCAGTAGTTTAAAGGGTTTTCAGCCGAGTCAGGTGACCAAAGCCTAAATATAGGTTCGGCTCGCCATCCGAGCGCCTTGGCAAGCCGACATCGGAGAGCGCGTAACATCTTGAACGACAAGAGAAAGTCCTGCCGCAGTAGATATTTGTTGGGATTCAAACTGAGGGTTCCAGGATGCCTGAGGTATAGACTGGCGACAACAGCGAGGCAATATTGGGTATCCGGTCCCCCATCTGAAGCCAGATCGTGACCAGGACTATTTTGGATGGCATCGTCTTTGTTGGGAAAAAATGTGGTGCTCTCGCCAGATTAAATCTGCCGCCTGTAGACCTAGAATTAGGCTTCTCCATCGAAATAAAGCTTCTGTGGAAGAAACCGGCGCCGATCTTGAGGATAACTCGTGGCTGAACTGCTCCAGTCCGAGTCGTGATCTCACCTGATTGCAAAGGAAACTTAATGAGGAACACTCAGCCAGAATCAACATACCTCTGCACTGGAATTGGCGATATCTGCTGTTGCCTTCTTGTACAAATAATTTCACCAACGAAAAAAAAGAATGGTCCCAACAGCAACCTGATTTCAGAGACTGTAAGGATCTGATTCCGAGCTTGAGCGTGGTTGCAGAATAGTTTTATCCTAAATAAAGGCTGAAGGCATTCAGCTACCCTTGAGATCGGCTCTTTTAGAAACGGAATCTCTCTCGTTAAGGATTGAAATATGCGTACCAGATTAAATGCGCCTTCCTTCTAAGTAGGAATTCGAGGAGAATTTTCTTTCAAATGATACAGCTTCGACGAACCTTGCGCATATATTCAGCCAAGATCGCCTCATGTGTATAGCTCCGTCAAGCCTGGAGAATAAACGTAAGCTGGCGTCGTCCGTTGAAATTCGTGTAAGTGAGATACCTTTCCATCGATAGCCACTCCGTATGTTCGTCATCAACGAAGTACAACATCTTCAACAAGTCAACAGCATACTAGCCGTAAGCCACCACGATCTTCATCTTCGGTTCAACGTTGTTGGAACCGAAGCATCGAGCATAAGGTGTTGGTGCAGGATTGTAAGCAACTTGGCTGTGATCGCGAAATTGGTGGGCTATCGCTGATGGTGAGCTGTGCAGCGTTATCCGAGAGCGAGTTGTTGTTGTCTGCAGAAATTCATCTACCAGAATATATGCGGCGTGCACGAACGAGGAGAGAGGCACCCATTCACCCAAACGCAAGCAATTTGAGTCGCACCGTCCAGCCTCGCAAAATATAAGAATGCACGTCGTCGTCGTACGGTGGCCTCCCGGTAGTCCTGGAGGTGGCAAGTCCGTCATACGCGAGGTATACATTCGACACGAAGTCAGAGGACATTGGTCACGAAATATAACTGCGGGGGTGGCTATAAAAAAGGGTCACCTCGGTTTCAGTTCAGTAGAAGACTGAACATACCAATGTAGAGGCATTCACTCCGCGACGGTGAAGTGGAAGGGAAGAAAATACATCTGGCCGTTTCATCTGAGGGATCGCCCTTATATGCCAACCACAACCCCAAATCGGGAGAAGTTTTGGGGATCTATTTTTAGAATGCTGAGCTGCTTCACAGAAAGGCCGGGGCGGAGCGGGGCGTCAGTGCCGTAATACACAGGCAAGGAGGAGCGTCTAAAGAATAAACAGATAAATTCAACGGCATGAGTACCAAGAACCCGGTTTGCGGCGGTGAAATCCTCTCTCAGAGCATCGGCGTTCGTCCTAGCTAATTAAACCATGAGATTCTGGTAGCCGGTAACACGGCTGACGCTTTACCTCTGCCATCGCACGACTCAAATGAAACCTTCAGACAGATCGTACCAGCATGCTCCGGGAGTATTTGGACAGATGGCTATTCTAGAACTGTGGCTCCTGTTCTTCGCGTTGTCAACTGATAACGTGGTCTGGAATGTTATTTAGCCCCAAAGGAGGTGGGAAAGCACCAGACCGAAAATCGAATAGCAGCTTTGGTGGTCACAAAAACTTGAAGCTCAACGGCGGCGCTTAGCTGCAGAGTAAACAACTCCTTTCAAGGAAACCGGGGGACCCATAAAACGCTTAAGTTCCTCTTTAAAATGGAGCCGGGTGCCTGAAAATTCCTTTTTAAGAGCGCCAAAGGGGCATAACGCTAAGCGCAGGATCCTGTCATCGGTCGATATCATTGTTGAATCCGCGGTCTTCTAGCTCCATATGTGAGCAGATGATACGCACCACTCGCGACCCTGCAGTGAATATTTATGTGAAGGAGGAAAGGCGTATTACTCGAATTCAGACCTACCACATAATGGTGGCGTTCAGTTACCGTTTCTTTTGTGCAGGTTCACACAGGCTGTTCTCTTGATCTTCCGACTCTAACCTCATAAGCAGGAGGGCTGGGGTTGGGTGACAGTGGCCGCCGTGGGCCATAATATTAAAAGATGACAGAACCATGTAGTACCGGGGACTACTATAGAACGAATGGGGATGAGGCAAATTGAAAGCAATAGGAAAGCATATGTGAAAGCGAGAAGCATGTGACGAGGAAATAAATAATGATAGGAAGACGTTTCGGGCTTGTTCAAGGCTACTGGCACACAGTGCGGCGCCGCGGGTGTGAGCGGCGCGCCCTTCAGCGACCGCCACAGCTAGGGCAGAATTGGTCTTTGGTGAGGGCTAAAATGTTCGTCAGGATGTTGTCGATGTATGTACGGTGTAATGACGCACTGTGCTGCTCCGGAGAACGTTTGCTGAAAGAGGTTGGAGCACAGTGATGAGGAGGTCGATAATTGCAAGGATGCAGGGACGAGTGGATGAAAAGGAAGAGTGGTCAATTAGCAAAAGGCGACAGAGGAGATGTCTGCATGACGCACTATTGCCAACAGGTAGTCTTGCAATTCGGGCAGTTTGCCGGATGCGCAGGGCTGACTTTGCAGTTAGGGCTGTTGCATGGGACCTATAACAGCGCAACGATTAATATAGAGTCCTCGCGTCGGAGCTGAGATCCTGACAAGTTGGTCGGGCAGTTGGACTCGGTGACCACAACGGGTGTAGCTGTAGCAGACGCTATCGCAAGACCTCGGTCAGCAACGACCTATCAGACGGAAAGGATGTGCTACTCACAGGCGAAGGTAGCACATTGCGATGCGGTGAATTGAATTCGAGGAGCTTATGCGAGTTCGCGAGGTAGGCGCTGCGTGAGCGAGTATGAAAGACGAGATAGTGGTGTGGGATATGGATCCATATCCTGCTTTATATACGTGCAGACAGAGTCTGTTTATCGACGACAAATTGATCCTCTTGCGACTTCATCACTGCGATGCAGTGCGACCTCGTTCATTTTAGTTCGGGAAGAACGGGTTTTACCTGCATGGGTGACGAGCGCAGAAACTACATTCCTGGCAGCCGCATTCCGTGACGTATTTCTAGAATCCGATCCCCGATGACGGGCCCTAGAAAGCGCGCTCAGGGATTGGCACCCACATTGATGTCATGTCTAATTACATTCCCTCAAGTAAACTCTAACCGCCGGATTTGAACGTCGTATCTTTGTTGAACGTGGTCCCCTGCGAGGCGCCCGGCGGGGCGTGGGCGTACGTACATTGAAGTAGTGGGTCATAAATGGGCAGATCGAGCCAATCCTTGGCGTCCGAGGCGGTCAGCCTGGTGTTCATTTTCGTGCATCAGCATTCGTCTCAGTGAAAATGTGTATCGGAGTGCAAGGGTCCGTAGATCTAGCTCGACGCACGGTGAGCTCGGATTAGTATCTCAAGTCCACTGTTTGGCCAATTCTGACGTTGGGCAATAATTGTTTGACTCGGGAGTTAGTTGATTGTAGGAGATCAAACGTGTCACCATAGAAAGAATTTCTTGTTAGATTATTGTGCGGTATGCAGCCGTTTTTACTGCTTTTCGACGCGTTTAGGGTCCAATCCCGCTGATGTTTGACGTGAAAGACAACAGGGATTCGCAGGCTGTGGAAGAGTGGGAAAGTGATCTGTTTGCGACAAATAAGGACAAATAAATCCTTAAACCACAACCTACACATAGAGACCATCCTGAACGCGGACCGGCAAAGAACGGATACCCTGGGTTTCTTTTCATCCAGATTCATTTATACATGTTGGATGGGGTTGGACAGACGAGCAAGGCGGGTGGTAACGTCTCGGCTCCAAGGGGAAAGCGTCACAAACGCTTTCTGGAGAAACAAGTAAATTCTTTTTCCCTGATGGATCCACACCGCTGAGAGGCGCTCACAGGGTTTTAATCTCTTGTTTTAGGATGCTCTATCCTTGGCTGTTTCCATTGCCGGAGTCCAGGAAGAAAAGGCTCTGTCGAAGACTGAGAAGCACCATAAGATTCGGGTAAGCCATCTCAGATTGCGGACGGGTGCGGATTGATAATAGCCCAACATTAACATAAGTGTTTTATCAGGCTATAGATCATCAGAAGAATGAACGGAAACCTCCGTCTAGCGCAAAAGGAAAACTAGTAAGTGACGATAATGGGCGCCTTTTCCACTGAGGTTGAATTAAGCTCAGAAAGAAATGAAAGCTGCACTCGCTTCCCAACGCGCCTGTGCTAAAAAGGAGAGAGCAAAGTCTCGTAAAGAGCGCCGACAAGCTGAAGAGAAGCCGGGCAGGGACTTGATTTCTTCAGAGAACACCTCGAAACCCGCGCGCAAGTCCGTTTCATTCGCATAGAGATCGTCTATGGCGTTCGTGGCGAAGCTCTGTCCGAAGACATCAGTTCATCTGCAGCGCTCTCGGAGAATAGGGTCCCTTCTTTCGGTTCTTCTTGTGCACTCCGTTAAAGACTCCGGGAACTTACCTGTCGGCAGCAGGACTTCCGAAATTACGCGTCCTGTACCCTAGCTTACTCTGGTCGATGATAATCCCGTCATCGTGGAACTGTTACATCTCGAGGACAAGGGTCGCCTTAGGGAGATAGGTGCATTCCTGCCCGTGGTTCTGCCCTCGACAGACATCCCGGCGTATAAGTCGTTCAATGACACCCGTGCACTCAACTCATCTAGAATCTTTTATCCTTTGCGTGCCACTTGGTGAGTGGGAAGTACGATTTGTATCGTCGTTAAGATCATGTCCCAAGCATGCTGGAGTTAAGCGGACCTGAGACTTACCCAATGTAGAAGTCCTCCAAATTACGCGGATTGCGCCACAATGCTTGAAGAGCGGGCATTTCTTCGAAGCACAAAACTTGAGCTCATTATTGACTCGTCTTTCCCCTGTGCCACAGTGTTTGGCGAAGTGGCGATAACGCTCGTTCGAGACACCTGGGTTTCACCTCGAAGTGCCGGGGTAAGATCTAACGTTATAGACACGAGGATGACGTGGAAGCTTCCCTCAATCGCGGAGGCACTATATGATTGGAACCGTGAGTGGTTTCCAACGCCAGGTTTAAGTGATTTCTTGGAGTTGAAACGACATATAATGAGAACACATCTCTCAAAACTAAGTTTCTACTCTCGGGAGAAGGGTGTCGGGCAGGGATTTGTGGGCTCGCAGTGGGATAATGATCATTCTAGTTGTCGTCTCTTCTCCGGCCCATGTTTTATGCTTCTTATTTCCCCCAAGTTACATGCTCTTTCCCATGCCATCCTCAGCGGCCATTCCAAACATATCCCGCCTAAGCAACTCCGCGAAATTCAGTGCCGCTAGACCCGCGTTGCCTCCGCGATAACGATCAAGGCTTCAATGAGTCTCACGCCTGCAACTTCCCGCCGAATTGCCATACATACATTCCGATTCGAAGGTCCGGTGATATTGTATAGATTACGAGATGACTTGCTTTCCATTGGGATACCTGCCTGAAACTTACGATCACCGTCGCCAATCGTTGGTGGATCGCGCCGACCCTGCAGGGGCGAGAGATTGAAAGCCACCAGAGCGAAGAGTGTGTCGCTATCAGAGAGATGACCCGCTTTGGTTCGTCGTTTGTTCGCTACCCCCGTCAAGAGCTCCGGGAAGAGGAATGAAGTGCAGCTTATATAGCGTCGTGTAGATCGCCTCGACAGCCTGGACGAGGAGTACTCTACACATTTGATCTATGGCGGTCCGTTGAGTCACCTCAATATCCAAACAACCCGGCGCTTATATAAATCAGTAGTTTGCGCAGTATACGGGCAGAGAAGTGAAATTTGCTGGAAATATATTGGATATTAATAGAACCGTGGCTGTACGCAAGGGGTACAATAGCTTGCAGTCCGACTGTAATCATTATGCCATCAGCAGAACGACTGTAGTTGAGTACGGGTCTATGGCATCAGGTGTGATATGAGCTCAAGATGGTGAGCCACGATTCGGCCTAAATGAGAAGAGCCTTGACACCAGGTAAAGGTTCGGCACGGAGGTCGGAATTAGATGGCCAGCTATGTGATGGATTGGAGGTATCCGAGGCACCTCGAGGACTGTCGGAGACGTTGAAGACGATACGCGTAATGCGACGGACTCCCACACAGCTTGCTAAATTTATCGAGGTCAAAAATCCGCATTCTTCGTTCAAGCGAAACTTGCTCTAGAAGTGTATTTATATTTACTACATAATTTGGGGAGTTTTTCGTTATTTTTTGTTCCTCCAAGCGTATAATTGTCCGGAATTAGTCATGTCTGCGCCACTTACAAATACATACAAATAAAACACATGATTGTGATGCTCCTCTTCGCTGTCCTCAACCCCAACCTAGTTCGCCCTCTATTCTTTTCATCGTGCGGTGCCCCGTAACCCAAATTATCGCTTTAAAAGATGGCTAATCTATCATCAGGACAAAAGCGGTCTTGGGAAGGGGATCATGAGGCAAACAAGAGGCTGAGGGCCAGAGACGAGCCCAAGGATTGGCGAGAAGTTCATCTAAGGTCGCCTCCCAAGAAGCCTACCCCGAAACACCATGAAAGAGATAGAGAAAGGGACAGGCGGAGCCCAGGGCGCTATGATGGAGGCGAGAGGCGAGGGTCTGATTCGGGACGAAGAAAACGCGAATGGGAGCATCGGCGCACCAGCGAGTCCCACGACCGACCTGGACCTGGACGAGACGAGCGGCGTCGGGACGACCACCGCCCCTCGAGGACCCCGCCCCGCCATATGAATAATCGGATTCGTGCCGAAGTGGTAGATGAAGAAAAGGAAGAAGGCGAGTGAGTGTCGTAAGATTTCACGTTCTGTAGGCTGTTCCTTGTTCTAACGGCTTCTTTTACAGAATATCGCCCAGACGGAGCCTTTCTCCAGTACCTGCAACCCCAAAGGTCTCTGCACCACCAGCGGTTCATATCAATGTTCAACCTGAACCCCAGGTAGCAGAAATGGACCTGGACCTGCCAGCCTCACCTCCTCCCGTTGACGACATCCTGGCTGCACGTCGTGCCAGGCGTCAGGCCATTCTTGCCAAGTATTCCGGGGTAAACAGCGTCAATACTAGTATTAGTCCAAGCCCGGGGCCTAGCAGTGCAGTCCAACCGCCTACCCCCTCCTCATCCCGTTCTAATCCTCTCTCGCAGACCGTCCGCGTCAACGAGCCAGTAACACCACTTGACCCCCAGAATGCGAAGAATGGAGCAATGCCTAGTAAGTGCGCATGTATTCTTCGATATTCGCATCGTCTCACTGTCACTAATAGGTGGTCGTGATTCTACCTCGATCTCTCCCACTCCGCGTGATTTTGCACTTGCAAAAGAAGGAGACTCAGATGAGGCGTCCCGTACTGAGCCAGCTGGTACTGAACAAGTCCTGGCTGCAGATTATGATCCAAGCCTTGATCGCAGAGAAGACGAGCGTCGTCGTTTCGGTGATACTGCTCAACGACCTTTGTCTGTTGAGGACAACGAAGATCATGAAGAAGAGGAAGAGGAAGAAGAAGAAGATTTGGACGACATGTTCGCTGTTGGCACACCAGAGAAGAAAGCCAAGAAGGTCAAGAAGACCAAGGTGTGTTTCCCGTTCATCTTCTGGTGTGCCGTCTTACCCGACAAACCTTTCTTCAGAAGCCTACCGCTCCGGCCATTATCACAATAGCCACACTTGATGCCGCTGCGGATCCCGAAGGATATTACAGTGTAATCCTCGGAGAACAGTTGGATGGTGGTCGGTACCAAGTATTTTCATCCCTTGGAAAGGGTATGTTTGCCAATGTGGTCCGAGCGCGTATTCTGCAGACCGAATCTGGAGATGTTGGACGTGAAGTCGCTATCAAGATAATACGATCCCAGGAGTCGATGTTAGCCTCCATTTTCTCAAAATTGTCACACTTTATTTGACGTGTTCTGGGATTAGGTACCGTGCAGGCCTGAAGGAGGTCCAAATTCTCAACAAACTCAAACAGGCTGATCCAGAAGACAAGAAGCACATCGTCCGTTTAGAAAGAACCTTCGAACACCGCGGTCATTTATGTTTGGTTTTCGAATCCATGAGGTTAGTCGCCTGTCTCTTTTCCTTCACAGAGCATAACCCCCTTCGCTCAGCATGAACCTTCGTGATGTTGTGAAACGATTCGGGAAAGACGTCGGCCTCAATATTCGAGCAGTTCGTGCTTATGCCCACCAGCTCTTCTTGGCGTTGAGTTTACTCCGCAAACTGAACATCATGCATGCGGATATCAAGCCTGACAATATCCTCGTACGGACCTTCTTTTTGTCCCTTCCGCTGATTTTCATGTTGGTTTCCAGGTCAATGAACAAAAAACCATGTTAAAGTTGTGTGATCTAGGATCTGCATCAGACGCGTCAGAAAACGACATCACTCCATACCTTGTCAGTCGATTCTATCGTGCGCCGGAGATCAGTTGAGTCGACGCCTATAACTTACGCTTTCCTGGTTGACTAAGTCTACTTGTTCCTACATAGTCCTCGGCATTCCGTATGACCCTTCCTTGGATGCCTGGTCGATTGGATGCACACTGTACGAACTGTACACGGGGAAGATCCTCTTTCCCGGCAGATCGAATAACCAGATGCTCCTGTTGATGATGGAACTCAAGGGGAGGTTCAATGGCAAGATGATCAAGAAAGCTAAGTTCGGGGATGTTTACTTTGATGAGATGGGTGGATTCGAGAGCATTGAGAAAGACCGGGTGACTGGCAACGTAAGTCATGTCGATCATTCGCCCCTCTCCACTGGTACTGACCATCTTCGTTTGGTAGGACGTGGTGAGAAAAGTGCACATCTCGAAGCCCTCCCGTGATTTGCGAGCGAGGCTTATGCCCCCCTCGTCCACTAAGACGAGCGACGAAGAGACAAAGTTAATAGCGTCATTTGCGGATCTGCTTGACAAGTGTCTCTCTCTTGACCCTGGTCGGAGAATAACGCCTCGCGAGGCCCTTGTGCACCCCTTCATCCGAGGCTAGACGATGTTAGAGGTGGTGTATCGCAAATTACAGCACACTCCTATCGCGGTTCAGGCAAGAGATACAATGTAACTTTATCATATACAGGAATGCTCAGATTTTCAAAGCGACTGTGTTACTTCAGGGTATTGCCTCCTGCCGAGTTCTCCAGTATGAACCGAATCGAATGTCTAGAAACTAGGATTACACGCATGCTCCACATTGGCATCGATTCGGGAAGATTCCCCGGACAATAAGGATCATCTAAAAACACCACTCAGTGCGTCTAACGGTCGGGGAGCATCCACGTATATGCTGCAGATAGAATGTGCCTTAATCGTCTGTCCCTCTCCTTCCGTCCACCATTCCTCCGATCGAAGTCCTCGATGGACCCACAAGGCCTCAGAATAGGCTAGGCGCCTTAACCAAACCTTAGCAGGTTCCGAGCTCCTAAATTTTGCAACTTTAGGATACAAATTCCGTGATCGCCACCGCACACTAGGAGTCGCAGTTGCGGTCGAATGCGGCCTGGCGGCGCGTCCACAAGGTGCTCCTGCCCGAGGACAGCGTTCAGAACAGGACCGCGTACGACGAGGAGCCCGTGAAGAACAGTTATTTCCTGAGTGCGCGGCTTGGGGTGTGGGGCGATCAGCTGGGAAAGGCCAATCCATTAACTATGGGGATAATCTTCCAGGACGCTGAGAAAGGGGACGGAGGTAAGTCAATTTTGTGCGGGTTTCATGGGGCCGTCACTTCTATTTCTCTATTTCTGTTTTTTTTTCTCGCACTTAACACAACTCTTCAGGTCTAGAAGACGTTATACCCCTTCTGTGGTGAAAGCATGAGTTCGCAGAAAAAGGTCGCCATGCGCTTTTATTTTCCACCGCAGCTTCCAATTGTTCCGCTTGGAGCGTGGGCTAACAGAGCAATGGACGCCTAGGCGCTTGTTTCGCAGTGCTTGGGACAATTCCAATCTCATGATTTGTACGCTTGCTTGTCCCACCCACTGTGGAAGCTGGATAGTCCCATTGATAAATTCCCAAAGTACGACAGGCGATATCGTAGGCTTGTTCCGAGCAATTTCGCGCCCATTGTTTACAGCGCACAACCCACAGACCGCTCCCCGACTTCCCCTCCCGTTGATGCACCCTGTTCTCTCTCACGTATCCCCGGAGTTTTGACGACTCCGTTGCAGAACTCCTCCATCGGTGCTCTATATTCGACATACTACGTCTACCAACTCTGAGTAAAGGTCACTTTCTCTCGGGGCCAGTAGCCTAAGAATAACGTCGGTCGGTCGCCATCACTGGCTTCTGTTTCCGCTACTTCCTGGCGGAAGATCATAATCTCGTCAAGACGGTGCTAGCAGGCCACCAGGGTCCAGAAGGCCCGCAAGCAACCTGCAAGTAGGATAAGGCTGTGACTGTGGGCCCCCAACTTCGCGGACTTGGAATCTTGTGGGGTTTCATTGTTAGGTAATTTTGGCGCGTGTGGTGTCAAAGTACTTACGGTGACAAGTTCGATAACTTGGCTATCGGAGGCTTGGAGTGTCCTCTCACAAACGATGTAAGCACTTTGGTGAGCGATATTCTCGGAGAACTATGCACTTATCCCTTACTCTATCAGGTGATCAGGACAAGATGCATTAAATAGGGCCGCTCTGGAGCTCTCAGTCACTTAGGCCGAAAATTTTCCTGGACCTCTTTCGCAGGACCATCCTGCGTCAGCAAACGTGTAGAGTGCATGCAGATAGGCAATTCTTCAGAATTCCTCACCTCCGCCGAACACAATTTTGGTTCTTGATCACATAGAAGCACTGTAAGTAGGTAAGTCGTTCTTCCGTCCCCTGCTCCCTCAGCTAAAAAGGTAAATATCTCATGTCGAATAAAGTTAGCGGGCAAGATTTCTTTTATTACGGCGTTGCCAGCGCTGGCACTTTTCACCGTGGTCATTGGTATGGTCAGACTTCCTGCCATTTTTGCTGCTGGGGTTTCTGAGAGCCGAGACTTCGAGGAGATACCTCTGTCGCGACACGCAACCAGACTCCCGCACCATTGGCGTCCACATCTGGAGTGACCTGTTGAAAAGGATTCTGCCCCTACTCTCCACACCCACTGTTGACTGACTGGCTGACATCGAATGTGAATCTCTGGAACTGCAGAGCGCCTCCGAGTTCAACTGTCTTTATCGTCTTTCCCGGCAGTGAACACCGTCTCAATCCGGCCCATTCCAGGTTTCCCCGAGTTAGTCAATGTTCCACGCCCGTCAACTTCTCACTGTGAATAACTGGCCTTCTTTTCACAGCAGTGCCGTGAAAGGAAGAATTCGGTGCCAGCATTCGTGGCTTCCTATTAGAATATTTTTCGATTGGGACGGACAATCATCGTTCACGGTTCGAATCAAGCACCACACGCTACGGGTGATAACTTGAGGCGGCGATTTGTGCTTAGACATTCCGATCGAGAGGGACATTGCAAGATGACGTGCTCCGTCCTTCCCTCCATGGCCATATTCCGTATTAGGTGCTTCTCTGGAATTTCCATAGGCGTCTCTTCTGCGTCTGGCCGTATTGCTCAGCCTTAGAAGTGACTACAACCACACTCCTAATCCGTCCTGTCATATCTATTCTGATCGGTGTCTCCCGTGCTCTTTACAGCGCACGTCTCTGGCGTGATACGAACGAAAGAAGTGCTGGCGAGTCAAGCCTTGAGGTTTCGACTGAGCCTCACCCTGCTAGAATGCCATGGCGTCAGTCTAGCAAGGACTCGTTACCCGTCACTAGGGAGATCCGAGTCGAGATACTCGACCTACCGAAGGAATGAATAGCTAGAGACATTTATTGCCATCCTGTGCGTTTCTGTTGCTGTTTTGCATTTCATTTCGCCTTTTACAAGTTCCAACTTTCTAGAACCACCCTACTGGGTTCTCAGTCAGTATGGAGTCCCCTTTATCTCTAGCTCGACTCGGGACTCACTGAGTCGGATTGCACTCCCATGAATCTCTCGACTGCTGGCCTTGTATGCAAACATATGGTTTTCCTTGCATCACGTCCGGCCCCAGGTTTATCTTCACTGTTAGCGTTGATGGGCGCGAAGGAGGGTTTTTCTTTTGTTTTATTATTTGACGCGGCACGTTTACAACTCAGTGTCTACATCGTGCAACTTCGATCTAGGTGTAACTTGTGGCTGGCTCGGGGCAATTGTCATGCAAACGGCTGCTACGATGTGTTTTGCCGGAGTTGGGTCTATCTCCTCTGTTGGGTCGAAGCACGACTGACATTGTCAAGATCTAGCTCCATGGACCACCATAGTTCGTTCCGGTCTCTGCGCCTCCGTCGTCCGTGGTTTCTTTTGTTGGGTTTATTTGACTGATGTGAGTCAGATAAATGCTGTTACCAGAGGATCTTCTCAGCTTACTTATCCGTGTCACTCGGTAACACTGTTTCGTTTTTCTCTGCCAGTAGTGCCGCCCTAATCCCCTTGAGTTTTGCTTCATGAAGGAGGGTGTGCGGTCCCTCCCCCGCTGATTTGTTCCATTGACCCATTAAACTAATTGAAATAATTACCCCGTCAATAATTCTCTAGCCTTAACACCCGATCACTGTTCTAATCACTGACCTACTACTGCTCGACGGTAAGACAGCTCAGGCACAAGACCATGCCTATGTGAAATGTCAGGGCGTGTTTACTCAAACGATGCAAGCATCAAACTAACAGTGACGACATTGACTGGCCGAAACCGAGTGCTTCCTCTTCTCTCACATAACTGGTGTTATTGTACGGGCGATGCCTTTCTCGCCGTGTGAGGTCCTTACATTTATAAAAATTTAGCGGGGCAGGATCGGACGAACGGTGACGTCCTTTGAATTGTGAACTTGGACCCATGTGAAGTGGCGAGGAGAAGAGAAGCTGCCGCGAATTCACCCCCAGGCGAGTTCCGTGTAGGGTTGTATGACATGGGGGCGTACTGTGTTATTCTGTCCCCGGGACCACTTGTGGCATTACAGCGCCATAAGCAGTCCGAATCTGTCTGCGCAGCAGCTACCGGTGCAGTGACAGCTAATTTAAATCATCTTCGACGCCGACTCGAATGCTGTGCCAGATCAGGAGTGGTGATCAATCTATAGCTTTGATTTCTTTTTCGATTTTTACAGAGGTCCTTGCTGTCGTGACTCGCTCTTAGAGGATCCGCTGGTCCGTTTCCCACCGTCATTGAAGCAATTTCGTGTACAAAAGAGTATTTTCCATACTATATCTCGCCGTGTACATAGCGACAGTATTCGTCTCGATAAGCCCTGCGTTGACAGGCGCGGTAATTGGAGGTAAAAATAACCTTGGGCCACTGCCACGGGCCGTCCACGGCCCGGTATCTCTTCCATCAAAGCCCACGGACACGTGACTTCCTGTTGTTGTCCAAGCGCCGTCGGCGTGTTTCCCTCATTTTCGTTTCGCGGCCAGATGAGCAGGCGGGAGTCGCGTTCGTCACTCGGTGCGCGCCAGAACGATGCGCTCTTCGAGTTTGAAAGTTGTGAGTACCCTTCCTCGTTGTTTGCGGTGCGGTGCGAGGTGTGGGGGAGGACCCGCGGACCTGCCACAGGCGTCGTGGGTACCACGAGGGAGCCGGGCGGACTTGGGATGGATGAGTTACTGACACCACCTTTTCTTTTCGTCAATATGATACAGTCAAGAAGAAGTTTCTGCTCGCCAATAAGCATATCACCAAGTGCGTTATCTGTCTTTCCTATCGTGCCGCGAAGCCTGAGGCTGACTTTGCTTTCCGTGTCTTCTCATCAACCCGTCATATTATGGCCTCGTTAATCTTGGTGGCATAGATTGAACTCAACACTAAGCGTCCGGATTGAGGAGCTAAATGCACAGATATCCACGCTGTATGTGGAGAATCTCCGTTTACGAGCGTCGGAGATCGCCCTCGCCTCGCAGCTCAAGCGAGAACGCGAGCAGTCGAGGAAGGTGCTAGCGGACGCGGAGGCTGCTGTATGTCTTTCCTTTACCTCCAACACGTCCAACTGCTCGCTGACGACGCTCATGTCACCTCTACTTTGCCCTTCTTTTTCGACGATTCCGATACTCGGCTCAACAACGTGTGCTACAACATGGACAGTCTCACAACCTAACCAAACAGCTAACACACCTTCGAACCTCCCTGCGGCACCAACAATCGTCATCTTCCGATGGTGGCTCTCCAACACTCTCTCCACTAGCCAAACGCTCGGTCGTCTCCCTTATCCCGTCCGATGGCTCTGGTTCTCCACAACTAAACAAGATATCGCGCCCGCCGAACGTACCGGGCATTTACGAAGACGACGAACCTATCTCTTCCGGTGATGAGGTTGAAGAGATTGTCGAGGTCAGCCCGCCACGGAAAAAGAGCCAGAGAACCAAGGAGAAGGAGAAGACCAGGGAGAGAGTCAGCAAGCTTCCTGTGCCGACTGCTTCTCTCGATCCACATGCCCATCCACATCCAACTCATGTTGACTTGCTATCCATTGCTTCCTCTTCGACATCAGCAAGCAAGCCACGGAAGACCATCCGACGACAGAGTGGACTATTGACGGTCAATACAGCTGCCGCTGATGCCCTAAGCGTCCCACGTTCTGGCAGCCCAGCGTTCGGCTCGCCTATCAGACTCGAGGCTGGTCTTGCGGAAGAGGCAGAGGAGAGGGCTGTTGTCAGTGGACAAATTGCTCCCGCTGACAAAGAGGGCGATGACGAGGTTGTTCTTGAGGTTAAGAAGGAAAGGAAGAAGGGCAAGAGCAAGGAGGTCAGGGACAGTGAAAAGGAGAGCGAGGCTGCTGAGGTCTCCAGACCGAAGGAGAAGAAGAAGAAAGAAAAGGAAAGGGACAGAGACAGAGAGCTCGACGAGCCAGGAGTCGAAAGTCTTCCTACGAAGATAAAGTCGGCGGCGAAGGATCATCGGTCGGCGTTGCAGCCTATCGATAGCAATGGTATGTTGCTCTTTTCCCCTTCCCTTTTCCCGACACGCTGCCTTGGTCGCCTTGGTCTTGCCGGGTTTTCTCTCCTCCAAGAACCCATACCGTTTTTTTTTGGAAGACACTTTCGAGCATGATGTATCTCCATCATTGGCCTATGATCGACCCGACCTCTCCTCTTTTTCATTACAACCCGTTCAATGTTTCGGTTTCATTATGGCTCTTATCGACGCCCATCTCTTCTCCAAACTCTATTTCTTCCAGAATCACTCCAGCTGACCACATCTCTTTTTCTCTTTCATCTGCTTAGTAGAGGACCATACGCACTCTGAACGGGAGAACAAACCTCCAGCGGGTTCGCCTGCACCTGCTCGCCAATTCCTGCGACCGGTCTCGCCTTCAGGCGGAGGAGGATCCTCGCGCGGCTCGTCGAGTCCTGTCCCTCCAGCAGGGTCTAGCTTAGGAGATGAGCCGGCTGTTGGTGGAAGAGAGAGGCGCCAAAGAAAGAGCGTAAATTACGCGGAGCCGAAATTGAATACGTGAGTAGTTTCTCTGTTGATTGGTTGCACTCATTTTCTTTGCCAATTTGCCGTTGATTTTTTTAATCGTGCCAATCTCTTTTTCTCCCCCTTTTTCTCCCCTTTCTGCTGCGCTTCTTTCATCAGACCTTGTCATTTCTTTCCCTCATCGTGCGTGGCGTTGGATTTCTTATCCACAGTTTCACTCTTATTTCTGCCATTCCACTGTTGTTCTGTTGGCTTCCGTGTTTTCGTTTCTCCCTTGCCCTCGGCCTCACATCTTTCTCGATTGTTATTCTTTGTTTGATGAATGAACTGGGTCTAATTATTTTTCTCCAACAGAAAGATGCGCAAACCAGACCCGCTGCCCGGTTCTGAACCTCCTGCACGGAAGAAACGATCCTCAGCAGCAGCCGTCATGACGCAGTCAGCAACATACAGCAGCAAACCCGCATCAAGCTCTTCAACTGCGACATCGTCGACGGCTGTCGAAGATCTCGCAGATACAGATCCAGAGCCCGAAGACCGAGAAGAAGAGAGAGAATATGCTCTATCTTCGAGACAAATTCCCTTACAGCACCCATCATCTTCATCATCCTCCCAATTCCCACTTCGAACGGCGTACACCCATACGCAAGGTCTTCTGCCGCCTGAACATTACCCCCTGCCGGCGTCGCGCCCTGGCTCAGCAGCAAATATGTACAGTCCTGTACCTAGCACGACCACTCGTGTGTCTGGATCCACTTCGTCTTCATCTTCGGTTGCGATGACACCTGCTCCAAGCGGTCTCAAGCGGAAGAAGGCACGCCAGCTTGACGAGGAGAGTGAAGATGACGACGCAAGCGTCTCAGACGGTGGTGCAGAGGCCGATGGAGAGTGGATCGCATCGTCATCTTCTCGTCCGGGGTCGTCATTGTCCAGAGGTGCCGCCTCGTCAAGTAGTTCGGGAGTGACAGGAACAACTGTCGCTTGGGCGAACGTTAACATCGAAGGAAGGAGGAAGGGCCTGCCCAAGAGAAGTGCGGCGGTCGCAGCGGTTGTCGCACTGGAGGATATCAGGAGGCATAGTATGGCTATTTGATAGCCTGAACCTCGTAGAGGAAAGGCCGGGCCGCTGATGCCGGAGGGTCAGAAGAGGGTGGAAGATGTAGCGACTGCGAGGCAGCCGCGATGGGGCTCTTTGCACGAGAAGCGCAGAGCCATGACGTCGCACCATACCCTCCCACACTCTCACTGGGAAGGGCATGGCCGATGGAGCACGAGTTCGACGTTCGACAGCCGCCTAGACGACTTGGAAGAACACGATCTCGAAGACACACAGCTGGACTGGGTTGGATGGACTCTCGATAACAATATGACCACTAGCGTCGTTGTCGTCGCCGCCCACTCTTACACCAACACCGACGTCGCCCTCAACGATAATCGACAACCAGCGTAACGAACTGCGATAATTCATGACCGCCAACATATTATGACGACGATGGCATACGATCTTTTTTTCTACTCTCTTTTTCTGCCTCTCTTTTCTTGCCTTTTACATCATCATCATTGCCATTGTTCCCTCTCTTCTCTCTCTGTACCATGTTCCTGTTCCTGTTCCTTGTCACTCGGGCCTGCTTGTTCACCAAAGACGGATCGATATCATATCCAGTACCCTTGTCCCGTAATGTTGAATATTCAATCTTATTTCCCGTATGCAATCCTGATTTCCCTTTCTTGTTCCTCTCGTGCATCTGCATCCTTGTTTTCCTTCTGTCCTGTTCTGTCTGATGGCAACTGCGAGGACGATGTGGACCAATGTATTTTGTATTTTGATATGCTATGTTTCTGAATTAGAAATTCAAAGATCGGCCTGTTTCTCTACGTTGTTGCACAAAGTGAAGGGTTAAGGGGATAGCTTCGAAAAAATTGTTGCTTACAGTACACTAAACATACAACAGTAGGAGAACTAGGCTAGGCTATCTTACACACATGTAGATCAAGAGATATATCCTCTCCGACTACTTACTTCCCGCAGCCGCTCCGCTGTCTGAATTGGTCTCCATATTCTGCAAATGCACCAAAGCTTGATGACTGAGGGTCACCTCGCCATCGTGTGCATGAGGCTCCAGCTGGTCCTGCTGCACCCCGCGATACTTCAACGCATACTGCCTGCACGCATCGGTGCTCTTCTTCAGCTCCTCCTCCCCATGGTCCATCGCATAAATCGCGAATCCAGGGAAGTTGTACTCCAGTAACTTCTTCAACGCCGGCAGTATGTCCTTATCAGGGGCATATGTCCCCGAATTGTTGTCAATCACCAGCTCCCAATTCACGTCCTCGTCGCGGATAGTATCATTGAAGTTCTCCCAGCCACCCTCGGGACGTGGATGGAACTCGCCGCTGTAGCGCACTGTTTCTGCGCAGTTGGCGTGTAGGGCATGTTTTGAGGCGAAGTCGACGAAGAACGCAGCACCCGTTTCGGAGAATCGGAAGGAGTCGTCCTCGGCAGAGATTATGTACGTGTAGACGGCCGGCTTGACGCGGTCTGCGAACAACGCTGAAGGGCGTTTCGAGGAGCTGCCGCTGCCTCCGCTGGCGGTGCTCCCTCCGCGACGATGCCCGCGACGGGTGCGCGGTGCTGGGACAGACGGATTGGCGGCATCATCGTCTTCCGGCGATGGGCCAGGGCCCCAGGCGTCCTCCCAGGCCTGTACGAGCTCCCGCTCGCCGCCCTGCAGCACCGCCTTGATCCCCGCCGCGTCTTCGATAATGCCGAATCCGTTGCCCGATGTCCGCGCGTACAGCAGCCGGTGGCCCGCCTGGATCCCCGAGCGCACCGCGAGGGACGCAGGGCCGCTCCCAAAGATGTTCTGCGCGGCCTTGTAGTTCTTGTTCCAGTGCTGGTAGGTGTCGCCGAAGAATATAGGCACGCCCATGATATACATCTTCCAGGTCGAGTACAGCCGCGCATCGTCGAGGTTGGTAAAGGCGCCGACAGTCGGGGAGAAGTGTCGGGAATACCTGATAGGTCCGTTGAAGAGATAGGGAAATTCGGTAGGTGCGGCATCTGTTGCTGGCTCGCTGTCGATCTTTAGAGAGTCGTAAATATCCTTTGATGTTGGCTCTAGTCTTAGAAAACGAACCTTGACCCAGAAATCCCCTCTTGACCGCCTGAAGACCGGGCCTTCGATTTCAACCTCCTTTGTCCCAGGTGTAACGCTCGTTTTGAGCTTGCCAATATAATCGTCATGAACAGACCCCTCGTCCTTATCCATGACAGTAATATAGAGATCCGCGGTCGCAGGCACATTCTTCATTCGCCACACCTCGTTCCAGACAGGAGAGAGGCTGTTGTGTTTCACTGTTGAGCTGACGGAGGTTTCCGTTAATAATGGCTAGAATAAAGGGCGTAAAAACAATTAACGCACACGAAAGATATCTTGTCGTCTATCTTAGCAATGAAGTACGGGTCTGCAGAGCCTACGACGTCCATCTTTGGGAGGCCTGATGCACCGATGAACTACTCAAGACATCGAGATTAGTTGCATTCTCTACTCCGAACAATTGGAAAGACACCTGAATTTGCAGGTCAACCCATGGCACCTCTATGCCCAGCTCGTTCATTTTCCTCGTCAGCTCTGCCCTGCGGTTCTCCACCTTGTTCTTTGCATTGTTTACTGCATCTCCGAGTGACTCGAGCATGTGCGACATGCTGAGCGGATTTCGGCGTCCTCCTGGCATTATTCGTGTCTAATGCTTCAGGTGTATTGTGCTGGGGACGTTGTACCCCTGGGGTGTTCGAGGTTCCGGTGTTCGAGGTTGTGGTGGAATGAAAGATCACAAAAATAGCGCCCAATGCACCCGAGCGGCCGCACTTTTACCAATCCGGTGCAATCTAAATTTAGAGCGATGATACAGCCACTGGGGCAGATGAAGTGTTCGAGTTGACGAAAATCGAGTTTTCCTAGCCCCTTTATATAGTCTTGGAATTTTGAAATGACTTGGCTTAGCTGTGAGATCTTGGTCACACAAAGTTCTGGGTCGAAGCGAAGAAATTGATACGTGTGCCGATTCAAGCCAAAGAGGTGGTGCTGCGGAGAGGTATGCAGGCGCCGAGATACCTCAAATAAAGCTAGTCAAGAACACTTGGGAACCTTCTGAAGGGTTGTAAGACTCATTTCACGTTCTGAGAGGTGATGACCTTGTGGGTATCGCTCGGCAAGGTTAGAGGCACCTGCTGCGGAGCAGAGACGTACGTATGATCCTACTTCGTACTTGTACTTTGAAAAGATTATTGGTGTCGGATGATTTTTCCTGAACGCCGGACTTCTCAGAAGACTACATCTGAACTGGTGGTGCTGGAATTAATAACGGGGGAGATCACATTCCGAGATGCGATAATGTAGGTGGGCATTAGTCCCTTTCGACTAGTCGAAAAATACAATAGCAATTGAGATATCATCCCTTAGTGAATCGAAGAGAGTGTCATAAACAGGACAACATAGGAAGGGCAAATGCTTACCGGAATCTCCTTGATCTAGCGCCCTTGATTTTGAGTAGAGCTTCCGAGAGATCACGATCGGCACCACCCACAGCGTTCCGCACTAAATGAACGGCAACATTGTCACCGTCTTCTGGAGCACAGATGAATTTCTTCTCTGTCCTCCAATACCGATACATTGCTGTGGTGTCTTTATAGTCCTTCGGATAGGTTACTGGCAGCTCAGATGGCAAAAACGTGCTTATTCCACTGTCAGTGATTACCCACACGGATGTGCTAAAGCAAACTCACTCGACAGTGGATTTTTTCCCATTCCTGAAGAACGAAGCCTGCAATGCGCCATCTGAAAGACTGACTTCCATACTTTGAGGAAGTTTTGGTGGCAACATGACTTCGTGGCCGTCAACCTTTTCCTTGATGCCATTTTTTTCCAGCCACTCCCCTATCAGACCGACTACCTCCTCGTTTCCGAGACAATCCCACAGCCCGTCGGAGGCGAATACCGCGAAGTCGCCTTTGCGGACACCCTTGAAGGTCGTGATGACTGGCTCAGCGGTGAAGTATGGTGGGGTTTTGCATACACTCTCGCGAGGTCGGTCTCCCAGGAACTTCTCGTGGATCATGCGCTGGATCTCTATTGACCATTTCATTGACCCGTTTCCAAACGCACGCGCTGGGCCCCAGCCTAGGACACGCTTGTTCTTGAGTAGTTCAGGCTCATCGGGATGCAGAGCGCTCAGACGGGCAGCTTCGGATGGATTCGACGCGTTCTGGTCCGCTGTCAGAATATGTGTTTCGTAAACGGGCTTTGCGCCCTTGGTGGCTTCTACTCGTCGTCCCAGAACTGCTCGCGAGTCACCCGTAAGGGCCACACGAAGAGACCTATCGGATGTGTTGTAGAGGCCCATGATTGCACATGAGCCCGAGTAGGCGTTCCGTAGGAGGCTCAGGGCTTCCGAGCGTGTCATTGGCTCTTTGAATTTGCCATCGAACATGGGGGCAGCAATGCCACCGGACAGGGCTCGGTAGCCTTCTGTATCCAACCCAAGGACAGCCTGCGCGGTGCCGTGCACACAGAGGTCATCGAACTCGCAAAATGCTTGCTTGATAGCCTCGTCGATTTCCTCGCCAGGAGGAACAGGATCTGGCGGCTCGCCGGGTTTTCGGTCTGCGAGACTACCATGGCTGCTGGGTAGCTTCGCATGCTGGGAATACAGGTCGGCGAGCTTGGTGACAACGAGGTCTGACAGGTGTTGTTCGAGACCTGTCGCCATGTCTGGTCCGTTGTGCCCGTCGTAGATTCCGACGAAGGTGAAGCCGAGTGTTGGGGAGAAGGGAACATGGCCGCCGACCATGGCGTCTTCACATGGGTTATTGCTACAAACGATCAGAGGACGAATATGTAAGGTAAGTGAGTTAAGACATACGAAGGTAATACCGCTGCATCCACGCGCGAGGTGCCATTGTGAGTCTCTACCGAGGTTGCTGCAACCTCCCCATTGAAGCTAAGACGTCCCTCGACTTGCGACTTGAAGTTCGAGAATAGTAGTTCTCGAATAACAGAAGAGTTGACTGCACTCTTCGCTTTCGACTTGTCTTTTTCTTCATCCCTTCCGGCATCGCCGTATATTGGCCGCGATCCATGGGCGGCGAAAACCCCACTTGCAGTCACGACGCCCACACTAATCAGGACATGTCTACGCGTCTTTGAAAACAAGAAGCGTGTATTACGCAGCTGGCGAAGCATCTGTTACTTTGGTCAGAATATTTCGTGAAAAAAGCAGGAAACTTACGCAGTACAATGGCCGTGAAAAGAGGGAGAACGACGAATGACCGCCAGATGACCGCGACGTGTTGAATTGGAGGCTGTAACCAAATACAGTCGATCTTATCTTATCTTATCTTCAACTTCAGCGGGAGTACAGAATAGTATTGCTTGTCATGAGTATCTCAGCATGTAAAACTGTTATCGGTTGTTACTTGGAAACACCAGAAGTAAGTAGGCTGATAATTTCTTTTTGAACATCAGATTGAGGGTTATAGATATTAGAGATTATAGTGATATCTGTTCTCATGGAGGCTGATTTCGCGACTTGGGCAAGATCGAAAGACCCGCGGACGTGCTCGGATATCGGAAATATGTTCGTTCTACTTCCGATGTGGAAGGACTCGAGTCACGCCTGGGATCTGCGCCACACAGTCACTTAGAACTTCCTTTTTTGTGCCATGACCAGCTGCGACTCAATCACTGCAGCTGGTCACCCAGTTCTTTGTTCCAGGCCCCAGCAAAAAATCTAGTACTTTAACATCGGCCAACAAAAAGTCTCTTGAGAATTGAATTCTGAGTGTCACTCGTGAGAGTACCTTCGAGCGATCTCCCAGTGGCAGTAGTGGGGTCCTTGACCAAGGAAGTTCTGGGGAATCAGTGCTTCCGAGCCAAGTACTGTCTCTAGGGCCAGGGTCTGAATCTAAGTATGTGTCCGGAGAGAGAAATAGGTCTTCGCCAATGTCTTCTGTCCTACATACTTATTTCCGTAATCCAAGGTGCGCAGATAATGTCAGGACATCAGAGATGAAAACTCCGCCCTGCCCCCCGGAAAAGGCACACTTTCCCGTTGTGTCCGCTTGGCAATACTTATTTCCGGAGCACGACAGCGTTCATTGAAGTCTGGGTTAACCCTATCAAGTCAATGATCAACAGAACGGAACCCATGATCATCCGGTACTGGCCAATTGCCGCAAGAGAGGAACAGAGGGCCGTCTTCCCAGTCTTGCCCATCACATGAGCGACAGTTTCGGAATTCTAGGGCCTGTCCCGACCTGACTGATGTTTGTGGTGCGGCCGGCAACGTGGGACCTCACCAAGGCTTCAAAACAGCATAGCCCTTGGGAGTGTGGTGCCGCGTGGTTATTAGACGACTTACTAGCAGTACTTACTATCCGAGCGTTTCTGAACAATTAATCACGAAAAGAAAAATATTTTGACATTGCTCTCCCTCTGCGTCGTCGGTCTGGAAAAAAGGTAGAAACCTTGAAAATTCATCTGCGCTCCCCTTCACGATCTCTCGGAGTCGCAATGCGTGATATCGAAGGAGAAAATATACTCCACGTGTATCAGGGAACCTCGAGGCAATTGCTGACTAATATCGAACCAAAAGACAAACATCGCTGCCTTCCGTTCCCCCACCATCGTTCTCCTTGTTTCTCTCCGATTTTCTCTCGATTGGACTTCTTTTTCGTGTACGATGGATGAACTGTGAGTGGATGATCATCGAAGTAAGTCAATTCGCATCATTGGCTAGTTCAGGCAATTTTACAGTGCCTGTGGGCCTTAACTCAGGACCGACTCTTACAATTACTCTACATACAGGTTCACCCGTCTTTATGCCTTCTTCATACGATATGACACGCCACGAAGCCTACATGATATCCACCGCTGACGACGCCCAGTTCCAGGACCGGTTTGTTGGAGTGCTGCCGCCGGAGCCTTTCAACGACTTTGACGGTGTGCCAGCCGACCTGGAATTTTTCATGCCGATGGGGTCGACATACACACCAGGGTGCTCTAAGTCAACCATCGAATGGCTTAGCGATTGCAGCTTGCCAGAAAGTTGCCCATCAACGCCATCGTTGAACATAAATCGCCAGCATCACCAGGTGCAAGCAAAGGTCAAACGTGGTCACCATCATGTGCACTTTGCGGACATCGTTGACGAAGAGGACGAAGGAGACTCTCCGGAGAGGCCTTACCTGTCGCTGCTTGACCTTGGAAGGACACCTTGGATTCCAAGTCCGCCTGGATCCACCTCAACGATCGATAGCGATACGGACGACTCTTTATCTTCTTCGTCTTCATCTTTATCACCGACGTATCAGGACGACGCGGAACTGCGAAACACATCGGACTACGGTGACCAGGACGATCTACCATCTGTACAATGCATATACCACCCCATAGAAGAATACCCACATCCGCATTTGGATATCTACGCCGATGAACACGAACAAGGGCACAAGCACGAACACAAACAAGAACCAGACGACGGACTACCGACTCTGGCAATTAGCGCCTTGTCGACTGCAGTACACCACGAGCAATTACCCTTTTTGCCTCTGTCGTCGCCAACCAGAGCAGTACAAGAACCTGGGCTGCAGTCAGACGCAGAAACTGGACATGGGCGAGGGCCTTTATGTCCGCTTATGTTTTTGCTGAACGGTCTTCGGACTTCGCCACCCCCATCGCCACTCTCTATGGACCCCCCATTACCATCTCTGAACGATATACCAGCTATAGCCCACATCGACACCATCGACAACGTCAAACCCATTGCATCCGATTTGGACGCAGCGACTTTGCTCTGTTCGCCACTGCAACACAGCGCCACACTACCACCCTCCCCGCCTTCTCCATCCAGTCTATCACTTTTCCAGCCTTACAGGCCTGAGCATTCGTTTGGATGGAATAACTCTTTCAGCTTCGGTTTGGGGTCAAGTTTGTGGGAAGAGGAGCCAAATGTCCCATGTTCTCCTTCAAGGAGGCGCTCGATGGACTTGCCGGACGAGGACCCATTCAGGCTGACATCTTCGTGTCCTTCGACAACCTCGTCATTGTCTTTCGACTGCGAAATCTCGACGCTTTTCTTCGACCAACACGACGGCCAGCGGGCCACGTGGTTGACCCTTCCGGGTGCCGACAGTGACGATGATCTCATCCCCCTCGCACTCGCATCGAAGAACTATATCCCTGATCCGACGATAACGGTGTCGACCACTCCTTCAGCACCTTTACTTCTCTTCGACGACCCTGCGGACGGTGATTTCTCTCTAGCTTCAAGACGTTCATCGTCTCCTCCTGACATTGATGAGTTCTTCGTCGACCCAAAGGTCCTCGAGGACCTGTCCTTGCGAGGAGCGAAGGAAGAAGTAGAAGAGGCAAAGAAGCTCGTTGACTTGCAGCAGAAGACCCAGAACCGTTGCCGCATGCGAGCTCGAACACGGTCTCTTGGCGGGTTGGGGTCTAATTTTGGTGAATACGGGAACGACGGAGCTGGCAGGGTGTGGGACAGATGGGAAAAAGAACGGGAGGCGAAGGAGAGGGAGCGGGCGCGGGAGGTGGCGGCGCTGTTGAGGTTGAAGCTGGGGCTGGATGAGAGGGGGTGTTGTGTGCGTGCTCCTGGTGGTGGCAGTGGTGAGTCTTTGGATGTCGGCACTGAGTCTGAGGCTGGGTCGACGGGCGAGGACGATGCTCCTCTAGCTCCTCCTCGCTCCTCGACACCAGCCTCAGCCTCAGCACCTGCATCCACGCCAGGAGCACTGAAGGCACGCCGCGCGTCCTCGCTTCCAATCGCAACTTCAGCCTCAATTGCATCGCCACCTGCCCCGTCAGCTTGTGGTTTATCGTCCTCTTCTGATGATCCTTGTTCTTCGAATTCATCAAGGTCTTCGTCAGCGTCGTCGTTTTCGTCGATGTTCGATTCGACACCCGCGTCGACAGCAACTTCAAGGTCTTCGACCGACCCCAGTACGAATCCCACTCCGACGTCGCCACCGCCGAAACGTTCCTCTAAGCCGATGATCACCAGTATGGCTCAGCTCGTTGCATCCATGGTCTTCCACCGTCAGCAGCAGGCTGACTCCGCCCGCCGTGCCTGTCGAACCCCATCCAGGAGCCGGACATGGGCCGCTCCTTCGTTGTCATCATCGCCTCCCTCATCGTCGTCTCCCTGCGGTTCCAGCGCTTCTACCTCGAGTGGACAACAAGAAAAGAACGTTGGAGCCAAGACACCACGCTCTCCGTTGAGGCAGATGATTCTGCCTGACGAGCTTGCCGGCAACGACGAGGAAGAGAGTGAAGACGGTCTAGAGGGTTTGGACGAGCTCGAGCTCAGCCCTCTCAGCCTCGGTTTGCTCTGCACTTCGCCAGAGACTTACTCTGCCGAGCTCGGCCTCAATACCTCTCAGCTCTAGGAAGGGTTATATCGTCTTTAGCGCTAGCTGGTGTGCAAGAAGGTATGTCATTCATAGACAAACGGGGTCGATATCGGAGGCTGACGTTCATTAATGTTCCGTTACAGTGCAGTGGTGCAGTGCGCCTTCAGTTCTTCTAACCTTCAATATCCATCGTCCCATATCAAGATGCAATCTCACTGTACCAACATCATCACAATCTTCAAATCATGTTCGTAAGCTATGCACGACGCTCCTCGCTTCAAGCTCCTATGCTACACATGCTTCTATGTTCCTGGTTCGTCATGTAGCGCACTGCGTTGGACACTCTTCTCCTGGATCTGCTCTTTAGAAGCGCGGACGGTCGTGTACAGCTATCTACTACCCATTGTCGGCATCCTCGCTTGGGTTTTATCTATCTCTACCTTTTTCTCTTATCCACTATGCGACACCTACATATCTAGCCATTCCATTTCATTGCTTCCGCTGTATCTGTAACATCTCCTCTATCCGTCATTGTGATCATGATTTTCATTCTTGTCCTCCCTTCGAGTTCCGCCCTGCCGTTGGTTTTATGTCCTGAACGCTTTCATTTTTGCTTTCTCATCAAATTTCTTGTTCACTCAAAAAGGCTTTCATTCCATGCAATTTCTCAAGAATACTTCGGCTTTTCCTCTGCGACACCTCTCTGTAATTAATGTGTTTTGTCTAGTTTGTTCTTCTGGAATTTTGAATCGACTTCAATTCCTGGAACCAACTGCACCGATAGACTCGAACCCACTCTCGCTTGGGTTTGTTCAATCTTACTAGAGAGTGGGTGACGTGATGGGGATGGCTCATCACTTTCTTGAACGGAAATAGAATGGGTGATGCAGTTGAACTGGTCCTGGTAAGGATTACAGGGCTTGGCTCTGTATATATCCGTCCGGACGGGTGGTGTCGAGCCTACTGCACCGACGTTGACAACCTGCATCTGCAACCAGGAAGCTAAATTTAGCCAATTCAACGCTGACAGGACTTACCCCTATTTCCTCTGTTACCTCTACATTCATCAGTCCTTTGGATTGAACCACCATGGCCGAGACACCATCTATCCCAGGGGACGAGGAGGCTGCTCTTCGGCATGATATTCTCCTTCTGTCCGCATCTCTGCACTCCACAGCGCCTTCCCAGACCTCGTTGTCCACACCGGAGGTCCACAAAAAGCCGCACTCTCCCGTCAACCTCATCGACGCCATCGTTTCCTTGTTGTCGACTGCTACGACCCTCGGTGCACCAGAGGAAGAACGCGATCCTGGAGGAAATCGAGTAATTGCTGCCACTATTGTCTCAAACGAGGCGGGTCGTGTCGAGGCCTCCATCCTTACTCGCAGCCTCATGGAGGCCTCCAACGCCAGCGAGAAGAGGTCTGATAATGATGGAAGGAACAGAATCCAGCCTCTTCGCGGAGACCGACGCGAACTATCCGAGATACTGTACTCGGGTGCTTATGAAAGGTTGACTTTACCACATCTCACCTTGTCCGGCCTGCACTCAATTTGCCTGCAGTGCATACGTCGGGTGGGAGCAACACGCACAGGATGTCTTCTCTTCTTTCAACGCCTGGGCGAAGAGTAGCCTCGACCGCGGAATGAAACATCTCGCGTTCTATATGTTTTTCCTTCGCCGCTGCTATCCGAAAATAGTGGCACGAATGAGAACTGCAGAGCACATCTGAGGCAAACACCCTCTCGCCATCCTTCACGAATGTACCGATCAACTGGGAATCAGCAACGAGGCGTATGAAATTTCTGTCCCGGATCGCTCGGATCGGAGCGAAACAAAAGGCGTGCACCGCTGGTTGCAGTTGCATGGTCTCCAACCGACCGCCAACGGTAAATTTGTCCTCCAGTCGTCCAACTGCAACGTCTGGACTAGGACCCTGAAAGAAGAGTACGACGGCTTGAAGGAATCGCTGGCTACGGAGAACGTGAGCGGTTTCTTCGCATTTGTGCAATATTGACGATGTTCTAGCTCCATGCTAAAGAGGCCCCTGGAATAGGCGATATCAGGCGGGCTTTTGTAGCCCTCACCCGCATTCAAGCCCTTGCCTCCACCTCATTGCTCCACCGCCTTTCAAATCTTGCACCTGCTCTTGTCGATCGGTTGCGTCGTCCTAGTACGTCGTCCCAACATTGCTTGCTCGCTTCTGTTCTGACGGCAGGCGCTGCAGATTCTGAAGTTGAGGGTTCAGACGATTTCGAAGGTATTCTTCGCCTTCCGTCATTCCACATGCAAGCTCATCGAAACAGATGAGAACCTTGAAGACTTGCGCGTTCGCAATCGGCTGGAGCACTGCGTCAAGGCCCTTGTTTCCCTCATCCCATGTACGAAGCAAATTATCTCCTTGGAGTCCAGACCGGGGACGACATTCGAAGCATGTTTGATCGAGTGTCCGTCTCCCCCAGTTCGGACCTACAAGCCAGAAAGTCTTGAATCGATTATCAGTGGTCTACGCAGCACTCTACTCTCCCAAGACGCCAAAGAGTACATGCTTTATGGTCCAAAGGTTGCAACGTACAGTGACAAGAACACGATGGAGGAATCGCGATTCACCGCTGCCAATCGAGAAAAGGCTAAAATCGACCGCCTCAGTCAGGTGAACAGGTTCATCAACAGAGGGACAGCGCACTGCGAGGCCGCCGTAATGAGCGCCGTTTACGCCCCAAGCGTTAACGACGACCGCGAGAAGCCTATCCTCCACCTCAGCACGGTATAGTGTCTTATCGTATTCTCCTTGTTCATAACTCAGACATGTTGCCTGTAGATGCAAGAAATCCCCATCAGGGTGGGGAAACGGTGCTGTTGGGTGTGTTGGAGGCTGCACCTGCACCTCAATGCCATGATTCAGTCCGGCCCTATCACGCTTTCTGGGACACACGGGATCGTGTATGCCTGGGTTGCTCCGCAGGGTCTGCCTTTGGACGTCCTCAGAAAGCTACGTGCAGACCTTGCCGGTGCCCTAGATACAGCATCCAAGGAGGCTAGAGCAGCTGTAACCCCAGTGCAGAGCAGCATTAGTGGAGACACTGATGCCGACTCGCCCGATCCTGGCTTGACGTTGGGTGACGTGTTTCCCAGCGAACGAAAAGCCTGATGAGGTTTTGAACTGGAAGGATGACTCGCCTTTGGGTAGCAATATCGTATGTGGAAATATTTTTGTATAAGTCAAGATAGGCTGCCATGGGGGTAAGTAGGCAAGGTCACTTATGTAAGGTGCGGGAACTGTAGCGTGACCGTGACCGACATCCTGTTTGAAATTGAACTATGTACGCCGATTTGACCCCTGCCAGCCCCTGCCCCATATGACCCCAAATATCCCAAAGGCACCCACACAGATCGCCTCATCTCGATGGAGACGGCTCTTTCACTGTACGTGTTACAAGAGCACCCACTATAAAACGTTGGGCGTACCAGAAACCGCGACGAAATCTCAGATTAAAGTGGGTTTGTCTCCACTCAACCTTGACATGACTTATTTACGAATTCTTAGTCTCATTTCTACAAAGTGCTTAGTTTTTCTCATCTCCATATACCCGTATGCTTAAGAGATGTAGCTAAGCAAAAAGCACCACCCCGACGTTTCGGAAGACTCGGAGTCTAGTACGATATTCCGGAAGGCAAGCGAAGCCTACGCAGTGTTGAGCAACGACCGAGACAGGCGAGAAATCCTTTTCTTAGAGGTTACTTTGACCTCTGACATGGTTTCAGGCGTGCATATGACCGTAGCTTACTCCACCGTGGCCCAGCACATCACCAACACCAACCGTTCCACCCTCGCCATCCTGCCTCGAAGGCTCCTCGCGCAACTCACGCCTGGGAATATCGACCAAGAGGTCCTCGCAAGCCCCCACCAGACTACATGTATGATGCATCGTCCGCTTCGGCCTCCAGTTCGCCCTCTTTCAGCTCTGCTCCGCGTGAGCGAGCACAGAACCACTATCGGCCATCCTCGCACGACCAATTGACCGGAGCACGAAGGAGAATGGAGGACGAAAGACGGGAGCTCGATAAAATACGCAATGAGCTTCCGTTTCTGCGTACTGCACAAGTCGCGAGCTTGATAGCATTGGCAGTTATCCTGTTTGGGGGGTATGGAAGATAGTGTACAGGTGATGTGTTCTCCACCCGTCTTAATGACTTGTTCATATCATACACCCTGCTGTTTGATGAAGATCGAAATGCGTTCGTTTTTGTGGTCGGTCCACTCGAATAATTTCATGTTGCAGTCTCGAGTCCGCGACACCCTGCTTCAATCCTTTACACCAATGCGACTGCGACACCTCACACCAGCGCGAAAATCGACGTGTTCCTACCGACTCTAACTGCGACCTCCGTGTCCAAACGGCTGGATGACATCATCTAACAGCAGAAGGATAGATTGATTCAACACATTGCCTCAATTCGATTCCTTGGTGTTCGGTTGATTATATACGTACGTCCCTCAGTTATATCCCCGAGCCTGAGTCTGATCAGTGATACATCGATAACGTATGACTGGCGCCCACATAGAAGAGAATTCAGCTACGCCATCACTGCGCAGTTGACATCGTGGGTCCGATACGTGGAGTTCTTCCAGCTCTTCTTCGTCCCTCTATACTCGATGTTGTCAGTATCGATGTCTTCAATGCAAATTTCTTTGCCTTTCGAGTGGGAGTGTCGCATGAGGGGTTCAACGGGAAGACAGTGTTTCAACCAAGGCATGCAAGCCTCGTACCTGGTCTATTTCTGACGTTACCATCAGCTTTAAGGTTCGGACGAGTCATCTAGGTCATCCGAAACAAGCTCTTCCTGCCATCGATTCCCCACGGTAAGTCCTATATAACCACTCCACGTATCTATCCTTCTTCCCTCGTACTACTAGGTATCTGAGCCTCCAGTAAGGCGCTTCGACCTTCTACGTCCCCCGCTGTTTGCTAGCTTCGACAAGACATGCCCCCAAGAAGCGCGTCAGGCCGCACCGGCCCTCAGCGAGGAAGAGGAGCACGTGCTGCTCCTCTTCCTCGCGGGGGCCGAGGCGGTGGCGCACTTCGTGGGAGCACGCCCCGTGGACAAATTAGCACAGCAGGTAAGCTCTATGGTTCGAATAGAAACAGTCATTATCTAAGTTGAACGGCTCGTCAAATTTACTTTTCTGCGCTACTTGAACGTTCGTCCTCCAAGCTCACGTCCAGACCATCGGCGTAAGGAGGCCAAACTTCGGCTCCACTGGTCGTGCTATTCGAGTTAAAACAAATTCTTTCGCCACTACCGCCCAAGCACAGACTATTTTTCATTACGATGGTAAGTGGTTTTATGGTCCTTCCATTACCGACCTCATTTTAATCTTTGCAGTTGGTGCGTTGAAAAGTACGAACCGTCTGAATCGAGACTCTGACAGTAATACAGTCGTTCAACCCGACAACCTCTCAGCGAGGTTCAACTTCGAGCTTTTTAAGATATTTCAGGAGGACGAGCCGGTGATATTCAACCCCAAGATTGTCTACGACGGGCGCAAGAATGCATTTTCCCCTCGAAGACTGCCTTTGGGAGATACAGACTCGCACAGGGTATGAGAATACCCGATGGAATATGATTGGAGGGCTTTGACTTATGCCTTAAACCTTAGTTCACCGTGAGCCTCCCTCAAGCCAACGGGGGAAACAACCCCACTCGCCCTCCAAAGGTCTATCACATCCTTCTTACGAAAGTCGCCGAAATTGGCACAACGTAAGTGGCGGTGGATAAGTCTGAGTCGCGTTTCCTGATTTTCTGATACATTGGTTTAGCCTCTTGCAAGGTTTCGTCAATGGCCAACAATCGCATTCTGAGGAAATTCTTACAGCCATCACCGTAAGCCTTGGCCATCTTGCGTTGGAACAATGTTAACAATTAATTGCAGGCGCTCAACGTTGTCATTCGAATGCAGCCCAACCTGAACCATCCGTTCGACAAACGGTCTTTTTTCACTTCTCAGGACAAGCGCATCATCCTTGGAGGCCTCGAGCTCTGGCGCGGAATCTTCCAATCCGTGCGACCCACTTTACGTGGCCTCGTCATCAACATCGACCTTTCCACAGGAGTCATGTACCGAGAGGGTCCGCTGATAGATCTTTGCCTCGAATTCTTCGGTTTCCCCTCGGGCGCCAGCGCCAACCCGCAACGCTTATCACCTAACGCAGGTTTGGCGGACCTGCGCATCAGAGATCTGGAGAAATTCATAAACGGCATGCGAGTGCTTGTTGAAACAACTGGAAACAGGCCCCGCGCCGTGAAGGGACTCAGCCGTCAAGGCGCAAACGCGCTGACCTTTCAGCTCCACAATGGGACCCAAACGACAGTCTCTCAGTATTTTCAGAGCCTGAATATGCCTTTGAGGCACCCTGCGGTGATTTGCGTCAAGGTCGGCAATTCACATGATTTGTGCATTGACTCGTTGATACCCAATTCCTTTCACCAGGTTGGCACAAATGCCATGATTCCTCTCGAGAAGTGCACTGTTCCGAGGGGACAGATTGTACGAAAGACACTATCACCCGACCAAGTTAAGGAAGTTTTGGCATTCTCGACGAAGAGGCCCACCGAGCGACTGAATAGCATTAGAGCTGGACGTCATGTAAGTTACGCAGTTGCTCTGTATTGGGTTTGGAGTGAAATCTAGTTGCAATAGAATCTTCAATACGGTCAATCCAATTACGTCACTCAATTTGGGATGGACATAGCGGCTGACCCGCTCGAGGTCGACGCCAGAATTCTGGACGCACCCAGGTTGAAGTACGGAAACACTGGGGTTCAGGACGGAGCATGGAATATGTAAGGAGCACTCATGATTTGGTTAGTGTTCTGCTCATGCTTTGGCTATGTCAGGTTGGATAAGAAGTTTTTCGAGCCGGCCCATATCAAATGCTGGGTAATTATGGTATATGCATCGGAACGGGCCTTTAACAACAATGCCTGTAATGACATGGTGAAAGGGTTCACGAGTGCGTGCAGGAATGTTGGTGCGTCGCATTCCGCGTCCGACCGAACAACGAGACAAACGTTGACGCGTTTACAGGAATTATGTTTGAAAAGCCGGACCCTCTTGTCAAATATTTTCCTCCTCAGGGGAACAAGAAAGAGGTACTCCGTATATTTTCATGCCGATATGCTCAATATTGACTGCGCTGTTAGCAAATGAAAGCTGCTGGCAATGACTGCTACCAACAATTCCAATCCTTCCCCTCGCTCATAGTTGCCATTCTTCCTGATGGCGGCGGCGACATATACCATCACATTAAACAGTGAGAAATTTAAGATTTATTTTTCCGGATGCTGACATTATCTGCACAAAGCTTTGGTGATGCTGTGGTATGTAGTCCGAGGGATCAGAGACCTTGATGCTCAATGTTTCTGCGAAGATTGGAGTACCAACGCAATGCTTGAAATTCTCGAAATGCACCCGTGCCAAAGAGCAATACTGGATGAATGTCGTCCTTAAGTGAGTGTTATATTCAATGCTCGGCATTGAGTCACTCATTTGTTCCAGAGTGAATGTGAAGTTGGGAGGAATTAACGTCATCCCGGATACCTCAACCGTAACGGCTTTGACAGACCCGCAGAACCCCACGATCGTGATGGGTTTGTCCATGATGTTCAGAACTTGGCACTAGCGATTGACTTTCTCTCCAGGTGCTGATGTCATTCATCCCCCTCCCGATGTCAAAGACCGTCCTTCCTTCCCTGCAGTAGTTGGAAACGTCGATACTAATGCAGCGAAATATGTCGCAATGACTGCGTTGCAAGACGGAAAAGTGGAGCTCATTGAAGATTTGCAGGCAATGTGTAAGGTGAGAAGTCAAGCTTTGGTTTCCTGGATAAAACTGACAGTGAAACAGAGGATCCTTGAACTTTACATGACGTACCGCGAGCGGAAGGAAAAGAAAGCGAAGAATATGTGTGCCCCCAAGCGCCTCGTCTTCTTCCGAGGTAGCTCTATTGTGTACTCTTGTGATCAATTGGTTTATGAAACCTATAGACGGCGTCAGTGAGGGTGAATTTCAGCAAGTCTTGGACAAAGGTCAGCCTTGTGACATGAAAAAAAACATGATGGTTTTAACACCTTCATTAGAACTTCCCAGGATCAAAGGTATTTTTGCATGTCCCTAGGATAGCGTCGTCTGCTAATTTAGCTCTAGCAGCGTGCAATGAGCTTGGTATCAATCCGAAAATCACTCTCGTTGTCGTCCGAAAGAGACACCACAATCAGTGTGTCTTATCTATGTTACTTTTGACTCTCTTCTCACGTCAAAACTTGTTTTCAACACAAGATTCTTCCCCACTGATGGAGCCACATATGCTGACAGGAAGTCCGGAAATTGTCCAGCTGGAACCGTGGTGGATCAAGGAATTGCGCATCCCACCGAGTTCGATTTCTTCCTGCTCAGTCATGCAGGCATCCTTGGAACTAGTCGCCCCGCTCATTATTCGGTTCGTCTCGTTGTCTTTTCTTTTTATCTCATCCTCGCTATTGAACTTAGAGTCTGTCTACATAGGTCCTGTATGATGTAAGTAACCTTTTCCGAAGAAGGACAAGTTGGTAACACTATTTTCTTTCTAAGGAATCCGGGTTCAAGTAAGTCTCAGCTCAGCGATTGTGTATGGTTCTCTAACGACTACGCAGCGCGGACTCGATGCAGTCATTTTCCTACACCCTTTGCCACGTATACGCAAGGTCGACCCGCTCCGTCTCGATCCCAGCACCTGTTTATTGTATGTTTCTTATCTTTTGTCTCTATATCACCACTTTCTAAGTTGCTTCGACGGGCAGACGCGGACATCGTCTGCTATCGGGCCAGGAACCACTTCGACCCGGCCGAGAGGGACTTCTCTGACACCAGTACCGTTGCGTCCGGTACCCCTGGTTCTGCCACTAACTATCTCGAGACGTTCAAGCAAAAATTCAGGCCCCCTCACGTGAACCAGGAGACCAAGATGTATTTCATGGTATGTCCTTGAGCGCATGTATAAAATTTTAACCAAAGCTAAGGTTCAACGTCTTGACCAGTAACCAATTTTTGTTGACTCGAGTATTGCCACCACCTCGACTTGGCTTTCGCCATGCTATGCTTCAATCAAATATCTATCCTTCCTCTTTCGATGCTCTCATTGTATATCGTTCCGTCTTGATCAAACCATACGTCGCCGTCAGCGTTTGCATGTCCCCTTGAATGCTATCTACTATGCACATTTGATTCAAATTTGATTTTTAAAAATATAAAATCAATAAGGATAGGTCAATTGCTACGTGATCGACAGGATGGTAATTACGGAGATTTCTAGCGGTACGATTATTCAAGTAAGGAAAGACAACAGTTAGAGCAACGAACGTGCTTTTGGAGATTAGGCTCCAGAGACTCCCTTTTGGGGAACAGTCTCGGTGGTCGTCGAGATACGACCGTCGAGGGTATAGCTGATGGGCGACTTGGCTCTGACATAGTTGGCCCACACCTCGTCCATCGTGTCCAAAGTGACGAAATCCGACCGCGCCGGCCAGAAATTGTCGCCACCGGTTGCGAGGTAGTCAAGGGTGCTAATCGTGTACGTCTTGGCGAGGTCCACGGGAGCGTCTTTAATCGTGAACGTGATAAGGCGCGAGCCGATCGGGTTGGCGGGGTTGTACGTGAACCGGATGCTGCGCGAGACCTGGACAAAGCTCGTGACGGTCAGCCCGTTCGCGAGGCTCTGCTTCGAGACAATGCCCTCGAAGATGTCCCACAGCTGCGCGCCGGTGAAGGTGACCTCGGTCAAACTGTTTCCGAAGGGGAAGCACTCCAAGGCTTGCTGGAGCGAGATGTTTCCTGCGTCGATCTCAGCGCGGATGCCTCCCGCGTTGATGAACGCGGCGTCGGCCGTGGTGCGGTAATCTTCCATCGAGTCGGCGGTGAAGGAGCCGAGGGTGCACTCCTCGAGCTGGCAGGTTGACTGGATGAGGGGGAATTCAGTCGATCCGAGGATCGTGCTCGAGTAGGCGGTGAAGGCCTTCGCCCATTCCTTGACCTGGGCCTTGAGTTTTGGTTCTTCGGCGGTGGCGTTGGTTAGATGGACGGGGGCACCTTCGTAGGAGACGATCTTGCCCTGTCGGTTGAACTCGACGTCGATGTAGCCGAGGTACTCGCCCCAACGGTACGACGTCACAACGAAGACCTCATCACCGGCAGCGTTATCGACAATAGTGGGATACGCACCCTTGGATCCGGACATGTTGCCGAGCAGCGTGTGGGAGTGGCCGCCGATGATCAAGGAAATGTCAGTCGTAGCTTTCGCAAGCTCGATATCCTTGTCATAGCCAATGTGTGTAAGGGCGACAATGCGCTTGATGCTCGGATAGAATGTCTTTATAAACTTGACAGTGCGTTTGGCGGCGGCGACGGGGTCCTCGAACGTCGTCTTGTTGCTCGGGTTCGAAATCGACGCCGTCGTCTCGGTGGTGACCGCAAGGAGAGCGAGGTTGTGCTTCCAGAAGATCTTGTAGGGCGCGAGAGAGCTGTCCAGCTTCCGGTTCTTGGTGTGGATGTTGCTCGAAATGACGGGGAATGTGAGGTTGCACAGGAAGTCCGCAAGCAGATCGTCGCCGTCGTCGAACTCGTGGTTGCCAAGCGTCATGGCATCGAAGCCCAGTTGGTTGAGCGTTTCCGAGATCTTCTCTCCCTTGAAGAGAGTGTAGTATAGTGTACCCTTGAAGGCGTTATCAGAGTCAAATTCGATGGGAATTCAGAAGAGTGATGCTTGCCTGGAACTCATCACCAGCATTCAAGAAAAGCGAGTTCTTCTTGGTAGGCCGACTCTCAGTGATCACAGTCTTGACCCTCGAATATCCTCCAACGCAACCTAAAACGAGTATAAATATGTGAAGTTCGTGGATCAATGAAGCGTACCTCTGGCGGGGTCGGTGCACGAAGATCCACTCGAACGGAATTCATCGAGATGCCTAAGGGCAAATCTCTTAGACCATTGTTTGGGAAAAGCAGTAGAGAAAACGTACGCATGGACATCGTTTAGGTGGTAGAAAGAAAGTTCGTAGTTGTTTCTATTCCTCAACTTGCCATCCGCAGTCTTCCCGCTATTAGCTTCGGTCCCGCCGTTCGAAAAACCAGAGTCGCGCTTCTCGAATTCCTGGTGATGCCTCGAGACGAGTCGGTCGACAGCGGAAACAGATTCAAAAAGAGAGAGAGCTCCGAGAGCGAAGGCAACGATGCTTGAGGAGAACTTCATAGCGGCGACGGAGCGGCGGGAGAGGGGAAGTTCAGAATGGGACCGAACAGATCTCACCGACTTTATGAAGGCACTATCCACTAGAACCCTTATATCGACAAGTGATCCCCATGAGTCCCCATGCAGTGCCCACAGCCTACAGGTACCTCCATCTCTTGATTCAACGCTCCATGTGCTGCTTCTCCAACCCACCGAATAAATGGGCCAGTCCGGTCCACCGATATCCGTGGTTGCATGTGGACAGGAACTTAAGAAAAGGCTTACGTTCGGACGGAGAGCGTCAGCGAGGTTGATGTGAAAGCATGGAAAAAGATCGATAGTTCCAAGAAAAGAAGTCTTGGCACCATTGCACATGTTGCCAAGACCTTTGTTGCTCTCAAGACGCAGCAAGCCGCTTGGATATCTAATCTCAATGAGGCCACGTGAAGAGTTTCATCGAGATAATGAAAAGATTGTCAGGAACAGGCTCATCTGCAGTGGCTCATCTGCAGTTCAAGGAACAGTAATAGCGACTCGTGAAAGGTTCTTTCCCACTCTTGCTATCGAGTTGTTACTGCAAATAATGGATACAGATCCATAATCGTAGTCGATGACTCGATTTTGTGGGCTCTCGCCGCTCGGCGCTGAGCGCTTGTCTGGCCCTGCGGCAGGTGTGCGTCATTAGTCTAAGGGAACAGAAGTCGGAGGATAATGACCCGCACGAACCGGGACCGCTGGGCATGAATGTTCGTACTCTAATAGACTCTAACGCAGCAGTAATCTGAGTACATGAGCGCCAGCATTGGGCACGGCCAGGACCCCAGACAATTGGCTAGGAGGTCTGATCCTAAAAATTCGAAAATTCCGGGTTGTTGTCCGTCCAAAAATTGCCGAATTTCCTACTTTTTGTCCGGTCAATTTGCGGCATAAGGGCCTAAAATTCGCCGAAAATTTTTTTCAAAAAATTATCCTCCGCTCGCACCCAACGGTCACAAATTTCACGATCCTGTCCGTTCTGCATCTGGGTTTCGTGCTCATTTTTGAGGATTGTTGTCCGGAGCGTGTCGGGCCTTACGGCTGGTTTTCGATGAAAGTTGTCCAGTATCAGGCCTCGAAGCTGTTGTCTGGGGTCCTGCACACCCGTTGCTTGATCCTAGTTTCAATTTTCTGGAAGGGCGCTTAGCGCTCACCAAGCAGAATCAGAATTTGATCCGGACTTTGCCCACCGGGCTTTCAGTGCGCTGCGTCGGAATGCAGGCATGCAGAAACAACATATGGGGCACATCTAGAGGTCTCCCAGCAAGAATATACTCACGGTTCTACCGTGTTTCTTCTGGCATACAGCATTAAGCGTCCTACATGTTCCCAGTTTTCCTTACACCGGATCCGGGCCGGTGTCAAGATAAGCGCTCGGGGCCATTCTCTAAAGTGTCATTTTAGTGCTGTCTGTCCACAACATGCGCTGTTTAAAAATCTAAAGTGTTATTATTTGTCGTTCACAGAATTTTCTGGAGTGGAGACATAGCTACAGGTACACATGAGCTCAAAAAGACCGTTATATGTTTTCAGATTGGTGATTAACTGGTGAACCAAAATTGACTTCTGTAAATAACGATCCTTACTAAAGTGAGACTCGTAATTCAGTACTTAATTAAATAAGTACGATTTTCAGTACGGACGCTGCCGCCTTAAATTTCGAAGGTTATGGAAGACTTCAACGAGTTTCTATCATTTTTTTTGCCGTTCCTTGTCCATCTATGTGCCAAGAATTACCCAAAAAAAATTGCCTCAATTCCTTCAGAAAATTATGGACAGAACTCTCCCAATTCGTTCATATGGATCGCTGCTTCAGCCCTAGACACTCCCCGAAGAATATCTGGAAAGATGGAGTGCATATTGTGGCCCTGCACGATGTGGCAACTGTGGCTATGTTGATATTTGTCCCCAGAAAACATATTCTGTGTGAACCGTTGATGGACGCGTTTGCTGACTCCCTCCATTGTTGACCATATTAGACCTTATGTCCGGGATGCATCACACATCTTCTCGTCGGTGGCCCCCTCTTCTTTTGTTACGGGAAATGAGGCGGGAAACTGCCGCCACCTCGTGAGTCATTCCTTTGAACGATATATTTCGACGCAGCTAACAAAGGAGCAGAAATCTCTTTGTCCTTTGCGCCGTTGACCGACGCCGTACAAGAGGCCAGATACGACCGGCACGATTTTTACGACTTTACGACCCCGTCCTCCAACCATGTCCCAACCCCGTCCTTCCCTTCGATTTCTGTTTACTTTCCTCGCTCGAAGATACCTCTTCCTCCTCGTCCTTCCGGCCATCTTCTGGCAGTACAGGTGAAGACGGCGGCCTCCTTAAGGGCATGCAGGTCGCGAATGCTGGTCGTTGATAGTCTCGAGGGCGGCGTTGGGTTAGGGTCTTGGAGTAGGCTGACTGTCGACCTCGCGACGTCGAGGATGCTGGGAAGTTGTGGTGTCGGTGTCCCTTGTGTGGAGGTGACGGGTATCCTTGACGTCTTCCAGAGCATAAGACCTAACGAAGATGTGTCAGTATCGACCCTTCAATGATTTTGAAACGCGTCAACCTACTCTTCAGCGTTACTTGTTCGCGCTCGTATCAAGCTTCACTAAGCTCCTAACAGCTTCCACAATCCTCTTTTCGCATTTCGCCATGGCAGTGGTGACCTCTTCCTCGTGTTTTACAACCAGAATGCGTAGCCAGCTCTCTCCTCCCAGGTAACTCGAAGATCGTTTTAAGTAGCATACGAGATACTATAAAAGTAAAATTTACACGCCTTCGTCGAAGGTAGATACAGGAATTAATGCCTCCTGAATCTCATTAACGGCATGATTGACACCTTCCTTCGTCCGCAGGTCGTAGCTCGGGAACTTATCCAGTATATCAACGAGAACCTCTCGGAGAGTTTTGCCGTCAGGAGCCGTCAAACCATCGTCGACGAGACTGATCCATTCCGTATCTAAAACTCAGATTAGGGGTGAAACAGACTAAACTTGATGAGCTCTCACCAACAGGGCGTTGCTTTCGAAACCAAGGCCGAATTGGCTGTCTTTGAGTGTTTGAGGCGATGCTGGAGATGCCATGAGGCCACATTGGGCACAGAATCAAAGGTATAGGCGCACCCAAATGCAGGATTCTCAGAAAGGTATCTGTTTACCTCCAGGTTTCCTGCAAGTTGAAGTTGAAATTCTCGGAAATCCCTCGAGTCCACCAGACGCTGTGAGAAATTTAGCGTAGGACGATGTCGCAGCAGAGCACCTACCCTGTGTGCATAATGTCTTCGAGGGTCAGGAGAGATCACTATATGCCAGGATCTAGGGGAGGATAACCTCAGATTCTCAAAGGCAAGGCGGATAGAATTCATGGTTGAGAAAGGAAAGACCTGTCCGAATCATGCAACGTCATCATCCGGGAACTGCCGCCGAACTACCGCATGCCCGATCTAGAAGATTACACCAAGATCCCCATGCTCTCCATCACTGGCCGCCGACTCGAGGCCTTTGCAGCCAGTAGACAACGGCGGAAGTGCTATCTAGCTGTGCAGCCAGATCCAAATAACTGTTTTGGTCACCAGGTATCTTCTTTGCCCATTCAGCGGGCACAGATCGCGTTCGACTTACGAGTGGTCAGCGCCTGAATTTCAAGCACTACTTCACAATCAAATTTGGAGATGGACCTCAAAGTCGTATTTCTGGTTATTCCTCGAGCAACGGTAATTACGCGTAGGTTCTTATCACCTCTACTTTTTCACCTCTCATGAAAGCCGCAATTCAGGTTTGCCTACAATGACGGCACCACAAGAGCAGGGAAAGCGCTCGAACGGTATGTTCTACAGTTCACAGGAGCGAAAATGGTCGCACAGCATGACCATATTAGTGAGCCTCATTATTAGCAATAGGTGAGACCATAAATGAATTCACTTCTTGCAACACAGGATCCGAGTGGTATGAGATCGAGGACAATGGGTTGCGTGATGAGAAGGGTCGAGATTTACGTGAAGTCCTTCTCCAGCTCCTCAAGGACTTCGGTCATTATGATCTCGAGGATGAAGACAGCTGCACTGCTGCAGGAGAGAGCATCATCCAGCTCCTCGCCCCGGTCTCAGATCTCAACAATATTCCACCGCGTCCTAGTTTTGACACACAAGCTACTGACATGCCGCCCCTTCCTGACTGGAATGTTGAAGATCAAACTTAGCCAGTTCCTAGCCTACCCACCCACTCTCTCTTGCTTCTCTGCCTTCTCTACTACTGATGATATGGGCTGACGCTGTTCAAATTGTAGTGATAGTTATCCCTTAGGTATTAAATGCGCATGGTTTGTGGGTGATTTATCGGCAGGTGCATGTTGGGTAAATCACGGCCAAGGGTACGACAGAGGGTTTGAGGAATGAACATTTGTGGGTTCTCACCGTCCGCCTGCAGCAGACGAGGCTGAGGAATAGAGACCGGACCCGGATTGGGCATGAATATTGAGTGTTTCCACTTTATGTAACACAGCCGAAAATCCCAGAGAATGCGTCAGCATGGGGGCAGCCGTTGCTCGTTCTTATCATTTCAACTTCCTTGAAGGGTGCTTAGCGCTACTAAACAGAATTGAAAGTTGATTGGGTGCCTTCCGGTGTCGGAATCTGGGCATGAAACATACGGGAAAAGTCTAGAGAACTGCCAGAAGGAAACATGGCGATTCTACGGTTTCTTTTCAGTATATAGCGTTAAGCACCAAACGTATTCCTTGCATTCTCGGCTTTCATCACACGGGATCCGGGCCGGCGTCAAGATAAGCGCTCAGGCAAGGGCGAGGGCATCCAACCGACTGGGAGAGCCAGAGCCCAGAGCCCCGGCATTCCCCGAAACACCCATGTCACGCCGGGAGCTACCCGCCTACTATCAACCTCTCCCGTCACTCAGCCGTTACTTATAGGTAGATAGACGCTGGATGTGGTGCCTCTAGAATTTTATTTTATTTAAAATCTCAATTCAGCTATAATAAAAAAAAGACTATCCCACTAACCCTCTGCACAAAAAGTCCCCAAGAAATTGTCGCACGAGCGCCTGCAGGTACTGTCTTTCTGTCATCGGGCTATAGTACTAAGCATAATTGTGTAACAATGGCGATGAAGTAATTTTATTTTTTCCCCTAGAATGAGGGTTGGCAATTCAATCAATGCCTGTGAGCGCGACACAGGTCCACGGCCCGTTCAATCTGTTTCGTCTCAAAGCGCACATGGCGCGCAAGTGAAAAATATCCTATTTGGAGCATTGGGATGACGTCCCATGGTTGTCTGCGCTGCTGTGGTGTTTCTAAGGAGCACACAAGCCCCCTTCTTTTCATTTCTCTCTCTCTTTTTACACCCAGTACATTGATCGGAAAATCAGAATTAGTGGCAGGCGCAGGAAACAGGACCGCGCCTCAAGCGCGCCAGCTCTTTGCCCGAAGACTTCAATGTTCAAACGTCTGCAAACACCGTATAGTAAGGTAAGCTATTTATTTATGTAAACGACTTGAATAGCATTGTAACTACATAAATCTTTTCCCTGCTCTTGTACTCTTGCCGCCCTCTCCACCTACCCAAGACCGCCGTCCACACTCGCAGCACGATGCCGTCACGGTGCTCATGAAAGGTATGTCCCCCCCATCTCCAAACGCCCGCGACCGCCGCCTAAAGTCTTCTAGAGACGAAACACGTCGGTGGTCTTGGATAACGGCAGCCATGAATGGTGTAGAGGGTGTTGAAGGCGAAGGACACAGCGACGGCAAGGATCTACAGGCAAAGTAAGTCACTCAACTTGGATAACTCATCTAAAACGAGCTAACGTACCTTCGTTATCACGCTGCAGCTCGCCCCCGAACGTCGAGCTCAACCCTCCGCCCTTCATCTAGAAGACGAACCTAAGGTAAGTCTTCATCATCGAGCACGAGACGAACGACTTACCGTCTCTTTTCCCCGTCCCTACAGCCCATCGTCGCCACTATACATGACATCCGACACCTCCCGCCGCTGTCCAACACCATGCAGAGCACGAATCCCAGCGGTGCCGTCGATGGAGACCACGTATAGCTAGGACGAACGTAAGTACTTTCTCGTATACCCACAGACGGGGAACTCACCCGTACGACATCGTTCGCCCACCGATACCGCCATCGTTGTCCCTGGAAAGCATCTGGGAAGACGCGGCGAAGGAAGGAGAAAGCCTCGGGCTGCGAGGGAGGGTGCCGAGGGTGATGCCCAGGAGCCTTCCTTCGCCGTTCAAACCCACGAAACCCGCTCATACGAGGCCCAATCAACGGCCTTGCACGTGCAACGCTCCCCATCGTCGAAGGAGGTGGTTCTGCAGGTGGTGTAAGTGCGGAGACGAGTACGAAGCCTGGACATAAGAGGTGAGTACGAGGCAGGTCTGTACGCACGAAACGAACGTGGACTTACCCTATCCACCCCATTGAACGTAGGCCACCATGCACCATCGACCGCGACAGCTTACGAGCTACGCCCCACGTCCAGCACCCCTCAGACTCGTCCGGGTCATTGACGTTCGCCGATGGGATTGACGTTGGGTGGGTGGTTGACGAACGAGGGTGTGAGGGAGAAATCTAAGGGTTATATGTAAGTTATGTATGTCTTTCATGAATGAAAGAGAGGCTTACTTACCTTGTTGTGGTGCTATCCGCCCACCCATGCCGTCGTTGTCCATGGCGAAGACGATAGATAACTCGTCCATGGACGAGTTCGACGGTGAAGAATAAGTACGGTTATTTGACTTGATTTACGGTGGTACGCAGGGTCGCTGTAAATTCACCGTAAATTTCGCACAAGCCCGGATTCCAGCTGCTGTCTTAGCCCCGCCGAGCAGATCCACGCCCGAAGCGATGATTGACGATTGGCGAGATGCAAACCCGATGCGGGTACAGGAGTCGGCGAGAGTCTGTTAGACGTTGTTGCACTTTGCGAATGTAATTTGCAGAGTTGTGCCCGCGATGGCGAACCATGCACCGGAGGACAATAAGAAATACATTTGTCATTTTCAATAACCTGCTATGGTGTAACGGAAATCAGCCGTGTTTTGTAAGTAGTAAGCCTGGGGGTTAACCGCAGATGATTGATCAATTCTCGCGGATAGACTTTTTATTATTAATTTGGAACCTCAACTACATGCATATTCTAGAAAGTCAATGTCGTCATGCATTTTTTTGCATGGCTACCTCTGCAGGACCCTCAGCGGGTAGGAGACTCGAGTGCCGTCTCTAGGGCAGTCTTGATTGTGTGAAGTGGCTGAGTGGCAGGCTGGTGTGGGCACAGTCGTTGGTCTGACATGGCTTCTGCCATATTCACGAGGTGTCCAGGAAGACAGCAACTCGGACAGAAAGTGAATGCTTTGTGATCTAAATTAGATCCAAGCTAGCACCTTTGTAAATTTGGGCCCGGTAATAGCATGCATAGTTGGAAACTGGCCTTGGCAAATTTGAATGATGCACGGTGTTGAGCTGCATCATGTCAAGAACTTCAGATCTGGATCTTGTAAATCCTGTAAATCCAGCTGAATTTACAGTAAATTCGTCGGCCATAAGTACTTATGTCTACTTATGCCTGCAAAAGACGATGCTTATTTTCTGCAGTGGGATCAAGCCCAGAATAGACGCTGGTCCAACTTTGTGAGAGCGTGATCATCTTTCACGATCATCTTTGGGTTCCTCTGTCTGGTTTTGATTATTCCACATACCCACCATGTTCTGGCATCCACTGGCTGCCTGGTGGGCCCTTGTTTCAAAATTACATCCCACAATTAGCCAGAACAAAAATAGGAAACTGATATAAATGCCTCAAAGGAGACTTGGCAAGAGACATTGCACTGTTTTCTCCTCACATTCTTCTCATCTTGTCTTGATTGCTGAGCAACAGCTATGGGAATCCGTGACTTGTGGAAGGCATGTCAGAATTTCTTCTGGGTGATTGGGAGCTGACAAATTTGTTCTAGACCCTCTCTCCTGCCTTCGAAACCAGAACCCTGACACAGGTGTCAGTGTTCAAGGGATTTGAGAAGAACCGCTGACTGGAACGGTGTATCAGGGTTGGAGTGGACAGCAGGTAAATACGGTTGCTTGACAATTGATCTGTCTCAGCGCTAATATGCCTTTGCTTGCCAAGTGTGTGGTTGAATGAGGCCCAATGTGCCATCGGCTCATCTACATGCCATGGACCAGGGACTCAAGCCAGGGAGAACCCAGTTCTTCGGATTCTCTTCTATTGTCTCTGTCAACTTCTTGCTGCCCCTATTATCCCCATTTTTGTTTTTGATGGTGCAGGCCGGCCGTTGCAAAAGCGGGGCAAGAATGTCAAGAAAAAACCTCACTGGCTTTCTGGGCGCTTTCAGCTATTCATTGAGGCATTCGGGTTTTCATGGTACACGGTCCATTGTTTATTCACTTATTGCTTCTCTTTCTTTGAGACTTGATTAGGCGCCGGGTGAGGCCAAAGCCAAACTTGCAATGCTGAACATGATGGGCATGATTGATGCTATCATCTCCGAGGACAGCAATTGTCTGGTCTTTGGTGGTCTGTGTGTTATTCACCTGTATGTTCTCCTTTGTATTCTATTCTCCCATGATGCTAACTGAAATGTAACTAGTCAAAACACCAAGGACGCTGGTGACCAGGTCACTATCATCACCACTGATGCCGCCAGATCGCACACTCATGTTTTGCTGACTCGAGAGGGTATGTTCCTTTTTGGGATTCTTGGTAAAGGGGACTACTCGAAGGCAGGTTTCTATATGGCCTTCTCATTTCTCCACTGAGAGTATGCCTCTAGGGACTCGTTGGTTGTGGAGCAAAGACAGCTCAGAAATTGGCTCAGAGTGACCTTGCTGTCTTGCTCTTCAGGGCTGCCTTGGAGCTACCCAAGAGGAAGCTGGTAGACTTCCTGGCTGATTGGCGAGAGGATTTCAAGCTGCTCTTGGCTGATGATCAAATGGGATTGCTGGGACAAAGATACCCCGCTTTAGTGAAGGCTGTTGGCAACACGTTTCCATCTGCCGATGTTGTCGCTCTATATGCACAGCCAGTGACTTTGTGGTCCTGTGGAAGGGCTCCAGACACCTCAAATTGGACTTTGCGCCTGCCCGATCTTTGTTGCATTGGAGCACTGTCCGAAAAATCATTTTCCTTGGCATCACAGGACAACATATTTTTGACGTTTTCAAGCAATGTCTGGGAGGGAATTCTCATTCGTGACCTGCTTAAGGTAAGATTTACATTCATTTCTTGAAGCCCTCATAAAGAAATGACTATTATTTTTGCTAGAGAGCTGTCAACCCAGACCCTACACCCAGATACACCAACAACGGGTTTTATTCTGGTCACATTCTCAAAATCCGAGGCATCAAGCTTGGTCTGGGTCTGACACGCTATCATCCTGATGTCCCTGGCTTCCGTCTTTCAGTATCGACACATATGCTTGCCCACGACACCATCTCGGCACTACCCAACGATTGCAACAAGCCCGAATGCCCACCAGGCCTTCAGGTCATGAATGCCTGGGTGCCTCTCCAGATCCTGGAGACAGCCTTGCTGGCCCTTGTCCAACATTACTTCACTGCTCATCCAACAGCAGTTATTGTTCAACATTGGACATCGGTAAGACCCATTCTACTGGATAATCTATTAGCATTTTCTGAACTAGTTTCCGATATAGATTTTACCAGATGTAGCTGTCCCTGGTGATGATGACAACGACACAAGCTCGGTCTCATCAACGCCACTAAGCTCAGGTTCAGATACAGAGATCCCTGTGGCAGGACCCTCAGACACCCACGGCTCCTCATCTCACAATGCCATCGTTATTATGGACGACAATGAAGATGGGGACGTAGATTCTGACAGTGATCTTCCCTTTTCACCGTTTGTTGAAAGCTCGTCACACACCACTGGCCATCGTCAGAGCCCAACAATATTCCTTGGTATGATTGACTTGTGCACACCCTCTCCCTCTCCTTAGATAGTATCCTCTCATATTTTAGAATAGTACAGCTGGACATTTGTCAGTACTCGTAGCTCAATTGCACCTTGTGATTGGTGAGGCAGGATATGATCGAGCGGCCATGAAATTCAAGACTTGCTAGTGTGGAACTCCTAAATATTGTCTCTCTTTACTACTCCGTCCTCGCGACACCTCACAGCACCTCGACAATACAAAGCTATATTCTATTCTACATTCTCCATGGGTAAAGGAACAAGGAAAAAGCAGGGGAAGGCCCAACCTTCTCCTCTCCAAGTGCCATCGACCGCCGATCTTGCGTCACTCCCAAATATGGATGCACTCTGACAGCTGCGGGATGCACAGGTCAAGGAATATACGACGGTGAAGAACACTGAGAGCTCGTACAATGGCCAGATTGCCTGTGGAAGGGCATTCCTGAAGGTCCTCATTGATGGACAAAGGGCAAAAGGCAAGGAGGTCTGCAAGGACAGGATTGTCACCAATGAGCTTGCAAAGGCATTCAACGATAGTGGGCCAAATGAGTACTCGGCGACGGCACTTGAGCTGTTCCTTGTCCACAAGTGTTTTTTGCAGGAGCGAGGGCTCAGCACTGCGTCCAGCATCCATGGCGCTTTTGCAGCCTTTTGGGACGAGATGTAAGTCTTGAGTCAAGTTGACTGAAAGGCGGCGCACATACTGATAGACTCCTATTGTAGGGGTGATGGACAATACTCCGGTGCATATAGTCTCGACAAGGAGACTGGCAAAGTGAGTGGCTGCCCAGCCTGAGCTCCCAATGTCAAGGCCATCATCAAAAGTGTGAAGATCCGATCGAAGACACAAGGAGCAGCGGCAACATGCAACCATGCAGACACCATGACGCTCAAAGTAGTGGTGTCAAGGTTCGGTTCAGTCCGGTTTAGGGCACCTTTTGCCCGAACCCAAGACCGAACTTTAGGTCCGGTTCTCCCCCATAGGTTGAACCTGGAACCGAACGGGGAGTTCAGGTTCGGTTTAGGTTTGAACACGTTCGAACTTTTCTTTGGGCTTGAAATTTTTTTGGCATAGAATTTTCTTTGAAGCACTGTCAATTTTACTTATAAGTATTACTAGGTGCTTAAATAAACTGTAGAGCACTATTGTATATAGATTTGAGTGAGATTCTGTAGGCCGCCTTTCGTGGATGTGAATGATAGGGGCTTCAGGGCTTGCCGAGAGCGGTTACACACCCCGATACAGAAGCTACATACCCTAAAATATCCAGGAAGGTGGGTAATCATTTTTTCCCAATGATTCTCTTGCGAAATCTACACAAAATTGTCTCGAAAAGGCCCTTTTATTGACCCTTTTGGCTTGCAGGTTCGAACCGGTTCGAACCTGTTCAGCGAGGCCTGAACCGAGAACTGGACTTTTGGTCCAGTTCAGCACTTTTGTTGAACCTTGGACCGAACATCGAGTCCGTTCTTGCCAGTTCAGGTTCGAACTGAAGTTCAGGACCGAACTCCGACACCACTAGCTCAAAGAGCTTGACTGCCTTATGCAGTGGTCACTGAAGGAATGCCCTGATGACCTTCTCAACGATGACTCACTGATTCTCGATATTGAAACACTGAGGTTCTGTGTTGAGCATGCACTGATGCAAGCCTTCATGAGTTCAGCATTCATGCTATGGACACGGTAAGCAATGTCCCATTCAAGCGAAGGCTAAGATACCTGATTCCGCAATACTTTAGATGCTTTGAGCTCTTGAGTTTGCAACAGAAAGACCTTGCAGAGGGGTGCAAGGGGCCATCACCACACTTCTTTCCGCACTTCAAGGTTCATCTGACCCACCGTAAGGGGTGGCAACAGGAAAAAGGCTATGATGGTCCAAGAACAAGTAAGATGTCAAACCACTCTCGCTGAGGAGGCTGTGTGAAGTGCTTAACATTTTGTCAGGCAATGTATATGATATCTATAAGCAGGATATCACTGCCATCGACATGAACTTCCACCTTATGCGGTGGAAGAATCTGTTGGAGCGCTTGTATGGTTCAAAGCTCGAAGATGAGGACTGCCTCTTCCCATATATCTCCCCTAACGGGGTAATCCACATCAGAAGACAAACAAGCTACGACATGCTTCAGGCATCGCTCACAAAATTCTGCAATGGGGCAGGCGTCTCAAAGAGGTACACAACCCACTCTTTCCATCGAGGCGGCGCACAGTATCAATTCATGTTTGCCCCAATCGGCCAGTGGTGGACCTTGAACCGCATCCACTGGTGGGGAGGATGGGCTGTTGGAGAACATGTCAGTACCACGAGATTTCATTCACTGGTTTGCTTACCAATACCGAATAGGTCGATACACTCATCAAATATCTTGTCGATTCACTGCAAAGCTATGAGAATGGACATGGTGATGCCCTGCATCCCATCCCGATTGAAAAGGACATTACTCTGCTAGGCGATCATGTCAGGCTCGCACCAGCTACGAACAGTGACATCAGTCAATTGCGATCATCATTCCTCAGTGAAATTCAAACCAAAATTCAAACCTTATCGACCACCATCAACTCCCAGCTGAGCGCGATAGCTGAGACAGCATCAGCAACCCATCTCCCAACCCACGAGGTGACAGTGCAGCGCAGCATGTCTCGGGAACTCAGGTCTGCCGAGATTGCCCCGTATCCGCCGACTAAGTTTCGCAGCTCTGTCCAGCTCTTGGCCAGTCAGAGCCCTGGCCCTGAGGTGGATGCCCCAGCTTTGCATGAGTCCCTTCCTCTTTCGAAAGTCTCGATACCAGACTTGGGCCAAGAGAGAGGCACATGGCGGCAGGCTATTTTTCAGTGGATGGCAGCCGACGGCGAAACAGGCCTTGCGCTCAAAGATTGGCCACTCGAGTGGTACATGGGAAGCATGAGGACTATCATGGGAAGTAAACACAACCTTCAACAGGTTGTTTACAAAGAATACGCAAGGTACGAGTCATACCTTCTCATCTGCTTTTTTTCCCCCCATTCTGACTTCAAAGGGTTGCAGGCTTGGTGCTAGTGATGCCCGCTTTTTGGAGGTCTACCCAGAGGCCGAGAAGAGCTTGACAGACCTAGTCAACCTCATCAGGAAGAGGAACAAAAAGATACGGGCGAGCAAGAACAGCTCACCAGCGTTCCAAGCGTCATCTGCTGATCGAGCATAGCACATCGTATCTGGTCCACCTCATAACATGACATCTAATAATCTAGATATACAATCAAGTAAAACAATGACCGGATTTATATTACTCACATCTATATTACTCACATCTTGTATCATATTTACAATTTAAACCAGACGATTGGGCTCAACGTGCCTTGAGATGTGACTGTGATGAGGGCCATCAGCACACATCCATTAGGGTTGGGTTGCTTGTTGTTAGAAGCTTGAGATTTATGCATAGAGGGTCAACAGGACAGAAAAATGGATGGGGAGAGCTTACTAGAGGAGGGACGAGCGCAGCTAGCAGGAAGGGACAACGAGACGAGCGAGTGTCGAAGGGCAAGTCAACTGTTTACTATTATTTACACTAGGGCCGAGGGTTTACACCACAGAAGGGAAATTGTCAAAAAAGGGAAGGTGAGCACTAGTGAGGACACCTGTTGTCCTATGTGGCACACGCTGAGGCACAAGAGGCGCATGCCCAGCCATGTGGTGCAAAGGACAAGCGCACGCGAGCGTGCAGCCGGTGTGGAGAGGCCCCGCCCTGAGCCGAGCCGCATGGAGGGGCAGAATGGGAGGGAACCCGCCAGTCATGTGTGTGGAACTGCCTAATCGGGACTAGGGTCGCACGTAATCCAGGCCCAGCCAGTAAATTCATCGGCATAAGTCTTTCGTGGTCGACACGAACGCTGCCGACTCCACAGATCAGCGACCTGCTATCTTTGGACGAAAAGCTTAGTCAGGGGGTCGCAGACTAAGACTAAGACTATTATTAATAGTGTTGCCGGGAGCTGAGGTTGAGTCAACTCGAGGTGGAAACATTTTGAACTCAGACAAACTCGAGCTGATGGGAGCTCCAACTCAGCTCAAGTCACCTTGTAATCAGCAATCAAAAGATTTCCTGATTGGGAACCCCCTCCTCAGTGAAAAGGACGAACGACAATGGCATATTGTGCCCTTGTAGCAATTAGAATGGTACAGCAAAAAGTATACACAATTTAATAGAAGTGCACTAGACCCCTTAAGTTAGATTAGTTATTACCCTCCTCATTGTCATCATCACATTCCTCCATTCCCCAACCCTCCTAAGAACCGTCAATGTATCTCCTGTTCGTTTTGGTAACAGTGCTTCAGAATTTGAAGCTCTTCCATCACAAATTTGAATGTCACATGGTGTCAGTCTTCTTGCTCGATGAAAAGATCCTCTCGCATGGAACAGCTGAAGCTTGGGCAGGCAGGACATGGTACACGACCCTCCAAAAGAGTGCATGATTACCCTGCCACTCGCCCTAAAAATGGATGTCAGAATCTAATGGCATTTCGAAAATTTGACGATGTGCCTGTTAGAAGTGGAGGAGACCAAAATCCTTCATAGTTGTATGGCCCTTGTTGATAATACCCTCCTGTTCATAGACCTGAATTGCTGTCTCGACATCCTTTGATCGTCGAGGTCTTCATGCTGCCGAATAGTTCATCAGCAGCACTTGAAGACCCATTCTTGCCGGAAGGGCTTGCCGCAGGGATGGATCGCGTGCAAGCTCGTCCAGACTCCTAACATTCGAAAGCGCTCACTTGGGCCCGGGCCACAGCATCTGAAAAACTGATAGGAAGCTGAGCAGGAGGTGCTGGAGTGCAGGGGAAGGCACATATGAGGCCAGGAGTAGGTCAGGATACGAGTGGGTAAAAGCAGGATGATATGATTATTGCGAGTGAGGACAAGTAGAACAGATAAATCCGTATGGGCCTTTACAGACACCACAGATGGTCAACATACTATGGCATGACCTATGTTCCATTTCTCCGCCCACCTTTTATACCCGTTCCTTGGCCCCTTGCAGTTATATCCCCTCCTGACCCAAGAAATTTTGACAGGCCTGACGCATCAACGACACCAAACTGACGTGTCTAAGCATCGCCAAACGGGATTTTGTAGCTTGAGGCATGAGGATTTGACTGAGCTGGGGCTAATACCATGTAACCACGAGAGAGGAGGGTGGCCTACAGGAGGCTTGGAAGTAGTCTTTAGCAGGGTTGCTGATGGGTGGGGGCCGCGCTCAGGAGGCAAGAAACGAGCGGAAAACAGGGAGAATGGTGCAGACGGATTGTCAAAGGTGGTGGAAGGAGGAAGGCTAGCTGTGGGAAAGCACTGTTGCTGTGCGACGCTTTGAGACTTGCCATCAATGTCAGCTCAGAGCCAGCTCGAGCTGAGCTGCACCTCTGTTGCCTTGAGGCGCCTGATTTAGAAGGCGCCACGAGCCAAGTTCAACTCAACTCAGAGTTCACCTCAGCTCCTGGCAACACTCGTCCCCACCCTGACTAATGGATTCCCACACCCTGTGATCTAATCGGCATGATCCGTCACTGGATACCCTGGCAAGGGCAATCAAATGGCAAATTCTCCTTTAGCGTCATTCTAGTGCTTGCGTGTCGATACTTAACATGCGTGCTGGAAAATCATGGAGTAATCAGGGCCATGAAAGGTGTGTGTGTGGGGGGTTGGTTGGTTTATTACAGGTTCGAAAAGACCAAGTTACGTACTAAGTCGTATCTTCGAGGTTGTCAGACTGGCAAACAAAAATTCACCTCAGCTTGACCTCAAAGGCTTTAAGTTCCAGCACGGACGTGGTCCACCGTCTCCTCCAAGGAGTTATTTAAATTTCAACGGCTTTGGAGGGCTTCGAGTTCCAATAAATTCTCATTTCTGCATGAAGGACTGTCACCTAATTATGGAGTCTGAAGCACGCTCATTCGGTAGGATTCTTTCTGATAACAAATGACTGAAGGTTTAAGTTCTAGGTGGGGTGGGAAAACTAAAAGCGTGATGGGCCAATGATGTATGGTCCGTGCGCCATTTATAGCTCTATTCCTCATGCTAGATTCAGATGGTGAACATTGATCTTTGAAAGATGTGGGATCAACGGCACAACAACAATGGCCAAGCAATTGGTTATCGTTCGCGCCAGCTGTGATGAAGACAACAATTCGAATTCAACTTGGCCAACAGTCTGACACTGTGTGAGTGATGCAGTGGCCTTTCTACCACAGTACCTATTAGCAGATTCATCGGGTCTCAGCTCGAGGGGTTAGGTTTCGCGCAAGAAGAAAAGGCTGCTCTTCAGAAAATACTTATGTTATCAGGATGAAAGGGCCATGGTGCTGAACGTGTAGGCTTGTCCGATTTGGAGCCCCTTAGGTGGGTGGGTTCCTTCGTCCCAAAATGGAACTCGAACCTTCGGCTTTACGATGGGCATCAGATACACATGACGTGATCGCGTTGCGTGTCATTGATTGCTCGGTAGCTTTACTTTAGTTAGCTCTCTATGTCATTGTGCTCCCCGCCCTCACTGCCGTTATCGTGGACCTCATTCGAGGGCCAAACGGTCATTCGCGAGATCGTTAAGCAAGAGGTCCCTCAGTGGTCAAACGAACCTCAGCGAACCTCGCCCACTAAGCTGAGCACACACTGCAAGGAATGCCAACCATCCTCATTGCCTCGACAGGATGGGGAAGAACGTCAGCCTTCCTCCACCCTATTCTCGTCCTGCAGCATCTCATCAAGGACCCTTGACTAAATGTCAAGACACCCAAGCTGCCATGGAAACCTATGGCTTTGGTGGTGACACTGTTGATCAAGCTGGGAAACACCCATGTATGGTCACTCTCCCTCACTTTTCCACCCAAAATAACTCATTACTCTCCAGAAATAAAGGAGTATGGCCTTACGACCCATTGTGCGACTGCTGAATTGTTGCAGGCAGCCTCAAACGAGGGCCGGAACTTGCTGCTTGAGATTTGTTGATAAAAGTGGTCCGTTGTTTTTCTCTCAACGGAGCACCTCGAATCCCACGAGGTCGATGCCATTTTGCGAGATAGCACCTTCCGAGCGAATCTCGATTACTGTCAGCTATTTTCTCAGCCTCTTGTTTCATAAGCCCTGCTCATTATTTACAGGCCTGAAGAGCAATGTCGGGTGTGTCCCTCCAACATCATTCAGTGCATTGACGACTGCCGCCACTGTTTTGTGCCAGTTTGGCCTTTGCGTCGCATCGAACTTTGCGCCGCTTGTGCCAAATTTTGGCAAGTGAGGTTATGAGACTGGTTGAGACTGTCGAAGAGTAAAATCTGCAACGAGAGATGGTTGATTGGTGTTTTTCTCCTCTCTTGATGCAGTGGCACCCATGATAGCTTTATTGGAGGCTTCTATGCTATGGCACGCAAACTATTCGACGTACGAGACATCGAGGATGGGTTGTCTAGCCCCTAATGAGATTAGATTAGATACAATTCCGCCCTCACGTGATGCTCAACATGGTTGAAAGTTCGTTGCTTCACGACCGAAAAAGCCGAATTGACCCACCCACCCAAGGTCCCGCAAATCGGAACAGACCTTATATCAGATACGATCGACTATCATTTGTATCTATTAGGTCTGTCTAGGGAGATTACTGAACGTGTTGGTTTCGTGAAGGATGAGGCTATCGGCAATAATTTCCCCTCTCGCCATCAACTTTCGTGAGTGGTCAAGGCCTATTCGATCGAGAGGTGCTCACGAGATAATTGCCGTGCTTCAGAGGGGCATTATGGAAAGGACTCTCGCCAGTTGTATATCTGGACCGCTGCTTCAGCCCTAGACACTCCCCGAAGAATATCTGGAAAGATGGAGTGCATATTGTGGCCCTGCACGATGTGGCAACTGTGGCTATGTTGATATTTGTCCCCAGAAAACATATTCTGTGTGAACCGTTGATGGACGCGTTTGCTGACTCCCTCCATTGTTGACCATATTAGACCTTATGTCCGGGATGCATCACACATCTTCTCGTCGGTGGCCCCCTCTTCTTTTGTTACGGGAAATGAGGCGGGAAACTGCCGCCACCTCGTGAGTCATTCCTTTGAACGATATATTTCGACGCAGCTAACAAAGGAGCAGAAATCTCTTTGTCCTTTGCGCCGTTGACCGACGCCGTACAAGAGGCCAGATACGACCGGCACGATTTTTACGACTTTACGACCCCGTCCTCCAACCATGTCCCAACCCCGTCCTTCCCTTCGATTTCTGTTTACTTTCCTCGCTCGAAGATACCTCTTCCTCCTCGTCCTTCCGGCCATCTTCTCCTCAGTCATTGCGGGTGGTGTCGCTCCTTTCATGACACATGTCATTGGGCAAGCATTCGACGCATTTGCCCGGTTCTCCGTCGTTGCCAACCCCGCTCAAGAGGACAAAGATGAGCTCCTGCGTGGTGTAGGCGTCGCAGCAATAGAGCTCGTTGCTTTGGCAGCAGGCTCGCTCGCTCTCAGCAGTATCACGTCGTGTTTATGGATCTGGATCGGCGAAACCAACGTTTCTGCTCTTAGAAAGACGGTTTATGACAGCATCTCGCAGAAGGGATTGGCTTGGTTTGACACACATCTTGGATCGACAGAGGACAGCCCTCTGGGAGCTGCAGGTCTTATGGCCAAGTTTTCAAGGTGTGTCTTCAACTTAAGAACCCAAGACATCCTGATAACAGTCTATCTAGAGAAACGGACGAAGTCAGAACGGCTACATCACTAACCTCTGGCATGCTGATCCAGTACCTCACCACCACCCTGACCTGTCTCGTCCTCGCCTTCCTCCGATCATGGCAACTAACCCTTGTCATTCTCTCCTCCGTGCCTGCTCTCGTCCTAGTCCAAGCCCTGTCTCAAGGCATCGCGAACCCTCTCCTCGCCCACGAACGCGACCAAACAGGTTTTGCGGCCACTATTATCGAACGTGCAGCGTCCGCCATTGCAACAGTCAAAGCATTCAATGCCACCAACCTCGAACACACCCGTGCAAGCCAGGTGTTTGACCGACTGCGATTGGCCGCCAGGAAGCTCAACGCCGTCTGGGCATTTACCTCGGGCATTTCTCAATTCATCGTCATGTCCATGTTCGTGCAGGGGTTTTGGTTCGGATCGAAGCTGGTGCGAGAGGGCAAAGCCAGCGCGGGCGACGTCATGTCCGTGTTCTGGGCGTGCCTCATCGCATCGAGCAACCTCCAGATGTGCATCCCACACTTTATTGTTCTTGCAAAGGGCAAGTTCGCGATGGTGTCGCTTCTCGAGCTGATCGCCCCCAGCAGACCCGACGAGGGCATCCGCAAGATCGTTCCTACCAAATGCTCCGGCAGCCTCGCTCTCCACAACGTCACGTTCGCCTATCCCTCTCGACCTACCGTTCCAGCTCTTTCCAATGTATCACTCTTCCTTCCGGCCGGTGATACGACTTTTATCGTTGGGCCATCCGGCTGCGGCAAATCCACCGTCGCCCACCTCTTGCAGAAGATGTACGAACCTCAGGAAGGCAGTGTCACCCTCGATGAATGCAATTTCCGTACCCTAGACCATACCTGGATTCGGTCTCATGTTGGCTGCGTCGGTCAGCAAGGAACGGCTGGGGTTGTTATCTTTGATGAAAAGTCAGTGTTCGACAACATCGCTGCCGCTGTTTGGGGGAATTCCAGCCGAAGGCCGACGTTTGGAGAGGTGGAGGAGGCTGCCCGTTCTGCTTTACTGCACGAGTTCGTCCGTGACCTTCCGGAAGGATATGACACTCTTCTTGGCGGCGGAGCAGGCGTTGGCTTGAGTGGTGGTCAGAAGCAGCGTCTTTCTATCGCCCGAGCTCGCCTACGAAATCCTACCGTTCTGATTCTTGGTATGTCCTCCTTCCTCGAGCCTCGACTACTTTTTACCGTTGTCCTCAGATGAAGCCACCTCCGCTCTGGACGTCACATCCCGTATTCTGGTCTACGAGGCAATAAAGCGATGGCGTCAGCACAAGACCACTATCATTATCACACATGATCTCTCGCAAATCGGCACTGAGGATTTCGTCTACGTTCTCAAGGAAGGTCGTGTTGTTGAACAAGGTTTCCGGTCTGACCTGGAGGCTTCAATCGCGACTCCTTACAGCAAAGTTCACGGAGAGTTCAAGAATATGATGGACTCTCAGCGAGAGGCGGGCGGCTTCATCCCCGAAAAGGATGCTGCACCACTGACATCGTCACAGAATCTTCGCGCACGATTTAAGCTTGACGAAAGACGAGTCAGTCGTATGCCGTCGTTCCTCACGCACCAGAGCATGGCCTTACGACCTTTGACCTTCGGAACGTGGATGTTCGATGTCATTGCTGACATTACAGCCTCCAAGTTTCAATCTGCCAACGACAATGTTCCACCTCTACCATCCATCACCGAAGGCGACCGTCGCGAGCTTGACAAGTACACTAGAGCACCAGACCGCCGGCGCCCTTCTACAACGTATGCTCCTTCATCCTTTAACCTTCCCGCTTCTCCATCTCCTGCACATACTCTTCATCACAAGCGGTACAGCCTGCCATCGACACCGACATCAACAACGTTCACAATGAACCGACGTACGTCTGGAGTAATGGACGACAAGGACTTCGATGCGGAGAAGAGCACAATGGAGCGAAGTGCAGTTACAACCAGGCAGGCGCGAAGCACTCAGGGCACCGTCCGCATGCGCTGGGATGGAACACGAGATGCTGCGCTCTCCTACATCAAAGTCGAGAAGTCACATCACTTTGACGAAACTCTCACATATGACCATGCGGACGACCTCGAGCAACCAAGATTCTGGGCTCTCATGCGAGCAATCTACCCATTAGTTCCTGCCAAACCCCTCCTTTTCCTTGGTCTCCTTACATGTGTTCTCAGTGGTGCGATGACTCCGGTCTTTTCCTACCTCCTTTCTCGTCTTCTCTTCGAGGTGTCTACCGGAGCACAGAACGTCAATACGATCAACCGCTTTGGTGGCCTCGTGCTGGGAATCGCCGCCATCGATGGGCTCTTCCTTGGTCTGAAGTATTTCGTCATGGAGACCTGCGGCATGTTCTGGGTTACCAAGATTCGGAACAACGCATGGAGTCGGATTCTCTCTCAGGACAAGAAATGGTTCGATAAACCCACGCATTCACCAGCCAGGCTCGTGCAGGTGTTGGTCAAGGATGGTGATGACGCACGCGACTTGGTCTCCGTTGTTTGGGGGCAGTTTTGTGTGGTGATCGCGATGCTAGGAGTTGGATTGATTTGGGCATTTGTTCGAGGATGGCAGTTAACTTTAGCTGGTTTGGCAATCGCCCCCGTTTTCGCTATCACGATGGTCGTTCAAAGCAAGCTTGTGGCCAGATGCGAAGTTCGGAATAAGCGGGCGCGAGAAGGGGTTTCGAAAGGGTATTATGATGTATGCATTCCGCTTTTTCGTGTTCTTCGGTATTTCTAATTTCTTTCTATTGCAGACCATCATCAATATTCGTGGCATTCGTTCCATGGCTTTTGATGGCGTCTTCAAATCCCAGTTCGAAGCAGCTGCTGACGAAACCCTTCGCACTGGTGTACGAGGAGCCTTTGTCGAGGGATGCACCTATGGTGTGGCAAGTGGTCTCATATATCTCGCCGAGGCTCTTCTGTTCTACGTCGGGGCCGTGCTTCTCGCTCGTGGCATTTACACTTACCTCCAGATGATCGAGGTTTTGAATCTCGTCGTCTTCTCCGTGACAATAGGTTCCCAACTCATGGCATTCAGTAAGTTTCCCTTTCCTTTTTTCCTTTCTCGGTGTCTGATATGGTTCCGACAGCTGAGAGGATTGCCAAATCTGTTCAAGCAACAAGTGACTTCGACAAATTCACACATCTCAACACTGACACCTATGAGTCCTGCGGTGCCCTTCATCCAGAAATCGCAGGCCCAATTCGGATGAACAATGTCAAGTTCTGCTACCACGACCGTCCCACAGCACCTGCCCTTCGCGATGTTCATTTGGAGATCGCACCCGGCGAATGCGTTGCAATCGTCGGTGCTTCAGGGTCGGGAAAGTCAACTCTCATTTCGCTCCTTCAACGTCTGTATGAACCCACAAGCGGCTCCATAACCATCGGGGGCATCGACACTCGGCTTATCGATGTCACGCACCTCCGCGACCACGTCTCTGTTGTCAGCCAACAACCTCATTTGTTCGACGCGACGATCGCGGAGAACATCAGCTATGGACATCCCTCCATTTCACTCGTCGACATCCGTTACGCAGCCAAAGCGGCGAACATCCACGATTTCATCATGTCTCTTCCTGGCGGATACGATACCCATTTGGGTGAAAATGCGTCATTGATATCTGGAGGGCAAGCACAGCGGCTGCAGATTGCGCGTGCGCTAGCTCGTCCTTCTCGAATCCTCGTTCTGGACGAATGCACATCTTCACTCGATCCAGAGAATCAGGCAGACGTTTTGGACGCCATCCGGGGTGCCAAGTGCAGGAGAACCACTTTGATGGTAACTCACAAGCTTGAAGCGATGTTTATGGCCGACCGTATCCTAGTTTTGCATGATGGCGAGATCATGGAGGAGGGGACGTACGAGAAGCTTATGGAAAGAAAGGGCATCTTTGCAATGCTGGCAAGAGGTGGAGAATGGGTATCTGATTGAATTAGCAGGCTTACTTATTTATTGCTTTTGACTTACACCCAAGTTTTTTTCTTTGTTCTTACATCTGTACACTGTACCACGCTTCAATGACTATGATGATCATCAAGAATAAGACCGTTTCTCTCGAAGTCGCCCTTCCGACACACAAATATTCATACTTTCTTCAAATATTACCTTTTAATTACTAAAAGTTTTGGTTTTTTTTTGTTTGTCACTAAGGCATCTCGTGACTTCTGAAGCACGCGACAGTCACGCGACCTCTTTAGACGGCGTTCAACGCTCCGGTGTCCGCACTGAAGTTGCACCGTTGCATTGAGGTCAATGTCAATGTACTTTCTGTAACTGTGAGCCATTAGCCGATCTCTAATGCTAAATTTTCTAAAAACGACTTTATAGGAACTCATACTGTGCTCCAAAACGCGGGAAGAGAAGTGAGACTGCGAACTTTGGTTATTGGCTGCTTGTTGACTTGCCACTGAAATATTCCTTTTCACTAGGTTGGTTGGTTGGTCAAGAGATCAAAACACTTACCTCACATAAGTGTTGGCCTACGTCTTCTATACACAATTGGGCTGAAACTATACTCGGTCAGTTTTCGTCAATTTAGGTCGAAGCGGGGATTGACTCCATTTCAGCTCGTTGGCCTTCACTCAAAGGCCCACAATGTCGGCGGCCTTAACGACACATCCAGACATTTCAAACGGCACACACCATGACTTTTCATTAGGGTCTCTAGCAAGTTTCTCAACAACTCCTGGTCGGCCAGCCCTTCGCGTACCTTCAGCATCCTCTAGAACAACGGCACCGTCCTCCACGCCCATATCGACACCATCACCACCTAGTGTCACTGCGTTTTCGCGAAGGAAAGGAGACGATGCTGCTACATCGCTGTCATCACGGCTGAATATGCTCAACCGCCACGATGAAGGAGATGAAGTTGAAGGAGATGTCCTAGACACTCCCGGAGCGGAAAAGAAGAAATGGACGGACGCACCTGAGACACCAGGCGCTAGCGCGCGGTCGTCGAAGAGGACGAAAGGAACAGCATCTGGAGGAAAAGGAGTCACTCTTACCCTTCGCGACCAAGAGAAGGTGCGTTTCTCAGAGATACTGCTCTATTTTTCGACTAAGACAATTTGTAGCACATCGACAACCTCAAAAAGGAGAACTTCAATATCAAGCTCCGGGTCCATTTCCTTGAAGAACGGCTTGCCCAACTAGCACCGGACCAGATCGATGCTGCCCTCAAACAGAATATCAACCTCAAGATCGAAGTCCAACAGCGCGGGATGGAGATCAAGAAGCTCAAGAAGCTCGTTCTCTCTCTCGAGCACGAGCTGGAGCGCCTACAGCGAAGCGGTGCTGGGAGCACGTCGAATCGGAGTAGGGAACGAGAACTCGAGGAGAAGCTGGAGGAGAGGGAGCATGAGCTTCGAGAGCTCCGGCGGCGAAAATCCGGCGGTGCGGACGATGCATTACTCCGGGAAACTGAGCAGCGAAACGCTGAGCTCGAAGAAGAGCTGGAGAATGCGCGTGCACTCCTCGAGGAGAACATGGACGAGATTGAGCGGCTGCGGGACATCGTTGAGCGCAAAGGTGACCAGTCGGCCAACGAGAACATGAGTGGCGAGGGTCGGAGAGAGCGGCTGAAACGGCGGGTGGAGGAACTCGAGCAGGAGAACGACAACCTACGCGCACAGTTGGACGACCAAGCCCATCTGGTCGCCCAGCGTGAAGAGGAGAAGGAGGATCTGTTAGACGATATAGAGGGTTTGCGATTGGAGATGGAGGATCTGCAACGGCGGAGAGAAGCCGAGTCGATCGAGAGGAGCGAGAGTCGGGTGGCGATGCTGGAAGCCAGAGAGGAGCGAGAGGCTGTCGAGGACGATTTGAACGCAATGAGGGATAAGCTAGCCGCGTTCATGATTGACCTACAGCAGAAGGAGGACGAAATTGAGATGAAGAACAACGAGATCGATGAGCTGGTTGCTGAACATAAGCGAATAGTGGAGGTTGTAGAGGAAGAGTGGCGAGGCGAAGTTGAAGAGGCAAGAGGGCAGGTTGAGGAGCTGAAAGATGTCCGTTTTCTGTCTTGCTCCTCTTTCAGCCAGCATTCGACTTATTCTTGTCCCAGGTGCTCGCAGAGCGAGAAGCAGAGTCGAAAGATCTTCGTGTCAACATCTCCGAACTCGAAGCCAACACCAATGACCTGCACGTCAAGTTTGAGGCTGCCCTGGCACATCTTGAGACTGAAAGCGATCAGAAAGATGCAGAGATTGAGTCGCTACAAACGTCCCTCGACAAACTTGGCGAGCAGATCTACCAGCTGGAGGACGAGAATGACCGGCTGAAGGAGGAGCACGACCGAATGAGAGACGAAGAACAAGCAGAACGAGAGAGGCTGGAGGCGTTAGCTGCTGCTCTGAAAGAGGTATGTCACCTTTGTCTTTTCCTTGACGGCTTATTCTAACGCTTCTGATGCCAGAAAATCGCCAGTTTGAAGGAGCAGCTACAAGAAATGTCAGAGATGTACGAAACCTGCCGACAAGAAATTGACGCACATGTCAATCGGCAAGAGGAGCTCGCCCGGCACGTCGAAGACCTCGTGGAGGAAGCGCAACGAGAACGAGCAGCGCGCGAGCGCACTGAGGCCGACCTGGACGCTGCAGAGAACGAACATGATGCTGCCATTCGACGCGAGAGGCGGAATCTCGAAGCCAAGGAATCAGCCCTTCAGAGCGCCTTGAACGACCTCGCACGGACCCAATCCCTTCTTTCCCAACGCGAAGCCGACCTGCAAGCTGTGCAGGCTGCTCTGCAGACTCTGGAGGCGGAGAACAAGAGGGCTGGCGAGACCCATACCACGGCCCGGTTCTCCTTGCAGCTCGAGGCTGACCGCCTGAAGCGCGACTTAGAGCGGCTCGAGGACGAGTTGGCGCGTGCACGGAAGGAGCTCGACGACAAGGAGAGTAAGAATCGCGACCGCGACGGTGCTCTGGATAAACTGCATGCGGAGAACAGAGATCTGGCGACCCAGTTGGCGGCACAGACGCAGGCACGGCTAAATTTGTCCGAGAAGCTGGACTCGATGATGGCCAGCTTGAAGACAGCGGAGTCGGAGTCAGCTGGGTTGAAGTCGAAGGTCGCGGAGCTTGAGCAGAGGCTATCGAAGGATCAGCGGTCGCTGTTGAACGCGGAGAGTCAGTATCGTGATCAGCTGACGGAGAGGAATACACTCCTCCTAACGATCTATCAATACCTCGACAAGATCTTAGGTGTTGATAAGACACCTGTGTGTGCTTTCTTACTTTATCCATCTACGAACTAACTCTCTTTGCAGAAGAAAGCCGGCCAGGCGGAGACAAAACCTTTCACCAACTTCAGCGTATTCCACGACAATCTCATCACGCGTCTGAAAGCTCTCAGCCAGATACAAATGGACTTTGACAAACGCTGCAAGGAGGTCGAGGCCAAGTTCACTGAAAAGCTCAACGACATGCGCAAGCAGCTCGACAATCGGTGGAAGCAGATTGATAAATTTGAGGCGAGTCTCAAGACGTATGCCGACACGAAGAGTTCCTGGAAACGCAAGTTAAGTCAGAAAGAGGGCGAGCTGGAGGCAATCAAAGTCTGTCTGATTCTATTCGAATGTTGATACCTTGAGATTAACGATGCGATCCTTCAGGCTACGAATGCGGAGATGGCCGCCCAGTTAGCTAGCAGCAAACGACCAGGAGGCTCCGATGCGATGGAGATCCGATCTTTGACCACACGAGCAGCCAACGCGGAACGACGTCTGAACAACGCCCAGAATCAACTGCTATCCACAGAGGAGAAACTTGCGACCTTGAGCCAAAAGAACAGTACTGCCGATTCCAAGTGGGAAGCACGTGTAAAGGAATATGAGGCCCGGCTGAAGGCGGCCGAAGAGAGGGTGAAGAGGGAGAGACAAGGAAGCAAAGAGCGGGTGGTGGAGCTAGAGAACAATCTTAAGTTCGTCTCGCACCTTTCCACTTGTTCCTGTGCTGACCGTTGAACCTATGTCGATTTCAGGAGTCTGCAACGACAATTAGAATTGGCTCAGAAGCGGAATCACCAACTGAATGAGGTCATCGAAACTAATAAAGTGGCTGGAACGAACTCTCCAGCACGATAAATGCCCTCTCCAAGTCCGTTCCTCTCACGACTTAGATATTTCTTTATGACGTTCCGGTCGGGCTTTCCTTCCATCTACACTCTTTTTGCTGCATATTCTTTTTCAGACCCGGTTTCTCGTACCAATGTATCAAATTCACGTCCATTAACGCTGTATTATGGCCTGCTCCGGTAATTCGAATACTTACGCTTCACTCTCAGATCTTATGATAGGGCGAATATAATGTTGGCCGCCATGCGGTCTCAGGCTCTCAGTTTCCAGGATGTTTGAATGATGGAACACGAGCTACCTCTTTCTTTCTACCTGAACAAGTAGCGTACTTCCGCACTCGTTACATTTTTTGGTACCATCACGCCAACCTCAGGTCCACCATTTGCCAATCTCGTCCATTTCTTCATCGATGTCCAGCGGAACGGCACATTCAAGGTACCGATTACCCTTTCAATCACCATGATAAGATAAGATAACATGAAAGCGAAGCCCTCACAAACCGTACACCTCTCTTCAGCTATAAACCCATTATGATCCCTCAGGAAATTCTCAACAGACTGAGCATCGACCAGCTGGGACATGACTTGAGTGACGGGAATAGTCACTGCGTCTCGCGCGGATCGGGCCATCAATCACCCCTGTCGAAGTACCTGTTTTCAAGCATCGCCGCCCCGACAGAACCTTCAGCAACTGTCCAACGACCGCGTGTCACGGTGTCCCCCTTCTGACAAAGATCCTGAATAGCGATCCAAGTCTCACAGACTACCTTCGCAATCTGCAATGACCGATCCTTCTCCAATTTCTTAATCGCTGTTCACTAGTTCTCTGGAGGGCGGATTGAAGTACCTCGATTGTCGAATCTTTTCGCAATAAGCCAAAGGATTTGAGAGTATTCTCGCACAATCAAGGTCTTCGTTCGAAGGTCTTCGCTTGTAGGGCACCATTCGTATTCTAACTTCATTGTGCTTTATCCCTGATCATTATCCTTCCTTGCGAAAGTTCTCGATTGACCCCACGCTCATTGATCACGCGCGCCTCATCTTTAACACTTCCTGCACAAGCTATTTCCGATGATGGTGGTCGCCGTCTCGCAGTCCGGCACCACCCAGGTGCGTTTTTAGTTGGTGCCGCGCTTTCCATTTTCGAACCCGACCGACGACAGGGAAGGTGATCAGCAGCAGATTAGGCCAGGTAATTGATCAATAAAGCAATCAATATTCTCGATTTGATTTCATTCCGAAGGGTGCGCCACACCGGTGAAATCCGACGCCGTATTCCCTTTTCTAGAATCCACAACGCTCGTCCTTCAGACCACGAAATTTTACCCAAATATTTGATGATTTGTGCGTCAAATTAAAATATGGGGGCGAAATATTGACAACCGGCTACCAGCCTCTAAAATTTTGGCCTACACTTTGCCTGCTCCGGTCTCCTGCAATACCTACATCTCAAAATCGACGATTTTTCCTGTCGTTGTGCTTGTCCTCCGAATCTTGAGATTGCTTTGATCAAGGGGAAAATAATTCTCGGAGTAAACTCGGAAAAACCTCCCCCTCCTCATCCGCTCTTCAGACCCAGAGCAAGATGTTCAGTTCGATTGAATTTAGTCCTCAAGTGATCCTCCAGAGTAGAATAACAAACCCCACCTACTAGTAAGTAGAAGGCGTTCAATGCGTTGCCTCAACCACGCGTCACGGGAATTGTTCGGACCGACGCGTTGTTTTGGGGCAAAATAATGATCACCAGGCACGATGAACAAGGTTGCAATTGAAAAAGACAACACACAATGTTGTGAAGGTTTCCTTCTTGTCTTTTGCCTCTTCATTTGGAAGCAGGTGCCTTTATTTCCTCCTCCAGGCAGGCTTTTTGAAGGATCTAGGGTTTTACGCTGGTCGTCCTCCACCAATCCACCATTTCCCCCCAGATATCCCCTCCAGATCCCCTCCAAGTTCAGGATGCGTTATCACACAGCTCTTCCACCTCGCCTAAACTCCCAGAAAACACCACAGGACCCCACTGTCCAGCGGTCGCCACCGACATGCGAGCTATCCCTTGCCAACGCATCGGCCTGCACAACGTCGACAGATCCTGAAGCTATGGAGGTGGACCTGCCACTACCCCAGACCCCCTCAACGATTCAATCCTCGACCGAGGATGGCACAGTCACTGGTCCAGCAAGTAAACGAGTCCAATCATCGCGCAAACACTCGTTACTTAGGTCGACTGTGCCACGTCTGGAGATTTTTCCTACTTCAGACGCGTCCGCAGCTCAATCTAACCGTGGGCCACCCTCTCCGACAGAGCAAAGCCCACCAAGAAAGCGGACGAGGACTTCTGCCCTTTCGTCGCCCTCCAGACCCCGACCACATCGTCTGGTCTCGCTGCCGACGCGTCCAGCCCCCTTACCGCCCTCCTCGACCCCTCTCAGCCCCTCTTTCGTCGCGTCTGGTCGCCAGCTGGCCCCTGCTAAGTCAGAGATAGCCCCTGTCTCCTCCGCCCTCCCTTTTTCACCGATCCTCCCAACCCCTAATGTAGTGGCAAACCTCCTACCGTCTGCAGCCCAAGAACAACCTCATTCGACACGCTTCCGGCGTCGGAAGCCACCTCCCAGCGAGCTGAAACTCCTTACAAGCGTGTATAGGAGCCTTGTGTATGGGTTGGAGATGAGGTATCCCAGATGGCGTCGGTTTGCAGAAACGAGAGACGGTACGCTCCCCCATCAGTCTCATAGTTGCAAGTATTAAGGTTGTTATGTAATAGCGGATGGAACGCTGGCTAGGACGTATTTCGACACGCAGGACGCGCTTCTTGCCCACCACCTGAAGCCTTATCTTTTGCTGAACGGAGCTAGCAGAAATTCGATGGTCGTGGACGTTGACCTCGTGGCTCGAGAACGTGTCGGATCTATGGGCATGGATGTCGATTCCGAAACCGAAACTTCGCCACGACCCGGTCTCCCAGACTCTTCCACTGATTCTTCAATACTTTCGTATCAACGATTAGTGTCGGCGCTTATTCTACGGCACCACACGTATCCTCGACGCTTGCCAGGACGCATACGCAAGAAAGGAGACGCTTCACGGAAGGCGTCCGCTCTCGCGAAGAGTTATACGTTTGAGCTCGAGAGTTCGTGATGCCGGTTATTTCATTCCATTAATCATCTAAATCTCATTATCTACTCCATGACCTTTATGACCATCCGGAGCCAGTGCTCCTTCCTTTCCTTCATGCCTACCTAATTATCACCGACACTCATTTACTCTGCATAGTACTCATCAAAGCCACAAACTCTGTACCCATCCAATGCATCCTCAGAGGCCTCTTGCCCCAATACTTTCTTGCCGCTGAGAGTCTGTTCAGCTAATCAATTACAACGTTTCGAACTCAATGTCGACCCTGCTTGCCATAATCAACAACAGATCAGTGTCAACCGACAGGACAGGGATCAATCCAAACTCCTTACCTCCAATTCATAACATGGCCATGAGACCTAGCAGCTATCTATAGCTGGTCTTATAGCCTGCTCCTTTTCTCCCGAACCCTCTCATAATGCCCAGCATCCTAGACTAGCCTCCCCATATATCTAGAACTACCGTCGCAGTTATCGAAGAGTGCTCCTTCTGTCGGCCGGATCTATGCCAGAACTAATGTTCCCTTCCCACCTCTTGATCCAGCTTCTCCGCCATCTCTACACTCAGCTTTCTCTCTGCGGCCACTACTGCTCTCTTCGCAATCCCTGCTATGTCGCTCACCAGTCTCTGCGCCCAATCCACGCTTTTCGGCTAGTTTCGACGGAGTTCAGTCGCGCTTTTCTGAGCTTTGCGTCTTTTAAGGAGACACAGTTCTTCCAACAGGTCGAGGAGGTATACTACCCATACGAATGGCACATCAACACACGCGTACGTCGTGCGGCCCTCCTTGGGCGCTTCCGGGTGTTCTGGACAATTGACACGGACAGCGGCAAGTGGGCTTATTTTGTAGTTTGGGGCGGTTGACTAGATTGACGCTAGGTGACCGCGGTGTCTTCAGAGCGTACGATTTTGGGTCTGAGAAAGGGTGCAAGCAGGCAACGGAGGTCATCGTCAAGGCTTGGAAAGACCCGGAGGACCTAGAGTGTTGGACGGAACGTCGTGCGTACGAAATTCTGGGTTGCAATGCCCACGTACCGTCGGTCGTCGCCAGCACATATGATGGCCATTGCCAGGCTTATGCGCTAGCTCTCGAGAAGCTGGGACCCTCCTTGGAGGACCTCCTGAACCTCGAGCCAAATAAACGCCTCGACGAAAGGACCGTCCTCGCTGCGGCCATCCAGCTGGTTCGTCATGTCTCTAGCTATCACCTTCATTCCCTCATATCTATTACGTTCTCCTAGCTCGAGATCTACAGCGCCTTGCACAACCTCAACGTCGTACACAACGGAGTCAAGCCCGCGAACATCTGCTTGGCGGGACCCGAAGGCTCCTCGACAAGTCTCCATCTGATCGACTTCGGACTCTCCTACTTCCTGAACCAGTCCACCCCGGTCGCAGACCGCGCAAACACGGTGGGAAACCGGGTCTTCCTGAGCGTCTTCGGGCATCATGGTATTAGTGCGTTCTCCGCGTTATTTGCTGAGTAAATGGAGATTTAACATGACGCATGTCGGCTTCTCTAATTTAGCCCAATCCCAGAGAGACGACCTCGAGTCGCTTGGCTACCTATTCTCGTTCCTCTACCACGGTTCTTTACCGTGGTTCGACCCTTTGCGGTCTTCGAGACGGCGCCGAGCGGCAAGTTCCCTGCCTGCTCCAAAGATATGGAGCATCAAGGCATCGACGACTGCGTCTGTGCTCTTCCAAGGCATGCACCCGTGTTTTCAGCGCTACTGGAAGGACGTCAAGTGTCTTGCATTTGGCGAGCGGCCGGAATATTCGGTCTTGAAGTCTTATTTTATAGATGCTTGGGAAGAGAAGGAACTCGGAGGAACACCTGGAGAATCTAATTGGGTCGCCCGTTGGAACGGGCTGAAGAATGAAAATAGCGGTCAGAAACAGTTCCTCTTGGGCTAATGTTTTTCTTTGTTTTGGTTTGGGTTTCTTGGGTTAAAATCTTCTGTTTCTGGTTGGGAATATGGTTGGGAATACGGTTGAGAGCAGTGTTGTCAATTTCTTGGGTCATTTCCTTAGGTTCTTAAAGCTTCTCGCTTTTTTTAGGGGTACTACATACACGGTGATCGAATGGTGTACTGTTTACAGAATAATAGGTGGCAATATTCACGACGATGCGGCGTTTTTGGCGCTGCTCTCTTCATGACTCTCGTTCTTGGTCTTCTGAAATTAGTTCATGGGACTACCGGAATCGGTTCAAGCAATCAAGCCACGGTGTGGCTCTCTGGCTGTTTCAACAACCTCTCTAATACCGAACATAAGCACCATGGCAAGGATCGGCGATCGTGTCCTGGCGAATGTGAACAATGATCGCCGCCCTCTTTGAAGACCAATGGCCCGAGGAAATATTTCAGTTTGTCGGAATCGGGCAATCTAGCATTTACCCGGATCTTCCAGTAAGCGCCCGTACACGCTGGAATGGAGCTTGTTCCACGTAGCACACCAGTAAATGGTGTGAACCATGGGTAACCCTCGAGATGCCTGGCCCACTAATGCCGCTCAGGATCAAGACGCTCAACCACAATTGCAAAAGATCGACGACGTTTACTTATATTTAGAGGATAAATCTAGCGAGATCACGTAGGTAACAACAGATGCAATAGCATACTTTCAGGTAAGCATCGACAATTGAGGATGCAACCCAGGGAAGGGCACCACGGAAGGGCACCATGGGGAGAATTTCGGAGTATAAGTTAGAGGCGGGTAGTCGCCCGCCAGATGTTAGCTACAAGAAAAATACAAACTCGCACGGGGAAATTTCGGGCCTGAAGGGCGGACGTTGTAGATTCTAAACAAGGAAATACGACATCTGATTCCATCGGTGTGGCGCATTCTTCAGAGTGATATCAAATGGAGAATATTGATTGTTTTATTAACCAATTGCCTCGTCTTCTATGATCCGCTGCTGATCACCTTCTCTGTCGCTGGTCAGGTTCGACATGGAAAGCGGGGCGCTAAATAGGGGAGTGGGTGACCATCGTTGGAAACAGCTTGCACGGGAAGTGCTGAAGATAAGTGAGCGCGAAGAATCACTTGACGAAAGAAGGAATCCGTCAAAATGATCAATCAAACTGATTTATTTTATCCGGAATGCTCACCTACTCGACTGAAATTTGAGACATCTCGATCTGCACAACTTTGGTCACCTTGACGCCCTCACGGGCAGAGGCCCTGGGCAGAAGGGTCCGCAGGCATTTCCCTGCTTTATTTCGAGAATACTCTATTTCTTCGTCCGTCAAATCGAGATACGGCTGGACAACAAGGGAAAGTGACACAGTTGCTTCGCGAAGCCATGGAAGGTTCCTGTCTGACAGAAAATCGTCGAGTCCTTCCAACCCTCGAGCCTCTCGATATCCATTTAGAGGGACATCAATGGCTCAATTGAAAGAACCAGGGATTGCAACGGTGCCGGTTTAGAGGGCCGAACGAGCAGCAATGAATCTTCCCTCGCGGCATATCGGGCGTGATCGATAAGGGCGAGGCCAATCGACAACTTTCGCAAGGAAGGATAATGATCAAGGTTTAGAGCTGAACTGAAGCATTGTGATAGAGAGATTGCATTGCTGGCAGTAGAGCTGAATACCACATCCGAATAAGACAAGAACGGTGAAGTTAGAATGGTGACCTACAAGCTCAGTTCTTCAAGCGAAGACCTTGAATGCGCAAGAACACTCTCGAACCCTTTCGCATCCGATAAACCAGCAATACGACAATCGAGGTGCTTCAATCCACCCTCCATGGTGGTAGTGAATATCGACAAGAAATTGGAGAGGAATCGGTGAATTATCAGCGTTTCCAACTTCAGCACGTTTTCCGATCCTGGGGGGTCAGCTAGTTCTGGACACGGGAGGAATATGACTTCGTTCAATTCTAGATGTTTTAGGTGGGGACTTTGGAAGAGAATGGAAGGGGGAACGGAGGTGAGGTTGGAGAGCTTGATTGTGCTGATAGTCGACCCACGGAGCATGTCGAATATTGCGTGCTGGACCGTCAAGATCATATTGCTGTACATCGCCGATATCGAGCTCGATGAAGAGTGGACATACGGCATCGTGAGCGTCTCCAGCCTGCATCCGTCTCTCAGGAGGATGCTTACGACGGTTGGAAAATGTTGCGTAAAGTCCTCCTGAACGGCCTTTCTTGTAACCCGCTGGAGGATACGCAGATGGCGGACGTAGTCTGTGAGGCGGGGATTGTTCTTCAGGATCTTTGTTAGAAGCAGGACCCGCGGTCGATGGACAGTTGCTGAAGGTTCTATTGGAGCGGCAATGGTTGAAAACAAGTACTTTCGGCAGCGGTGATTAATGGCTCGATTCGTGAGAGAGCATGCTAGGAGTGACCGGTGACTATCCCCGTCATCCAGGTTATGTCCCAGCTGGTCGATGATTAGGTCGAGAATTTCCTGAGGGATCATGACGGACACAGTGATGGGTCGATTGGTACATCTCAGATTTGGACCCTGCGCCTCCCGGTGCCCGCCTCCTCTCCCGACGTCCCAAAGCAGATTTCCGCCCCCGTGCCGCCCTCTGGGGACCCAGGACACCTCGACAGAGTATCCAAGCATTATGTACTGTACGTAACCGGTTACTCGGTCACACCAGCTACTCGGTCATTGCCTTTGTGGGTGGCACAGTTGCTTGTTTCACTCCATTCTTTTTGTGCTTTCATGTATAATAGTATCAGAGCAATGTAACTGCATTTTTTTGCAGACAGAACACTGTTCCTCGCGGAGAAATGAGCCTCCCTTTGTGTCCGGTGATGCGTGACGGCCAATTTCCTTATTTGATATCGTGTTTCTGGTGGTCCCGGAGGGCTTTTCTCAACGACATGACACATTGCCAGGAAGATACTTTGGACTTAAAAATTTCATAGCAATTACTGCATAATTAAGCAAGTTCCTCTGATGTTGAAGGATTGCTGCACTTCCAACCTTGAAAATTGGAGAGTGTGTCATTTTGGAGGTGAATTGGACTGTTCCTGCCGATTTCTCTTAGTACAAAGCATCTATTGCATAAAAAAAGAGGTGAAATGAATTGTGAGGCAAATATGTGTGCATGACAGAAGACCCCTTAATTTTTACAAATTTCTTCCGACCATAAGACACCAAGCAATTGAAAAATCTTGTTTTGAGAGATGAGAAATGTCAAATTAAATAACTGAAAGGAAAACATCAGAAATCACGAAATAAGAAGACCAGAATATGATAGAGGTGTCTAACTTTCACTGGAAACATTTTTTGTTGAGGTCAGACCAACTTTGAAGAGTAATTCAAGGTGGCCGAGTGCTGTCCTCATATTCCGAGGTTATCTTATCATTAGCTTACTAAGCATAACTGACCCTAGTTACAGCCGGTGTACGGGACCAATACGAATCGGTCTAGTCTCGGGGCCTGGCCGACTTCCTGATTTCGACCGATTTTGACCTGTCGAAATAAAATATTCATGGAGGTCTCAAACTGTCCCTTAAATTTCTGATAATTGGTGCACAAGTACTTCATATGCTTGCCTATTGAGTAGTATTGTTATTTTTTTTGATACCCCCAAACCAAGCACGCAAATCTTAGGCGACTGTAGAGTGACCGAGATGCCGGTCATCTACAGTAAGTGCCCAAAGCCTGCACGGAACGGGCCGGAGATGAGCTTCACCAAAAAGGGAAGGTTCAACACGCCCTTGGTCGGAGTTCTGCGGCGGGTATTTCGTGGTCCGTGCGCGCCTCTGAGCCAGTGGTCTTTGCCCGCTGTTGTGTCAGCTTGTGAAGCATAGAAATTGTCCTTATAGCTTTATAGGGGATTCCAACCAAATATATAAGATCTGTTCTTTCAACTCTTTTCTCTCGCGGAAATCGGTGCGAGCAAGCGCGACGGCACGAAGCGGCATCAGTTATTCAAGTTGAAACTCCGACATTTTTTTTCGACAACGGTCCTGTTCATCGAAAATATGTCAGAATATTACTGGCTTGTAATTTTCCCCTCGAAAGTAGCACGGCTCAATATTTGTGTTCTATATCTTGATTTCTAATTTGTTAGCTTATTATTTTTTGAGCAAAATGTCCCCCGAATTTACGTTAAAATATTACAAATTTTCAGTATATTCAATTCGCAGAATAACCGCAAAATGCTCACAAAAGTATCGTAATAATAATAATGAAATACTTCATAATTATTCTTTAATAATATGGCATTTTACTGTTCTGGTATTCTAAAACTTAACACTTAATGATTCTTGCCGGTCTCACCTGCTGTGGACTTGTGTTGAGCACACCGTAGGCATGTTCAAGTTGCCGAGTGTCTGCCGGGCTCCCAGTTGTCTGCGGTTGTTGGGGTCATGAGCAGCACCTTCCGTTTTGGGCTGTTACATAGGGCAGATCATCGAATCTGAGATGTACCAATCGACCTAGGACTCTGACGGACATGACAAACTAAGAAAGTGGGTATGCAGCAACCATAGTGAGCATGATCAACGTGTAATCTTATCTTATCATGACTCGGCTACAAAATCATTGCTGCGTCAGAAGCTCCTCCAGTATCCTCCATGCGGAAGGACGGGTCCTGTCAAACCGTTTGATCCCCGCACCCCCTCGAACGATTTCAGCCCGAAGGTCGACATCACCAGGAGCACTTGTCGAAATCCAACTATTTCCCTTCAACTCCGCATCGTTGCTTTCTGCATCAGAGTCAGTAACACTCGTGCCCCACTTGCTCGTCACTAGAAGCAATTTGAAACGATGTACTCTGTAGAGGTCGATGAGCACTTGGAAGCTGGAGTGATTGAAATTGCTGGTGATATCGTGAATCCACAATACCCCTTGTAGGGCGATCTTGCGCCTTTCACTAAGAATGTGTTAAGAGGCAGTAAGGCCTACGAGAACACAATTCAGCATACAGGACTTTGATCCATTCGCCGATGTCTTGAACGAGTTCGTGATCAGGTCTGCCACCCAGGTCGGAATCAAAACCTGGTGTGTCAAGTAGGATGAGCGACTGGGGTACATTGGAACGATTCGAGCGGATGGTCAGTCTGTTCATTGTGATGTCTGTCGTTACTGGCTTTAAACCGCCAGGGTCTCGGGGGCCAGTAATCGGGTCGCATCCAGTGGCAACGTTGATGAACTATGGGACTGTCGTAGTGAGCGCCTCGCGTCGATAGGATACTGTATGCAAACGCACCGTGCTCTTCCCGGCTCTTGTTGAGCCCAAGACGCTAAACAAAATATCAATCGTCCAGTAAAATCACGCAGTTGAGATACAGTCGGGACTAACAGGATGACTGTAGAGTCCTTCGGGGGTACGGGGCTGGAACAACGAATCAAATTGCCGAGTTGGACTTTGCTCTATGCGAAGGATGTGCAGCACCTACCGGGAAAGGAAGCGCCAACCGGCTCCTGCTACCAAGATTCTGGTCAGACGCTCTCCGCAGGAAATATCCATGGCTTCGACGCTTTGACAATAGCTCTTCAATTTGGCTTTGATGGATTCATATTCGTCTCTTGAGGTGCCTGAACTCTGTTCGTCGCCACTCCGGTCGCCGACGTTGCTGGGCTCCAATTTGCGATGATAATAGTGCACCAGGTCCCTGAGCCCGTCATGCAACCCCATTCCAGCCGCAGTTTGAGGGAGACAAAGACAAAGATCGGTCACTTCCTTCTGAAGCAAAAGCGTTTCGCGGGTTTGGAGGTCTTTCAACATAAATGAAAGAATGTTGAGGGCGGATTCCTTCGTCCCAACAAAACGTTTCGTTTCCGAGCCTCGCTTCATCATGGACTTCCAGAAGCGGTTCTTGAGTTCGTTTTCCCTAACCCTTCCTTCTTCCTCGTGGCCGAGCTCGTCCCACATTGTCGTCGTGAGGACGATACTGCGGAAATGGCCACCAACGAGTCCTTCAAACGCCTTGAAATACCTTGCGGTGGAGTCCGGGATTCTATTGTCACTGATGCGGTGGAAGAAAAGCAAGCCCGATAACTTGATTCTTTGCTGATATCTACCATCCTTCTCTGAATACTTGGGATACTGGTGAACAGGACCACCTACGTGTTGTTCAGCCAATCCGATATATCTTTGAGTATTTCGGCATCGGACCTGGTCAACCCGTCCGCCCTATTCTCCCAATCGAAACCGGGAGTATCGACAAGGTATAGGTGATCGAAGCTGAACCGTTCGGGACATGAATGTTTGACGACCTCGATGCTGCTCGTGCAGGATTGCAAAGAGTCGCTGGCAGGATAGTTGGTGCCAGCAGCAGCGTTGATGAACTGTATGCAAGTTAAACTGCACTTTGAGTATCGATGATTCATTTTACGTACCGAAGTCTTCCCAGAGCCCGTTGGGCCAACAAGACTGGAAACGATATGAGTTCGATGAAATGGGGGGTTCTCTGTACCTTACGCAACAATAACATCCCATCCTAATGGCACCTCACTCTCAACCGTCTCCGTGCTCGCGTTGGGTCCTTCACCCGAAATTCTGCTGGTTTTATTATATGTACTGGGAACCTGTATTGATAATCTCGGTCAAGCTCTCAGAAAGGGGAAAGCGAAAGCGAACTTGGTTATCTGTTTTCCCGTCATCTTGCTGAAGTAAAAGAGGAGCCAACTAAGCGATGCGACTTCGGGTCAGGATCACGTTTTACTGACCTTGGTGACCTTTCGCGGTTTTGCCATTTCTCTGTATTCGAGTTACAGCGTTTATGAAGCCGAAGATTGTCAAAAAGCACCGCATATAGTCACCTATCCCTGTCGATACGCTTCAGAGGAACGCAAATTATGAAAGGGAGAAGGACAAACTAATGATCCGCGGCCGACCTACGTCCTGCGTATGCATTTCTACCACTTCAGAGAGCACGAGGCTAACGCATGCATTGTCCTCTGAGTCCTCTCATGGAGATGTTTTCACGTTTGGGGGGCTCCCTGTACGTTTCACGATCCGCCGATGAAGGTTCCTCAATGAATCAAGCTCGAATCTGCTCGATCTGTAAAATGTGTGCACGCGTCATCACCGGATGAATTCCGCCAAGTGAGCGTATAGAACTTACTGTTTTTGTTTATAGGGAAAATGAGATGGTTCTGTAAGAAGAATTCATTCACAAGAGATGATGGTCTCGACAAGGCGGAAGCGTGTGAACTTATTCCCGGTTATGGAGTCAACATAAATGTCGATCATTCCCCACCCATCGCGACCTCACTTCCACCTCGAACTTCGCCCTCCGTCGCAGTGGAGCCTACATCATGGAAATATGCCCAAAATTCTCCTTGAGCCACTACATACTTCTGATCAGTTTGTCTGACGCAAAACTGCTGTAACTGGTCGTTCTCGACGAAGTACGACCACGCCACGAATGCATTTCGGCCATGCATTTGCCTCGTGTCCTTCTACGAGATTGGAAGGACATCTCTACGATCGTCGTCATCGGGCCAAGTTGGGATTTCGCTTACTTTGGGCTGCTTCCAGCGTAGAGGCGTCGACGAAGCGCGGGCCGTTACGGTGAGTCTTTCCTTGTTGCATACATCGACCTAAATCCACCAGACTACTGCACAGTCAATCGTATATTGCATTGCTTATTCAATACACAACACCCGGCCAATTCTGCACCTTCACCAGCCTACGCTTCTCGACGATGATGAACGCCCGCGAAAGCCGCCCCCGTGTTAGTCTTAACAAGGTCGAATGCTTTCAGGACGACCACTCACACCATAAAGTCAGTCCGAAACCTCAAGCCAGGCAGATACGGCACGTACACTTCCTGAAGCAGATTCGAATGCCGAAGCTGTTGCGGCGGACGCTGTGTCGGAAAGCGACATAATCATTGCGTAAATGGTTAACTCGTTATTCTGCTTCGCTTCTTACCAATTGTTCCTGCAGCGTTATGGGTCCGACTGGCTCCGGAAAGACGACTGTGGGCAACTCCTCTATCCTCATATAATGACTGTACTGACTCAAGCGTCGTCAGTTTATTAACATTGCTACTGACTACGACAGCCCTGTCGGCCACGGTCTGCAATCATGCACAAGTGATATCAACGTCGTTAAATTATCTTTCCCGGAGCTGATTAGCGCCGACATCTACTTTGTGGACACGCCCGGCTTCGATGCCACCAACAAGTCAGACCTCGAGGTTCTCGGCCAGATATCAGACTGGTTAAATAACACGTAAGTTTGGATGGTCGGCGATGCTTTTTACTCCTTATTGATTGACAGCAAGGTATCAGAAGAACATCAGATTGAGCGGCCTCCTTTATTTTCATCGCATCTCCGACAATGCCCTGGGTGGGACCTTCACGAAGAATTTCAAGATGTTCGACAAATTAGTTGGAAACCACTTCAAGAACATCGTTCTCACAACGACCATGTGGGACGACGTTGACGAGGTCACAGGCGCCGAACGAGAGAAAACCCTCAAGGACGAATTCTGGAAATCCCTGATCGATCGTGGTTCTCGCACTGCCCGTTTTCTACAGACAAAGGAGTCTGCCTTCGAGGTCATCGCGCCAATCCTTGCCGAGGTCAGCAAGCGCGAAACGCTCCTTCTCCAAAAGGAGATCACCGACCTTGGGTTTGTCTTACGCGAGACCTCTGCTGGAAGGGAGCTTTGTAGCCGTCTAGGTCACCTTGTCCAGAAGCGACAGAAGGAACTTGATCAGCTTTTAGTGGAGTCCAACAAAGGAACGGTCGATGGAGACAAGATGGCTCGCTTGAAGAATGAATACAAGGACACCATGTCGAAGCTGAAGGTCCTTTCCAGTGATATGAAGGCGATGAAGATACCTATGGGAGAGCGATTGACGAGGGCTCTGACTTCGGGTATTCGGCTACTGAAACAGTAAGCTCGTTACAGCACTGCTGTACCAAGATGGCGATGGATTAATATCAATTAGGTGTCCGGAGGGTGCTTATCACGCAAGACCCCTGAAGAAGTTGACAGAAGCTTCGAAGACCGATATCGTCATCTTGTAAGCCATTTTATAAATTTCCAATGCGCAGTTGCTTGATCTACCTCTCCAGCGTTATGGGGTTAACGAGATGTGGCAAAAGCATGGTATGTGTGGCGCGCTTCACATAGAGTTGTTGATCTTGATTTCGCTCAGTTTATCCGTAGGGCAAGTGGATATCCATTAGAAACTGGGAGTGAAAGCCGTTTGGATCCTGTAACGAAATCAGTGAAGATGATCAAGTTCGACGCTCCATTGCCCAACCTAGGGTCGGACATGTCCATCGTCCTGGTAGAGGTCCCAGGTTTTGACTCGCCTGACAAAGGCCCCTCTGATGGCGAATTGATCAAAAGCATTGGCAACATGATGAAGGAAGCGTAAGTGTTTTATATCTACGTCTACGTAACCTGTCTGAGGGGCTCCCTAGTGGGCAAAGAGGTATCACCGTGCAAGGCGTAATATGGATCCACGACATAACGAACAACCACGCTTACAAAGGATTCAGAACCCTCATCGACCTTTACAAGATTCACCTTTTCAACGTCTTATTGGTGACGACCAGATGGGGGGCGAGCGGCACCACGTCAGAAAGCGAAAACAACGAAAAGGCGCTCATTGAACCGAGGTGGCTGAATGGCACCACCTCTACAGCTGGAAGCCCTTTGGGCAAAGAGGGAGATGATGTGATCGGCGATGCCACTACTTGGAAGAGAATTGTCCAAGGGGGTACGAACATTTCCCGGTTTGATATGACGCGTGCTTCCGCTTTGAGTGTCTTGGAGAGGTTTATGGCACCGAATAAGTAGCGTTCATGTCCGTTTCAGAGTATATATCGTTCAATCGCTCATGAGCTCATGGCATCTCTTTAGTGAAGTGAGGTGAACCCTTCGCTGCTCTGCGGCATGTAAAACGCTTTGGGAGGCCCGGAATAAAAGTATGGATGATCAATAGCTTAATACATACGAACATTAAATAAATGGAAAGCGTCGGGAAATGATTTGCTCGAATACGTTCCTGTCTACTTGTAACCTTAACCCCTCATCTCCGTCTCCTCCTGGATTTTCAAAGGATTCTGTGAGTTTAGGCAATGAGATAAGTGCACATCAGCTAAGAACTGGCGCCTCACCGTGGGCAGCTTCTTCGCGAAGAAGAGTCGCACTCGACGGCTGAAGGGTACCTTCAGAGCATCGACTTGTTGGAAGGTCTTTTCCAATGCAGCTTCAGTGACTCTTTTTTGTTCTTCGAAATCAGCAGCGAGCTTCGCGTTGTTCGCTCGTTTGGCTTGCTCTGCCAGATGGGTGAGCGTTTCCTTCTGTTTGGCGAGCAGCTTCTGCAAGTCGGTGTATAGGGTCTGGCCAGCCTGCGTCTCGTTCAGTCGCCTGCGAAAGTCCACCAGTTCTTCTTGAAGAAGGACAGCCTCCGCTCTGAGCTTCTCATGTTTCTCGAGAATGGTCGTGACGATCTTCCATGCGTCCTTTTCGGTGTTGAAGAAGCGGGAGCTGGTCGCGTTCTTCTCTAGCATCACTTTCCAATACGAATCATGGAGTTCGCGCTCGCGTTTTCCCCCGACCTCGGGATGCTTGAGCTTGTCCCACATCGTGGTAACAAGAACGACCCTCTGCGCGGCCTTTTCCCCACAGAGTTCGCCGAACATGCGCAAATTTCGATGAGGAGTTCCTGCCATTCGATTGTCCGTAATACGATGGACGTAGACGATCCCAGCCAGTTTGACTCCTTGCTTGTACCTACGAGAGAGAGTAAAGTCAGTTAATATACGTTGACGGAAGGCCAACTCTCACGTCTTCTTCAGCCATACAGCAATCGTCTCTAGAATTTCCATGTCGCTTCTAACAGTATCGTCAAATCCCGGAGTATCAACAAGGACCAAGGTCTTCGATTTCGTTACGGGGTGGGGCAACCGAACAGAGCGGACCTCCTGGGTGACGGATTGAAGGCTTTCCCCTGCCCACTGAACTTTGTTCTTAGCTAGTAAATCAATAAGCTTCAAGGCTTGAGTTAACTAATTGCGAATCATAGAGTGAACTGCAGGCTCACGTTGCTTTTCCCGGCTCCCGTAGGACCCATAAATCTACGTTGAAAGGATTAATTCAATATTCTTGTCGACAATAGCATGCAGATTTACGCTATGATCTGGTCGTCCTGATGTACCTGTGAGTCAGCCATCCCTGGAAAGTGTGAGGGGAAGGAGGAGAATTGTCGTTCAGCCGCGGCGGCATTCACATCCCGGAGGATAAGGCTGCAGCATGAGTACTCCTGCAGCTTGTGCAGACGGAAGGTGAAACGGCGACAAATGAGATCACCGTGCTACCGCTTGCTGCGTGCTTCGCGCGTGTTTGATGGTCTTAATCTCCTGAGGCGCTTGACTGCCTCGTGTGTTCAGCGTTCTATGACGAGACTACCCTCAGACCTGATGATAATCGCGAGTGCCTCATTCTTTGCCAATCGAATAGATCTGGGAAACTGTATCGGATTTTATTTATGTCCGTCGTTCACACCAGTTATAATTTGAGCCTCATACTAGTCTCGATGAAGCTGTGAAGAGGAATCAAATTGATCGACGATCAATTGATGGATATCCGAATTGGGAAGTACGGCGGGCAGCGTGGCGCATTTCGGCGGGGCGGCAATACCCGAAAGGGAGGCAATACCCGAAAGGGAGGCACACTCTCTCGTCCATCTCATGAGTTTAACCTAGTCTCATCTAAGAAAGAATGCGGAAGAGGAAAATATGGGCAAAGTGGCGAATTATTTTTACACCGATACATATGCAGTCGCACCGATCAAACACGGAAGTTAAATTACGGTGTGGCGAGGTTCCTTCTGTGACTCTAAACGATGTGTATCGCTTTCTGTGTTTATCGTGTTAAGGAAAGGTAGATAATAAATTTGGGAGGAAGACACCTACCGTAGGCAACTTCTTTGCAAAGAACAGCCAGATGCGTCGGCCGAAGGAGATCTTCAGCTCCTGGACTTGCGTAAACGTCTTCTCGAATTCTTTGGAGATGCGCTCCTTCTCCGCTTCGAGTTCAGCCACAAGCTTAGGGTTATCCTTGGTCCTTGCCTGATCTGCCAGTGCACTGAGCGTTTCCTTCTGCCTGGAGAGGAGGTTCTGAAGGTCGCTGTAGAGTGTGCGACCTGCTTGCGTCTCGTTGAGACGCCTTTTGAAATCGACAAGCTCTTCCTGAAGCAGAACCGCTTCGGTGTCGCTTTGCTTCTGGAGAAGGTGCATCACGATATTCAGAGCGTCTGCGCGGTTGTTTCGGAACCTGTGAGTGGTAGCATTCTTCTCGATCATCGTCTTCCAGTAGTTTGTACGTAGCTCGTTCTCGCGGCTGTCCCCAACCTTGATTTCCTTCAATTTATCCCACATAGTCGTCACCAGCGCGACGCGCCCTGCAGCGTTCTCTCCGCAAAGCTCGCCAAACATGCGGAGGTTCCGGTGCGGCGTTCCGCCCATACGATTATCCGTGATGCGATGAACGTATATGATACCAGCGAGCTTCACTCCGCCCTTATATCTATTAAGCGGATATCAGGAATAAAGAGAAATCAAGGAAAAGATGGAAGGCCAACGTTTTCTGCAACCAATCTGCTATCATCGTCAGAATCTCCATATCGGACCTTGTGGTGTCGTCGAAGCCAGGCGTATCTACGAGCACCAAGGTATTTCGACCATCTACAGGGTTTGGGAGCCGCAGAGTTCGGACCTCTTGCGTCACCGACTTGAGTTGACTTCCCGCCCACTGGACAGTGTGGTTGGCGAGAGTGTCAATGAGCTTACAAAGAGTTAGTATCGATATTATCTACAACATCGTGAAAAAAGCGTACGTTGCTCTTCCCTGCCCCTGTAGGACCCATGATACTATCCCATACTCCAAGATCAGGATCGGATCTTTCTAGTACGATACTGAAAGGACGCACGCAATTATTTTGTCATCGATGGTAACGTTGGAATTGACGTTCATGGTAGGCTAAGGTGGATAATGTGCAGAAAGAGACTCTCAGGTGGCTGAAAGGGCGTACAGGATCAACGAAACCGTTATAAGTGAACATGCAGCAGTTTCCGGCATGGTCTTCTGAGGCGACGTGTGATGCTCACAAGGTCCCGATAATCAGGTCTGCCTCGTTGCAATGAAATGGACCTCCGATCGAGCTTCGACCTAAATGAGGAGTTTAATTGAACACGCATACCCCACGAAACGACCGCAGCCTCAGGGTGTATTGGACGTGCCCACTCACATCATCTCTCCTATGACTTGTCAGAACTCCACGACTCCTATGCACGTCAGTGAATTTGTCGATCCTGAGTCCCGGTCCATTGGCATAGAGCGGAAAATTCGGGTTTCTCATCCGTGAAACTTTAAGTAGTACATGATTTGGTTGGGAGGAGTACTTGGAGGTGAATAGGGGTGTGAACAAATGACTAAGCCTTCGGCCTCAAAAGCCTGTCCAGAAGTCTCCCTACGCCCTTCCCTCGACTTTCTTTGTACCTGGACAGTCCTAGTGAATTGGACCACGGGCACTTGGTGTACTCAAAGATGAAGACGTGGTAGACCCTTTACAAACACTGAACTTATTCCGCTTAGCAGCAGGAAGTCAGGAATTTGGCAGGAAGAATGAACGAACGGTACTGGTACAGTCAGAGGCGTCCGTAGATTGTGGGTGGCGGAGAGTGAGTTGTTATAGGCACTCATGCGAGATGCTGGCTAATTTAGTAGGAACTAGATCTTGGGAGAACGGTTTTTGTTCAGAAAGATCCCTAATTTCTCTCGATTTCTCCGTTAATTCTGTCAACAAACGGCATCGCGCTTGTTATCGGAAAAGACGCCGGGACATCCTACCTGCGATGGGAAAGATAAACCTGTCATTCAGACTACTTTCCCGGGGCATGTTGCGGCTCGAGGCGCGACACCTGGATAACGCATGGGCAACCGTTATTGGGCAAGCGTTAAGAATGACCTAGTAACTTATGGTTGTTTTAACGCCCATTGTCCTACTGCCTCCTCGTGGCGGTCTTTCATCTTGTAACGCTCTCCGTACCATTTCTTTGACCCACCCCACTGCCGCCCCCATGGTGAGCACTTTTGACTTTTTGCATTCATGATGGTAACAATCACCGAACAGGCATCCATTTCGTCCCGGGTCGTCGGGCATCGCTTTGATGTTCAACCTTTTGAGAAGCTCCGCTCTTCCAGCACCCCCTCGCTTTCGCAGACTCTGACCTCCGAGTCGTCATCCTCCCATGTACCTGCTCGTCCTCGTGTCTCGAACGAGACCGCCGCCCTCGAATCTGGTGGCCCTCAGACTCAAAGTCTTAGCTCATTTATTCTACCGGACAGGGACGATATTATCATTGCGTGAGTCTAGCATTTCGTCCCTTTGACATCATATTGACTGTCTCTTTCAGCGTAATGGGTCCCACTGGAGCAGGAAAGACGACTGTTGGTTTTGGTTTTCGCAAAAGATTGATTGAAACGATGGATCCTCTGACACTTTATTTTAGTTCATCAGCCGCGCCGGGGGGTTCGACGAGTCAGAACTTGTTGGACACGAGCTGAAATCTTGCACCCAGGAAGTTCGCGACTTCATCTGTCATGACGAAGTCGAAGCGCGCCGGGTCGTTCTTGTCGATACCCCCGGGTTCGATGACACTAATCTCTCCGATCTGGATATCCTCAGGAAAATCGCCGATTGGTTGCAGAAAACGTGCGTGCATCTGGCTTCAGGACCATGATGTCGCTTCTTTCTTATGCGCTTCCGCCTTGACGTTATTTAGATATGAGAACGACATCAAGCTTTCGGGGCTCATTTACCTGCACCGCATCTCCGACAATCGAATGGGCGGGACCCCATTGAGGCTTTTGGACACCTTTCAGAAGCTCTGCGGGACCGATGTTTTAAGGCATGTCGTACTTGTGACAACTATGTGGGACGACGTTTCTGAAGACATTGGGAGTGCTCGGGAGACTGAGCTCCGCCGCAAATACTGGAAGTCTATGATCGACCGTGGTTCACGTACGTGCCGTTTCGAAAACACCCGGGAATCGGCATGGAACGTCCTTTCTTTGTTCGAAGATGCACCTCGCCAAACACTGCAACTACAACGTGAACTCGTCGACAAGGGTATGCGCTTGGTTGACACAGCCGCCGCTCGGACTCTCCTGCAATGGCTTGTGGAATTTATCAAGATATTGAAGAAATCTCTCGCCCGTGTCAGGCGGCATTTGAAGAAGACCTCCGATACCTCCTCTCGTGCTGATCTCTCTCGTCAAGAGCGAGCATTCACCGCGCAAATCGACATGGCTTTAACCGCGTCAAGAGATTACGAGTGCTCTATCGTGTCGAATGGCACTACGGCGGCATCTTGTGCATCTTCCTCGTCTAATCCCACCTCTGCAGTAGACGTCGACCGCTACGGCAATTTCATGTCTCCCCCTCCTTCTCCCGTCAACCTGGCACAAGCCTCATCAAGACCGCCTTGTCTCAACTCAAAGCTCCATTGGACTATTACGGCTCTATCGCTCATGAATTCCTTGGTCGCATTGAGTCCAGTACCCGGTCTCCAGACCCTGGTTGGTCTCCTGTTGACCACGACGCAGTTGATTGAAGTCAGCGTTCAACTTCATTTCTAGTTCAGACCCCCTCACTGATTGTGGAAAACGTGCACAGCAAAGCCGTTCCAACGACCATGCCCTCACCAGCGTGGCTCATAGAGCTGCATCCCTCATGCTAACGATCATTGAGAGCAACGGTTGCGGAGATATCAAGGATACGTTACGGCCTCACATGGAGACATTACAATCGTACGCATTGAGTCTTCTATACCTGTCTTATTATCACTAATTTGTTCGTAGTGACATGACAAAGTTGGCAAGTCTCATAAAAAAATCTACGATGCCAAAAAGGCTTCTTCTTGCGAATTATGAGAAGCAGTTAATCGCCGAATGCGATAGGCAAATCTCCCATATGTCTGATATTTTTGGGGTACGTCCTTCACTGTCTGCCATATTAAACATCTTGATTTAAATTGTGCAAGATCCAAATCGCTTTGATCAATGCAGCCGCGATTGCTCGCATCGAAGCCGTTATAACAGCTGTACGTCTCTTCCTTTGTGAAACATAATTATGGTGCAAACGATGGCAATTAACTCTAGCTGCATAAGAAAACCCCTGACATTCCCCCACGACGCGTCACCGTTGGTTAGCAGTTGGATGTGATGGCTTCTGTACCGCATTTTCCGAGTATATATACTGGATGCACGCCGGACGTCTTTTTCCGACTCGTCTCCTTCGCCTTGGTTGTTTAATAATGTACAATGATAGTTGTAATAATTAATTCGTTCCGGAGGTTTGCGGAAGCATCCTCTAACATCCAGTAAATACCAAGTAAATACAGAATACAGAAGTAATACGTAGATTGGTTTTCAGCAACCGAAACAAGAAGGGGTTGAATCATCAAAGGAAGATGAACGCCTCAGATCCAAGTTATGCTAGAGGAACAATTATCAAATAAGCAACTGTGCGAACGGGAGTCGGATAGTAAACGCTTACAGATTTCGCGCGCCTAAAAAACAAGCAAATTCTTCTCGGGAGGGATATCTTCATTGCTTTCGCCTCTGCGAATATCTTTTCCAGGTCCTCTTGAAGTCGCTCGTACTCTCTTCGAAGTTCAGCAGCGTGCGTTGGGTTGTTTCGACTTCCTTGTTGTCTGGAAAGCTCTTCAAGGGCTCTCTGCTGGGTGGCCATCAATCTCTGGAGAGAATCGAGGAGGACCATCCCCGCCGACGTCTCGTTGAGACGCATCCCGAGGTTGACCATCTCTTCTTGCAGAAGAAGAGCCTCCCGAACCTCGGCCCTGTCTATGATGCTGTCGATGATAGACCAAGCGGATTGCGACGTATTTTCGAAGCGATCGACACTTGCATTGTGCTCGATCATCCCTTTCCAGAAATATTGCTGAAGCTGACGTTCTCTTTCCTCTCCGGTCCTCCTTTCGACAGTATCCCACATCGTCGAAACAAGTACCACGTTGTGAGCGGCCTTGTCACCGCACAGTTCCCCGAACATTCGTAAATTTCGGTGAGGAGTTCCTGCCATTCGATTGTCGGAGATGCGATGGAAGAAGGCGATTCCAGTCAGCTTCACTCCGGCCGCGTAGCTTAGAAGTTTGGCCCAGTAAGTATTCGAAACAATTGAAACCTTCTGAGTAAATGGCACCTCTTATTTAGCCATTCGCTTATGAGCTTCAAAACTTCGAAGTCACTTCTTTGCGTGTCGTTGAATCCAGGCGTATCAACGAGGACAAGACGGTCCCCATAGCGCGGATGATTTCGTAGGCGAATAGCCTGCGTTGTCTTTGTACATGACTCGAGAGAACTGCCCGCGCGTTGGTGCTGTGCCGCAGTTCGAAACAGAGCGTCGATAAACTGGAGAATCTCCCATAAGTACCTGGAACTAGGACTATTTGATGTTTCTCTTACATGGCTCTTTCCAGATCCTGTAGGTCCCATGAGGCTGCGGCGGAGTCAGCAGAAAACTTGAAATCAAAAGGCGTAAAATACGCACGCGATGATGATGTCGTCTTGCCGGGTCTTGCCAACCTCGATGCTTTCAGCGCTCAACTTCGGTGGCATATGTGAAAGTACAACTTGAAGGTAGAGAGTTCAGTTGGCGACGTTCAGAAATGGCCTTGAGGGTCGGTCGCCGCCCATTTGTACCGGATTAATGATCCCCGCGGCGAGACCGGGAGGAGGCCGCGCCTAGGCTTGTTCTGTATGCACGAACCACGGTATGAAACCCTGTTACTCAAGCACAATATCCGTGAAACATCCGTCTACTTTCCACCCTCAAGCTCGATTGTTCGAGCATGCACGCGGTTGACAAACGATAGGACGGCATGTTCAAGTCCCAAGATGCGCGGGAATGGCCTTCACTGAAATCTTTCGGCCTCGAGAAAACGGCATGTCTCGATCCGCCATCAGGTCGCGACAGTAGAAGACCTTCCAAGTGTGGGGGCAGCAACAGATTTAGACCACCAATGGCGTGCACCAGATTGGCGGGATTCGGCCAGTGTGAAAGACTTCATAGGGGTCGGGGATCGTGGAAAGCGCATTGGACACGTTGGCCGTTGTCGGGCGAGTTGCATTGCAAAACAGCCGACACCACGAGGCAGAACGACAGCATTCCTGAGGGGCATTGAAGGTATCGCGATCTTAGGGAGGTGAAGGGCAAGAGAATCGATTGTCAACGAGGCAGATTAAATACTTGGATGCGCACGAACAAATCACAAGACATCACAAAAGCATAAGGAGAGTTCACGTCGTTGCTCGTCGGGTCTGGGTGACAGTCTGCTTTCCAGCGCGAGACGCTTGTTCAATACGGTTCTGGAAAGGAAATCTTGTCTACATATGAACGACGTACATGAAAGGCAACTCACTATGGTCAGCTCGCCCACCGCAGCCTGGAGATGAAGAATAAGTTGGTGGTTGATCAGCCCGATCTGAGTCTATAGGACCTTGCTTCTCAGCGTACAGCAGGTAGAGATGTGGCAGAACTTACGCCGAACGCCTCGCACGCCCTCGCGATCTGTCTCTCGCACCCGGCAACAACTTCCTTGTCGGCATCGGCTAGAAAGATGCGGTTCGCCATCTTATGAGAAGAAATAGTCCTGATAATGTCTCTGATTTTGTATAATTCCCTGCGATAGATAACGTGATGAGATGAACACAAGAAGACATGAAATATGATTTGATGACTTACTGCTCTACCCCGCGGATATGCGGTTTCAGCTTTTCACTAATATCGCCGACTCCAGCGTTACCGACAAGATTCACCATCAAGTGGGTAGAGTTTTCAGCCACGTAGACTAAGGAATCGTCGATTGGTTGGAGTTGCTGCAAGGTCCTTAGTCACACAACGAAGCAATCCAGCCAAACGATAACCGTACCTCGATGGACTTGATAATAGATAACACCAAGCGAATCACCGGCCGGAACGTTGGCGAAGGGGTCAACCCGATAATCTTGTCGAGGAGCTCAAGGACCTTCACAGTTCCTTGAAGTATGTGTTTCTGCTGTTCAGGTTCCAGGGTAGATTCGCCGAGAGAAGAAACTGGTGAAGAAACGGAATCGCTGCTGGTCGAGGAGCTTGTTGGCGATCGAACCATCGGAACGTTATTGAAAATGGGAGCTCGAGCATCGGGCGCAACGTTAGGATTAGATTCGGTTCCAGGCCGTAGGATGGGTGAAGTGGTAGTCGACGAGCTGTCGAACCTGCGTCTAACCTCTTCAGCTGCATCCATCGCCGCAGCGACCTCATCGTGTTGTTTCTGCAGCGGGGTCCGAACGGCAAGCAGCCTGCTCTTTTCCATCTTAGCCTGGATCTTGCGAAGGAGTTTCACCATCTTCTTGATGAAGTCTAGCAGGGAAGAGAACAGACTCTTGCCAGCCGACGTCTCGCTCAAAGGTAGACCTTGGTCGACGAGTTCGTGTTGCAAACGCAAAATCTGGCGAGGAGCATCGTCGAACTGAGAGAGGATGTCCCATGCTGATGCGCGGCTGTTGTGAAAGCGGACTGTGCGAGACCCTTGGGCAATCATGGCTTTCCAGTACTTCTTGCACAGGTCGCTCTCACGGGCGCGTCCAACCTCCTCCTCTACCTCGTCCCACATAGTAGTCACCAACAAAACATATTTGAGGACTTCGTCGCCGCATATCTGCTTGAATGTGTTTAGAAGTCTTAATGGAGTACCAGCCATTCGATTGTCGGATATACGATGAAGGTAAAGCAGTCCCGATAGTTTAACGTCGTTTTCATAACTGAGAAAATGTGAGAAACAAGGGATGTGGAAAGAGCGGTCCAACTCATACGTTTCTTTCAACCAGTCAGCAATGCGTTTGAGGATATCCAGATCGGAGAGATTGGTGTCGTCAAAGCCAGGAGTATCGACGAGGACAATGCGACGTGTTCTTTCCGAATTGTAGCAAGTAAAAGCAGTGACGTCTTGGGTGCACGAACGTAATCCATGCCCGACAAGCTCATCTTCAGTCATCCCGCGCGCCTGGCTGATGAACTGAACGAACAGAAAGAAATGAGCAAACTGACATCTTTGGAGGTCGAAAGGCAAATTTGCTGACTGTAGTCTTCCCGGCACCGGTTGGGCCCATTACGCTGATATCAATGCCACAGTGAGCTACTGTTAGAAGTGGTGTGCTTCAAATGAGGGCTTACGCTATAACGATATCAGACGTTGACGTTATGTCTTCAACGGCGTTCGCTGGTGCTTGAACGGAGGCGGAAGCAGCAGCGCGAGTAGGAATGGAGTTCTCAGAACGAGGAAGAGATATTGTGCTCGCCGTCTCCACCAAGGACGGCAAGCTTTGATACCCAAGTCGACGCCTATTGGAAATTGAGCTGTTACTCGCCTGAGTCGACGAGCGAGGAGGAACCGGTCGCTGAATCGCAATTAGAAGGCGTAATCATGAAGGAGAAAGAATCTCACCTGTTGCTGGCGCATTCCGGTCGTTCGTCGAGAATGAATTGGGTGGTGAACAAGAATGTGGATATGTTTCTCCACCAACGAATGATCTTATCGTTGAGTCACAAAGGTTAAGCGCCCCGCGAGCATGCACTCAACGAGGGCGTCTCCGCGTGTTCACGTTCCTCCTCCGCAGAGGAAACGTGTGTTCACAGGTACCGAAGGGAAAACGCTGACGACACACCGAGTCTTCAAGGTTTCCATGCTTGAATCATTGAGTTTCGGAGCCTTAGATTTGTTTGGGGAGGGTTATCGAGATTTCAGAGGACGCGCTGTGGAAGTCGACGTCAATCTATCGTGGGAGAATTGATCGGCAGCGATTGCGTAGATAATATTGAATCAGTTCCCACGGTTTGATTTCTCCACCGAATCTCACTGAACTACATATTCCATACTCCTTGACACAACACTGAATTGGACCTTGTCAACGGATCCTGTGCTTCTCATTTCCTAGTTGTATTTAGTGGGTGATTATACTTCAGTAACCTCCGTTTTCATCAGATCCATACGTTCAGAAGACAAATTTAGCAGAACGGTGAATCCTCGAGGCGCGAAATATGTATGCCACTTACAGAGACATCGATGAAACGATTGATATCGGGGCTTAGCACACGATGCAAATAAACGCATCCTCAGTCCGTAAGTCCCTGGACTGATGGACTATTGATCTTCCGATCTTTACTTATTCGTGCGATAACGAGAAATGGACGTTCTCTCTCCGCAGGTTCTGGCAGGTCAAGATATACACGCATGCCATGGTGAATTGTGAAGAGCGAGCGCCGGGAACTTAATCTCCACCGAAGTAACCGTTTCCTCATGGCTTGTCAGGCGACTGCCTCATGGTCGACAGCAGGGAAAACGTCTTGCTGGTATCATAGCCATCGAGCCAACCCCCGCATTTGCGAGAGGTATGCATTTACTTGTTACTTTCTGACGTCCTCTTTCTCAAGCATATTATAGACAATTATTCGCTATGACATCTAGAACCGAACAAGTGAAGGCTCAAGCTCGTCCTTCAACACCTGATTCAATGACGGAGAGCGAATGCCCTACTTCTGACACTGCAGGACCCCCTTCGACAGGGAAAAAGAGCTCGAAGTAGGTTGGCTTTCTTTTTCTTACTGAATAAATTCATCATTCTGTCCAACAGGAAGGGCAAATCGTCGAAAAACAGAACCGGTGATGCTACTTCTACGGTCCTGAATAACATGGTTGCGCGAATGCGACCGAATAAAGCTGACAAGGAGAAAGGCGATAAGGTCGGTTTCGCGAATGTCTGATGTTTACCTCACTGAGTTTGTGCAGTCTACACAGAAGAAGGGATTCGTCTTGGATACGGGGGTAAACATCCTGTCGAAAGCTCGAGTAAAGCAGGTCAAGGTCGATGAGCTGGCGGAGGACAATTTGATCATTGCGTTTGTCTTCCTTTACCATTTACGAACTCTTCTCCTGCTTACCATCCCTCTAGCGTAATGGGACCCACCGGTTCCGGAAAGAGCTCTGTGAGCGTCGTAGTGCATCAGAGTCTGAATAAATACCTAATTGATCGATTCCTCAGTTCATCAACACGACGACGGGATATCGGCAAGGCGTCGGCCATACTCTCGAATCGTGCACGAGCGACATCAACGTGGTGAAATTCTCTTGCCAGCCGATCTTCCCCAACGACATATACTTCGTCGACACCCCGGGTTTTGACGATACCAACAAATCTGATACCGAGATATTCAAGCTGATATCCAATTGGTTGAACAAAACGTAAGACATACAGCTGGATTTGCAGGTGAACAGCGCTCATTCACGATTCAGATACGAGAGTCACATCAAACTCAGTGGTCTCTTATATTTCCATCGCATCTCCGACAATCGCATGGCCGGTACGCCTCTCAAAAATTTGCGCATGTTCGAGAAGCTTGTCGGTAGCAAATTCCACAACATCATCCTCACCACGACGATGTGGGATGAGGTCGACGAAGAAACGGGGCAAATGCGGGAAGAGGAGCTTAGGGACGTCTATTGGAAGACCATGATCGACCGCGGGTCCCGCACAGCGCGTTTTCTCCAGACGACACAATCCGCGTTCCAGCTGCTCGCGCCGCTCCTCCACGAAGCCAACAAGCGTGAGACACTGCTTCTCCAGAAGGAGGTGACGGACCTTGGGTTCCAGCTTCGCGAGACGTCTGCGGGGCAGGTTCTCTTCCTCGAGTTGGAGCATTTGGTGAAGCGGCAGCAGGAAATGCTCGAGCGCATTCGGGAGGAGATGCAGCACCCCTCCACCGACGAGGAGCAGCTTCGCTTCCTGATGGAGGAATACCAGAAGATCACGAGCAAGCTTGCGTCGACTTCGAAGCAGGTCAGCGAGTTGAAGATCAGCATCGGCTCGCGACTGAGCAAGGCGGTGAAGTCGGTATTTGGATTACAGTTCCTCAAGAGGTATGATATGTCTCACCGTCGCCAAAATCATTCCTGAAGGATTTTTCGCAGCTTGATCGGTCTGAGGCAACCGAAGAAAATCCATCCATCTGCTCCCGTTCCCCAACCACCAGCCAACGCTCCTGATGTATCGTCTGCTAAGGAAGTCGAAAACGAGCGAGGTCCTGACGGAGACGCTGCCGAGGTTCCAGCTACCGAATCGGTCTCCCAGGAGGCTGCTCTGTCAACGCAACCTCCCTCTCCTTCCAGCGCTGACCGTCTAGGAGAGATTAGCGCCGAGGATAACCGAAGCTTCTTCACGGCTATTTCGCGAGCAGGTTCAACGGGTGTGTACCCGAACTCCCCCAACGATGGCGACGAGAAGGTTCTTGATGTTTCTGGAGAACCTGTGCGATACCGACCCGAAGATGAAGACGCCGTGAAGGTTTCTAACCTATGTCCTCCCCCTGCCTCACGCATCCTTTCCTCCTTTCCCTCCCCTCCGACCCGCATAGCAGAGCCGCAGCAGAAATTTATTGCCCAAAATCAGATCCAGGTTTCAAGCCGTGTCGAGGAACGCGCTTCGCGCCCTCTCGCCATCCAAACCACTCAAGCAGCGCCCCGCCATCAGACGCGCCCCAAACCCGGAGAGGGAGAGACCTGATGCTCAAGCCGCAAACCACGCGCCGGAGGGTAGCTGGTACAATTCACGAAGCTCTGATCAGTCACAAGCAGCGAAGCCTGAGCATCTAGTTCTTCGCGGCCATGAAGGCGGTTCTTCCGTGGGCCGTAAGAATTCGGCGGCGTTTCCAACTGGGGATCGCTGTGCGCCACAGCATCATGGAACGCCCTCCCCTCGTGTCGGTTCTACCACTGCTTTACGCACCAATTGAGGAAGGCCATGAAGAACCTGGATACAATAATATTGTTTCGCATCTTTTCTCTCTTCTGAACTTCTTCTCTTTGTAAATCCAAACAATTATGTAGAATGGTTTTCTTTCGTGAACATGCATAAACTGGCAGTGTCTCGCGATTTCGATTTCCAGGATTGGTCCTCCTGTAAACCAAAGGCGAACTTCTGCTTATACATATCCTTCGAGATGCTATCGATGACACGAAATGAACGTGCAAAACTCGAGGCGACCTGCCTCTATATTTAATCATGCGGAATCTTCGTTCACTTCTCTGACGACCACTTGCTCACCGACACTGCAGCACTGACGGATTTTGATCCTTCGCAACGAAATGGGAGTAGAGAAATTTACTTCCAATGATCAGATCATAGTGTATGCGTTCTTTCATCCATTTCAATGGAGATCCAAACTTATGAATGACCGAATAGTTTCATGGGTGGAACGGGGTGCGGAATGAGCACTGTGAGACTCGGAAAACCAGGCTCTGAACTCCCTCCTCACGCAGTTCGAACAGATTATAGATACACTTTGTCCGCGGGCGTACAGATGGGCTTCAAACAGCCTAGGAGGTGGGACGCAGGACATCCAATGGATCCGCGTGTGTAACCCGATAACCAAGGAGAACACTTTGGTGTTGGTAGACACCCCGGGGTTCAATGGAGACAACAGAACAGATACGACGGTGTTAGACATGGTCAGCCAATGGATGTCCTCTCGGTCCGTATGATTTACGGCTATGTATATTGTGCTTACGTATTTAAATTTCTTTATAGATGCCCTGATGGAATGAAGCTCTCGGGGATCATATTTGTTCATCGTATCAAGGACAACAGGTGCACGCAAGGGTCTACCAGCATTCGAGTGAACGCGGGTGCGCTCAAAAGGCTTTGTGGAGACAGGGCCTTCGAGAAAATACTCCTTGTGACGACCATGTGGGATTCGCTGAAGGACCTACGCATTGGTGAAGAGAGGGAGAAGGCACTCGAAGCCGGGTATTGGGCCGACATGATCAAAGGTGGCTCGCACTCTCGGCGTTTCGACAAATCAGAAGCCTCGGCCTGGCAAATAGTCCAAGATATTCTGGAGAAGCAAAGCGGACCAACGCTCGAGGAGCTGCAGAAATTCGAAAGACGTCTCAGCCAAACCAAGGCAGGACAAGAATTGTTGACGCACTTGCAAGATCTTCGCGCACGGCAGAGCATTCTCATTCCGACAATCGCGTCTCAAATTACTGATTCTGGACGTCCTTCGACCGCCCAAGCGACACTCGACGCGGAGCAAGGTCGCTTAGAGGCCGAAGCTCAGAAAGTGTTTGAGGAGGTCAAGTCCCTGAAGGTCTCTTTTGGCGAGAGAATTTGGAGATTCTTTTCACAAGGTCGGTCATGATTCCCAAATTTTGCATCTATGAGTCTCTCAAATCTCTCTCTCAGCGTCAGCTTGCTCCTAAGAACTAGGGATACTGTAGTATTTCGAATCTAACGGCCGGGGGTGTGACCTGTGACCTAGTGGACGAAGTTCGAGCTGTCTGCACATTAATGATTTGTGTTCAAGTACATTAGTTGTGATATTTGTGATTGGAGTCTGTAACACATTATCAATGTTGTAATTGAACACTTTTGAGCTTTTTTCTTCAAGTTGACACGCGAAAGGGAGCCGTTTGGCCTGTGGCCTGTGGCTGACTGGCCGTGGACGGCTTGAGTTCGGCTTGAGTCTCCGTCAGATTACTCATGGCCGCCACGGGTGATGTCGGTCACGCCAATGTGTCACACCAAACAGATTGATTGACGACTTTAAAATCTCAAGTACTGGTCTTCGTTCTGCAAATCAAGCCACAAAACTTTGACATTAGATACTTAGATATATGGAGTCCATGAATGTAATATTAAAATCCAGTATGTCCCCCTCTTGCAGCTAGGACAGCCTTAACACGATGATCCATCTTTCCAATTTGATGATTGATAACCTCCACGGAAATCCCCTCCCACGCACGCAAAACGGCAACGCGCAGCCCATCGACAGTTGTAGGCGGATGTGGAAGGTGTCTGAGAGTTGATTTAAGAAGGTGCCATGTGGGTTTGATGGGATTTAGGTTGGGCGAAGAAGGAGGATGTGGGAAGAGCACTTCTATAAGCCAGGAACATGTATCAGACCCAGCATTTAGCCAGTGTGATCTCATAAGTCCAGAGTGTGTTTGAGCAGTCAGGGTCTCGTAGGCTGCTGGGGTGAGTTTGCCAGGGATGCTGGGGCCATAGGGATTTGTTTGGGGGCAGGAGGGGTAAATAAATGACCAAACAACCCTCCGGGGGTGGGGCGGGGGTAGGGTAGGCCTGTTTGGGGCAGGAGGGGTGGGGAAAGCATGGGAAATCCATCCGAAACAGGCAGGGATGGTGGGGGATGCATGATAGGGGCTAGTGGGATGGTGGGGTGGGTTCTGGGTGCGGTGGGGGCCTAAAAATGGGTTGGGCAGGGCTAGATATGCATGCTAATAATTGTCATGGCCCCCACGGGGTGCGGGATGGGCCAGGGGAGCCAAAAATGCGAAAAATCCAGAGACTTTTGCATTTTTAATACAAAACAATTGAATAACAAATTGAAAACTTGATATTTCGGCATGAAACTTTGGGGACCTTTGTATCTATAGTGGGGGGTGCTTCACAAATATTTTGAGCATTTATTATGAATTATGGGGTGTGCCACACAGCCAGGAATAGTGTGTGTGGCGGGGTTTGATGTGCTTTGCCAAATTTGGCAATATTGTGATGCCTGCACATCCGTGCATAATTCCGGCTCGCCCTCGCATTATTTTGCTTAGCTTTGGCTGAGTGAAATGTTGGGTACATTGATACCTTCCTGTAGACCTTCTTATCGCATGAAACGGATGAAACCTCGTTGAGATATGACAAATGCGATTTTGGCTACTACAATGCATGGTGCACCCATGCATCCTCAGGCATGTTTAGGGCCATCTAACTTGGCCAAAATTTATGGAATACATTTCTGAAAGTAATAGTTCCATTTATAATGCCAGGGGGTGTCTGGGTGTAGTATATCTGAGGGGGGGTATAGGTACACCAGGAGATCCACTCCGGATACCCCACTAAACGTACCTCTGAAAGTCTGAAAGTTGGTACGTGGATAGTATTCATTTATTGATTAATTTAACATATTTTATCATAATTTTATATTGCCTGGAAGTTGGGTTATTGACCGATTTCACACGAGATCAGATATTCTATTGACATCCAGGATGGGAGATATTGGCACATGTAAGGCTATTATAAATGACGATAAATGCATAGAAACAGAACAAGGTACTTACGAGGGCAAGGGGATGACTCTGTATAATGTTATTAAGAGAAGAAGGATGAGGTAGTCAGTATCTATGTAAATACTTGCCAAATCTGCATATCGCACCCATTCAATGGTGTGTTCGTGTCAGGGTAGTGTCCCTTAGCATATTTAAGTAGTGACAGGTGAGGCCCCGATGCCTGGGTGAAATGTTATTATAGAAAGAGCTGAAAATGTGTGAAAAACACGAAAATATTTAAAATAGGTACCTCGGACTTGTTCAAAAATTACCAAACTTTGTATATGAGGACCTATTAACACTCTGAAGAGATTGCAAAAAATCGGATGAGATTCCAAGCAGTAGGTGGAAAGATATGCAAAATGAAGTCCCAAAGCACCAGATGCAACACAAAGTTGCAACAGGATGTTGATGCTCTTGCTGTCATTCTGATACCCTTTCACATATCTTTCCACCTACTGCTCGGAATCTCATCTGGTCTTTTGCAATCTCTTCAGAGTGTTAATAGGTCCTCATAACAAAGTTTGGTAATTTTTGAACAAGTCCGAGGTACCTATTTTAAATATTTTCGTGTTTTTCACACATTTTCAGCTCTTTCTATAATAACATTTCACCCAGGCATCGGGGCCTCACCTGTCACTACTTAAATATGCTAAGGGACACTACCCTGACACGAACACACCATTGAATGGGTGCGATATGCAGATTTGGCAAGTATTTACATAGATACTGACTACCTCATCCTTCTTCTCTTAATAACATTATACAGAGTCATCCCCTTGCCCTCGTAAGTACCTTGTTCTGTTTCTATGCATTTATCGTCATTTATAATAGCCTTACATGTGCCAATATCTCCCATCCTGGATGTCAATAGAATATCTGATCTCGTGTGAAATCGGTCAATAACCCAACTTCCAGGCAATATAAAATTATGATAAAATATGTTAAATTAATCAATAAATGAATACTATCCACGTCGTACGTTTAGTGGGGTATCCGGAGTGGATCTCCTGGTGTACCTATACCCCCCCTCAGATATACTACACCCAGACACCCCCTGGCATTATAAATGGAACTATTACTTTCAGAAATGTATTCCATAAATTTTGGCCAAGTTAGATGGCCCTAAACATGCCTGAGGATGCATGGGTGCACCATGCATTGTAGTAGCCAAAATCGCATTTGTCATATCTCAACGAGGTTTCATCCGTTTCATGCGATAAGAAGGTCTACAGGAAGGTATCAATGTACCCAACATTTCACTCAGCCAAAGCTAAGCAAAATAATGCGAGGGCGAGCCGGAATTATGCACGGATGTGCAGGCATCACAATATTGCCAAATTTGGCAAAGCACATCAAACCCCGCCACACACACTATTCCTGGCTGTGTGGCACACCCCATAATTCATAATAAATGCTCAAAATATTTGTGAAGCACCCCCCACTATAGATACAAAGGTCCCCAAAGTTTCATGCCGAAATATCAAGTTTTCAATTTGTTATTCAATTGTTTTGTATTAAAAATGCAAAAGTCTCTGGATTTTTCGCATTTTTGGCTCCCCTGGCCCATCCCGCACCCCGTGGGGGCCATGAGCAGCATATTTAGCCCCGCCCAACCATTTTTAGGCCCCACACCCAGAACCCACCCTGCCATCCCACTAGCCCCTATCATGCATCCCCCACCATCCCTGCCTGTTTCGGATGGATTTCCCA